GGACGAGGTGTGTTGTACATCCTAATGATCATCTCCATTATATTATACTCCCAGGATGTCTCTTTTTGCTCCTTCTAATTAATTGGACCACACCGACGCAACTTCCGTTCCAACCTACACTTTCTTTCGTTTTCTCAGCTTTTCCTCATTTTCCTCTCCTTTCTAATTGGCCTCGTAAAGTGTCGCTCTCTGACTAGTGTCACATGGAATTTGATGTATTAGTCTCATTACCGATTATGAATTTTTGGTTTTTTGGCTCCTATTTTTTGGTTCTTTGGACTGGAAATTTCCTTTCAGCTGGAGATTTTCTCACTTCACACGTCGCTGCTGAAGTTCTAATCTCTATACTTATCCCGATCCTGCGCCCGACTTTTAGCGGCTTCCAAATTGAATCTCTAGCTTACTTTTGAAAAGCCGTGGGAATGACTCATGACTACGCGCGCAAGTCGTTTTTGGTCGGGCACATATTCCATTTTCAATATTGATGCAAAGTTGATGTTCCTACCTTTTTGATAGTACAGAAAGCATCAGAATTGGTTCACAATAAAAAAAAACTAATTATTTTTTTAAAGAGTTCGATTGCGCTCTCGCGCAAGTCGGTTTCCGTCGGGCGCTTAGTTTAGTTAGATTTTTGTTCAAAAAGCAACTTAATGATCCATGGTATCAAAAATCAGCATAATCGGTTGAGCATGAAGAAATTAGAAAATTTTTCAAAAAAATAATCAAAAAGTGATAAAAAAATTCCATTTATCAACTTTTTTTCGTAAACTGGATTCCCATTTTTTTCTGCAAAATCATAATTAAAAAAATGTGTTGAAGCAGTCATCTTTGATCAGTTATCAGAATGAATCACTGAAATTTTTGCATTTCTCACAAGTTTTTCTGAAAGCTTTTCATTAGGAAAATGTGATTTTTTTGGTCTGATGACAGAGTTTTTTTGACCTTCCTGTCAACGAAAGCAGGCTGATGATTCCATTTTTTTAACATTTTAATCTCTGTAAACTTGAAATAAAACTTTTTCTAGTTCTTATCATCGACTTGGGGAGGTAATAACGTAAAACGAAGACGGCCTGGTTCACTATCAAAAGAGTTTTTCTGCTCCGGTCAGCACTCGGGTAAAATTTCGCTTGATAAAATTGGAATAAGCCTCTTGATACGCCCGGTTATCGTTGGCTTAAGTTATTGAATTCATTTTTTTGGGCATGGGAAGAGAAACTTAACGTCTACGGTTTCTGGAATTTGTCTTTTTCTTGAGAAAAAAAAATAAATTAAGAAATGGTCATTTCCCAAATTTTGTCCTTGGAGCGCACTGGTTGAAATTGTGGGATTTTTTTCACGGCTTTTTTTCTCACAGGTTTCAAGGCTTTTTTTGTGAAGCTCTTTATTTTTTTCAGGACTCTATTTTTTTATTAATCATCTTTTTCAATCATCTCAAGACCTTCTTTTTCTAGAGTTCAATGATCCTTTAACTTTATTGACAATCGAACAGTTTTTTTAGCGAGTTTTGGATATTTTTCCAATAAATTCCTTCACAAAAAGCCTCATCAAAACTATTTTTTTGAGGGTAAAAATCGTTCAAAATCTCAAAAAAAATTACTTTCACAAGTTTACTTTTTTGATGAGTTTTTAACCCTGTCCAACCTTGTTCCTTTAAAAAAACCCGATATTATATATGAAAAAAATCCTCGAAAAAAATCTCGGAAAAAAAGCAAAAGAACGGCGAATGTCTCAACGGCAAAGGGAGGTTTAATCACGACGAATGATCGATTATCAAAGCTTACATATATCCGCCAGAGAGGGGCCCGACTTTACGTTAATCCTCTCTGCACTTGTAGGAGAAGAAAAAGATGAACGCCCCTCTCTTTTTTCTTCCATTTATCATTTTATCCGCGTCCAAAGACCCCCCGTAACAGCCGCTTATCACTTTTATATACCAGGATTTGTAGGAAGCAAAAAAAAGATGTCTGTACTATGATTCCGAAAATTCGTTCTTGTTTCGTTGGTTCAGATTTGTTCAGGAAATTTCCAATTTCTTTTCTGAAAGACTTTCGTTGAGGGGTGGAAGCCGAAAATTAAGTTCTTACAGTTTTTTTTATTCGCCGTAAGACCATGGTCGCACTTGAAATGGTTTAAAAAGCTCTGTGATGCCTCAACGCGAAAGTCGTTTCTGGTCGGGCGCAACTCTTTTTTTTCCTTTTAGAGAACAATTTTTTAAACGTGATATTTTGGTCTTGAAAATGCGGGTTTCAGTTTTTAAAGGAAACTGGTTCAACAATCTTTTAAGGTCCAGAAATATGAATTTTCGAAATTATTATTTCTGTACTCGTCCAGCACTATTCTGCGTCTTGCCCATTCTTCCACCCATTTTTTTTTTCTTTTATAATTATTTACTAGCTTCTTTTCTGTCCTAACAAGATTATTCCCTCGGTTTTGCTCGTTTTCTTCATTTTCATTCGTTGGTTTCTTTCTTTTCTATCTGTCTGGTGGTTGTGAAGGTCCTTGGAAATTCAGGAAATCGGCCGAAGGGAGAAGCTCCAGATGAGTCACGTCCAATAAGGCGATTCGCCTAACTTTCCTGCACATTTTTTCCCGTTTCCCTTTGATTTTTTCGAAATTTCTCACCGGACAACACGTTTTCCTTCACGTCGTCTTGTTGGAAACGCCGTCGGGCGAGGTTTGTTTGAAAATTTTTTTTCGTAAACTAGTTCATTCACCAACATCAACTTGTTTAAAGGCGCCGAATGAAGATTGGTTGAAAGTATTGACGCGAAAAACGTTTTCAGTATGCCTAGCAAGCTGGTGGTGAATTTACTATGAATACTAAGTTATTAAAACTCATGGTCGCATGCGGAATGGCTCAAAACCTTGTGGATCACATTACGATTCTTGTGGGCGCAAGTCGTTTTCAGTCCGTCGCGCTGATCATAACTGCGGACCACTATATACAAGTTGAAAGCTACTTTTTCAATCTTTAGATTGGTGTGATAATTTTTGAGGAAGGGTGAATTTATATATGGCTTAAAACGGTTTTCGCGTAAAGGCTTTGAACCATTCTACGTGCGGCTCCGGCTTTTTTTCCAAAAAAAAAAAATATAAACCTTTGATATTGTGGTTCTTTTCATTTCTGTTCTTGACTTCTTCTTCTTCTGAAAAATACAAAAAATAAAGGTTGAAACTTGATGAAATATCATGGTTTTTTTGGAAAACTTGGCCTGAAAAGCTGACGACAAAGATCGATGGAATTTGAGATTTTGTTCACATAATGCATATAATTTTCAGCTAAACAATTTTTTTATTGTTTCAGAAAAGTATAAATACAAAATGTGATAAAAAGCGTCGGGAAATTTTTCCTTTGAATATTAAATTTATGACAGATTCCCATCTTCTAGACATTGAATACCAAATATCGTTCGCCGTGGGAATTTCGATTTCATTGCCGACTTTTTGCCCTTTTGCAATCATTTTTTCCGCGAAAAAACGTTCAAGATGTTTGTGAAACAAAAAAAAGAGCAAGGAATTAATTACATAAAACTACAAATTTTCCGAAATTTCTGTTGTTTGACCTTGAAAAGTGACTACAATCTAGATCAATTCATAGTTTTTTTGTTAATATAAAAAAAATTAATCTTGCTTCCATAATATTTCGAAGTTTTTTTCAAGAGAAACAGGAATTGTTTGAAAATAAAATTTTTCCGTCGAAGGTAAGTTATTAACAAAACTACCAGACCATAGTCTAACTAGATCTTTCTTATTTTTCTCGAAATAAGAACCGTAAAATACCTGAAGCGAGTCTAATCATTCACTGTTTATAGTATGACCTTAACGGCGCCTACAATTTTTCAAAAAGAAATTCCCGCCTGTTCGGCCGAGCATTTTTGATCTCTCGCAACTTTTTATTTCATTTCTTGTGAACATTTTTTTCCCTTTTTTTCTTGTTTTTATTCGATTGATTTCTGTATTTTTTTGTACTGTGTTTGAATAGAAATTAATAAAAAAACATGGATAAGCTGATTAAAAAAAATCTGAAGAGTTTTTTTAAAAAGTTTCTTTGCTGGAAAGTTTTTTCAGTTAAGTTCAACAGTTTATTATTTTTTTACGAAGTGGAATTTTTTTATATTAAATATTTTAGCGAAGTGATGGAAAAAAAATTTGGAATAATCTTGAAAGTTGTCTATTGAAGTTTCAAAAGCCCAAAGGTTTTATCCAAATTAAGTTTTTTTCTCCTTTTCTAAAAATTTTTGATTTGTCCATGAGTTAATATTATTTATAAATTTAATTGTTTGAATGCGTATGATTCAATTTGTAGAGCCAAAAGTTTAGTTTGGGAAAAACATTTCATGGTTTTTTTAACCTTTTATTTGGTGAATCATCCGTTATAAACCTTATAAGGTTCATAATAGTTCGAATGGATATTTGATTGTGTTAATGGGGTTTTGCAGAGTTTTTCTGTGAATAGTCATTCCAGAAAAGTTGGTGGTGTGTTTGAAGGAGCAATTTTTGTCTGAAAAAGCGTCTTTTCTCTTCCAAACCTAAATGAAATAATCCATGCTCCTTCAAACACACCGGCAAACTTTTTTAAAAAGAATTTCTAATTTTTCCTTACTCGAAAAAAAGAGCCATGATTTCCACTTTTGAACAATTTTCCACCATTTTTTTCATCCAAATTTATTACGATAATAAAAAAGTGAAATTTATCTATTCACCTTCAGACATCATTTTTTGAACTGTATTTCAAAAAAGTCCATGATTTTTAGTCCCTGGAATCAAAAGAGAAACGAGTTTTCAACTAAGGTACTTATCTTGGATGGTGAAAAAAAAATGGTACTATTCTCTCGGAATTCTCTTCTTTGCCACAATTGAACCGGTTTTGCATTCATTTCATGTATGTTCAAAAATCCTCGCTTTTTGTGAAGGCGCATGATCCAAAATGACATCATTCGAGATTTTTTTTTTTTGAAATAAGTTCATGCTCCTTCAGATTTTTTCCACCAGAAGGAAGTATGTTCACTTTGTGGTTGAGATTTTTCTGAAAATTTTCCTGATTACTCTTTGCAGTACCATATGAAGTTATTGAAAGTCTAAAATCTAAAATTGCAAAACTTTCTAGTTCTTGAGAAAAAGGTCTTAAAGTGTATACATAAATGAATTTTCATGATTTTTTTCAATTTCAAAGTGCCTTTCTTGAAAACTAGGGAGTTTCTCCGATTTAGGCTTACGGAATATTATACTAGTGTTTTAAGAAGTAATCTGGTCGATTTTCGGTCGAAATCATACCTGACCTTCCTTGTCAATTATTTAAAATAATTATTTTTTCGGTTTTCCAGGTCGCGGAGGAAAGACTGCCTGGCTGTGGCGTACGTGAAGGGCGAGGAGAAAGTGATGGGCAAGGAAAAGAACAAGAAGACGTCGTCAACGAAGCGCCAGAAGTCGTTGGCCTCGTCGACGACGCCGGGCTCCTCGACGCCTTCTGGCCTCACCGCCGAACTCCCGGGGCCGTCGACGTCGGCGATGGAGGTGCCGTCGTCGAGCCAAGAATCCGCCGAAGTCGTCGTCGCCAACGAGCCCGGCGGCGTCATCGAGAACATCAAGGAGATCTTCTGCGATCATCTCCGGGTGATGGTCAGCCAGAATCGGCGACGTCTTCAGGTCGACGGCTTCAACCTTGACTTGACCTGTAAGTTTGGAGCATGAGGAGAACGATGTTGTGCTTTCTATGTATTAAAATTCAATTAGGATACCAAAAAATGGTTTTTTTTTTGAAAAAAAGTTATAACTTAGCTTAAAAATGTTTTTTTGTGAAAGTTGAATAGGTCCATAAGTCCAAGTAAGTCTATCAAATCTTAAAATCGAAGTTTTAGGTCAAAAAATTCAAGCTTTGCGTTTCTATTAAGCTTATACCCTGTGTGGAAAAACTATTAAGATGATCAGTAAATATTAAAAAAACAAATTACTTTTTTTGGACAAAGTTAAAAAGATGGTTTTTAAGTTTTTTTGACTATCCAGATATGTATTTTTAAGACATTAACGATTTTTAGAAGTCCACCACCAAAACAACAAAATTAGCATATAAAAGACAAAAAAATAACAGTCATTTTTGGACAGTTTCTGGCCGGTAGAAGTCTGAAAAAAAAGTTTTTTTTCCTGGTCAAACTTTTCTTGATCATTTTCAGCTCAATTCAGATAATAAAAAAATTCAAATTAATTTTTTTGAAGACATCACGGACCGAATAATTGCGATGGGATACCCGGCGGATGAGACGGAGGCCTTGTACCGAAACAGTATGCGTCGGACGATCCAGTTCCTGGAAAGTCGCCACAGCAACCACTACAAAGTCTTCAACCTGTTCGTCATTTCCTCCTTAAATTCGCAAAAAAATATATTTTTTGTTGGATTTTTTTGCTGATTCATGCAAAAAAATGGAAATTTGCGCATTTTTTTGGAAAAATTTTTCGTAACCCTGTATGAAAGAATCTTATAAAAGGTTCTGTAGAGCCCATTTCGCGTTTTCCGCCAAAAATACCGTATACCGAATTGGACCTTATTTCTTCGCTTCAAGACCTTTTATTCACCACATTTTTGCACTTTCTCAGAGAAAAAAAACTGTTTTTACGGTAGCTTTTTTTCTTCTGTGCTTTTAAAGCGTGACAGTCTCGCGCGGATTGTTCGAAAGTTTTGAATTTTTTCCATTTTGAAGAAGATTTATTTTGACTTCTGAGGAGCAGTTTTGAGCTACAGTACCGCTCAAAAGTCTATTAACTTTTGGTTTTTTGAGGATATCTCAGCGAGTACTCATCCGATTTATATATAACTTTCAGGGATAATGTAAAATATACTTTGAAACATATACGGTATACAAAGACATGTCCGCAATGACTGTGACGCGTTTTAGGCATTTTTTTATTGAATTCCATTTTTGTTTTTTTATGCTTTTTATTTTTTTATTTATTTTTTTATTAAATTTTTTTAAAATTAATAATGTTGCCATATGATTTTTTTCATGTTTTTCAGACATGGGAAGAACCTTTGGAAATAAGAATTTGACTGATAACGACAAAAGAGCCATCGTTGTGGGTCGTCAAAAATGGACTGACCATGATGACGTTGGCAGGAATGTTCGGCGTGACAAAGGCGGGCATTTCTCAGTTCCTAAAGCGTCAGAAAGCTCAAGATGGCTCTACTAACAGCCAACGCACTGGAAGACCACGTGTCACTGATCGTAATGACGATAGGAACATTTTGAAGACGTCTAGAACCAATCCAAGACTCACCGCCCCTGCGATCAGACGGGAAGTTTTCTTGAATTCGCCATCTCCGCCATCCGTCTCGACCGTGAAACGACGTCTGAATGCTGCTGGAATCATGGGAAGACGTCCAGTGAAGAAACCGCTGATTTCTGAAAAGAATCGAGTCGCCAGGGTGAAGTGGGCGAAGGAGCATCTCAACTGGACCCGTCAAGACTGGAACAAGATTCTGTGATTCGACGAAACGGTCCTCCACCATGTTTCACAAAGGGTAATTGGTATTTCGGATGATATCTGGACCCAATTGGTCTACGAACTCATTGAATTCCGTCACTTCCGAAGAGGAGGAACTTGATTTCGTCGGACGACAGAATCTTGTTCCAGTCTTGACGGGTCCAGTTGAGATGCTCCTTCGCCCACTTCACCCTGGCGACTCGATTCTTTTCAGAAATCAGCGGTTTCTTCACTGGACGACTTCCCATGATTCCAGCAGCATTCAGACGTCGTTTCACGGTCGAGACGGATGGCGGAGATGGCGAATTCAAGAAAACTTCCCGTCTGATCGCAGAAGCGGTGAGTCTTAGATTGGTTCTAGACGTCTTCAAAATGTTCCTATCGTCATTACGATCAGTGACACGTGGTCTTCCAGTGCGTTGGCTGTTAGTAGAGCCATCTTGAGCTTTCTGACGCTTTAGGAACTGAGAAATGACCGCCTCTGTCACGCCGAACATTCCTGCCAACGTCATCATGGTCAGTCCATTTTGACGACCACAACGATGGCTCTTTTGTCGTTATCAGTCAAATTCTTATTTCCAAAGGTTCTTCCCATGTCTGAAAACATGAAAAAAATCATATGGCAACATTATTAATTTTAAAAAATTTAATAAAAATAAATAAAAATAAAAGCATAAAAAACAAAAAAAATGGAATTCAATAAAAAATGCCTAAAACGCGTCACAGTCATTGCGGACATGTCTTTGTATACCGTATATGTTTCAAAGTATATTTTACATTATCCCTGAAAGTTATATATAAATCGGATAAGTACTCGCTGAGATATCCCCAAAAAACCAAAAGTTAATAGACTTTTGAGCGGTACTGTATTTTAACCATTTTCGGGTGAATGAGTTCACCTTTGACTTCTATACGATCTTAGGCTGGAGAAAAACACATCTCCAACAATTTTCATGATTTTTCATGATTTTATCGAACAAATCAACACGATTTTCATTTCAGACGCGGCCAGTACTCGTACAATCCGATCAACTTCCAAAACCGAGTCATTTCCTTCGAAATGACGGATCATCATCCGCCGAGACTGGAGCTGATGGCCCCTTTTTGTCGAGAAGTTCACGAATGGCTGGCCGAAGATCCGCGGAACGTCGTCGCTGTCCATTGCAAAGCTGGCAAGGTGATTTTGGGGCGAAATTGTAGCGAATTCACGGCTAGCTTGAGACGCGAGAGGCGTGGCGTGTCTGCGCTCTCCACTAGCCACACTGTCTCTCTTCTTATCGTGTCAGGACCATTTTTTGATGGCTCAAGATCAGCTGTATTGTCTTTTAGATTTTTAAAATCAAGTAGAATGACGTCATTTGGAAACGCTATGTAGATGGCTTGCTCTCTAATTGGTATATTGCGTAATTAGGGGCGGAGCTTGAGCGAAGACTTGAATTTCAAAATCTGGATATTTGAAGAAAGTGATGTGAATTTCTGGATGAGGAAAAGTTGACGGGGAATTTCCAGCAAATACAGTATCCTTTTCGTTTCGAAATGCAATATGATGATCCTTCAATAGCAATATTTTTGATCTTGTTTTGGCTCAGCAGTTTGGAATAATGGTCGCGCTATTAAAGGATCATCATCAATGCGAGGGATACTGTAACTAAGGGGGCGGAGTTAGATGCTTGAAGTTAAAAACCCATCACTTTCCCGTACATAGCTGATTCACGGCTGGCTTGATCGAAAAAAAGGGTCCTGACACGAAAATGCACGAGATAGCGCCTGGCTCGTGTAGAGTGCAGACAGGACACGCCCCCTTAGCGTCCCATACTGTCCTTTGTGAGAATGTGACTTTGAAGAGCCAAAATCTCGATTTTCAGGGTCGAACAGGCGTGATGATCTGCGCCTACCTGATGTACTGCAACTTCTACCCGTCGCCTCGGCAGAACATGGACTATTACTCGATCGTCCGGACCCGGAACAACAAAGGCGTCACGATCCCCTCCCAACGGCGCTACGTCTACTACTATTCGCACCTTCGACAACACCAACTGAACTATGTTCCCTTGAGGGTACAGCTCGTCGGCGTCTACATCGAGTGTCCGCCCAAGTCCCGGAGTCCGTCTTCTTTTTTTAGCTTCCAAAATTCCCATCTGATTGCATTTTACCTAAATTTTCTATGAGACCTTTCCGAGCATTCTCAAAAATTTTCTTTGAGGGATACATTTTCGATGTTTTCTTTTTATTCTCATGCCTTTCTTAGACATCTCAAATACAACATCAAGTCTTGGAAAATATGATTTTTCGTTCGAAAACTCAGAAATATTCAAGGACCTGACCCCTTGGAGGCTGAATTTGTAACGAAATTTTTTTTGACATGTTTTCTTTAAGTAATTAGGAACTCCAGAGTGTTCCCTATAGCGGTTAGGAAAAAAAACCCCCCTCTAGGGGTAAAAATTTAGGTGCTCCCTATAGGGATTTCGTGTCTCACATAAGCCCCTACAGCTCAAGTGGTCCCTATAGAGTCTTTCAATTTTTTTTGTTGAGATTTGAACTGAATGGACACACTTGGTTATTTCATCCCTTGTTGATATTTTTTCTTTTATTTAAAGTAAAATCGCAAAAATATGAAAATACTTCTTCTTTTAGGAACTTCAGAGTAGTCCCTCTAGGGGCAAACTTAGGGACGCTTGGAGGTTACTCTATAGGGACCGCTTTGCCAAATCCTATAGGGTCCACTAAAGCTAGCAAAAGTGGTCCGTGTAGACGTTTTAGCTAGTGGCCCCTATAGAGGGCGTGCTAGTCGATAATTGTTATGAATTCTAAGTGAAGAAGCATTTCCATGAGAAAAACTGAATAAATAAGCGTTTTTCGAATGAAAGTGAAAGACCCATATAGGGTCCACTTGAGGTTTAGGGCTAAGGGGTCAAATCCTGAACCTCTTTAGGGACCACTTCAATTTTACCCCTTTAGGGACCACTCTGAAATTCATAAGTTCGTAGAGTTCATTAAAATGATCGCCTAGCATGTCACCTATAGGGCCGCTTTTTCCAAGTCTTATTGGTCACTATAGGGGGAGGTGAAGAGCTCCATAGAGATGAGCCTTAAAGAGACCAAAAACTTGCCCCAGAAGGGACCACTCTGGCGTTCCTAAGTAATAGATCAAGATACTGGACCACATGAAGATGATCATTGAAATATAGATCGAAATTGTGCAGATTCGATCTTCCGCGACCAGCTGAGCTTGCGTGTGGCCAACGGCGACGTCGACGTTTTCTACGGTCCTCCGATGGGAATCAACGACGACATTTGGACGCAAGAGGAGGCCGCTTGGGCCAGAAACGCCTCTCCGATCGGCCTCGACTCCTACGATCCCAACAATCCGATCCCCGGCCATGATTGCATTTCTAGGTAGGCCTCGTAACTTTCTGATTTCTCTGCGCACTCCTTTTTTTTAGTGTCTCTCTCGTTTTGACAATGTTTTTTTTTTTGAAAAGTTTTGACCTTGTCGCTGAAAGAAAAAGACGCAGAGAAGTCTGACTTTTTGAATTCTCGGAGTATAGTTTTATTTAATTTTTTCAGAAGAGCTTTCGGCTGGACCATCCCCGAATCAAAGCCGGTTTTCCTCGAAGGCGACGTCCGTGTCGACCTTTTCGTCCAGCGTTGGTTCATCTCCATGTTCTCGTCGACGGCTAGGGCCAAGGTGGATTTTGGATTCGTCCTATGAACAAGTTCAAGAAAGACAAAAAATATTTGGGAATAAAAAATAAAGTTATGAGCGCCTTTTTCAGGGATTTTTTGATGAGACTCGCTCAAAATTTAGCGCTCTCGAAGTTTAAAACCGATGAATATTTGGTCACAGGAACGTTAAAAGAACTTTGGAAATGAAAAAAACCGTAACTTGGCCCAAAATTTGAGAAATAATGGTTAGACGTGACCCCGGCTATATAACCGAAACTGAGCTTGATTATTGATTTTTTTTTTTCCTGCCACAACTTTTTTCATAGATTGTCGTGGCCATTTTTTCGCACAGATTCAGATTCGGCTTGAAAAACGCCATCTGATAATATATTTTTTCAAAAATTTCTTCCTTTGAAGTACCTTTCAAAAAAATATTTCAATAGCAACGAATAAAAAAAAATTTTTATTTTTTTGATTTGTATGAAACTTTAGCCAGTGTGATAACCCATCATTAGAATTGCGGATACAATTTTTTGAGCCATTTCCTCTTACTATAGCCGGGTTACGATAGGTGCTTTAGTGTCGTCAAAAACGTCTCCGTGTAAATTTAGACTACCCCCTGATTCTTGAACTTATTATCTATTTCAAGGTCGGCCACATCTGGTTCAACACGATGTTCTGCTGCCCCAACGCCTGCGGCGGTACTCCTTACGTCCATGGCGACGAGGCTTTCCCCTATCCGGACGGCGAAACGACCATCGCCGAAAAGAAGGGAAAAGACAAGTCGGAGTTCTGGCCTGGAGGCGAACAAAGACGGCTTATTACGACTCAGCCACCGTGAGTTTGAGTGGAACAAATGCGTCAAAATTAATGAAACAAGGAAGTTTTGGAGTAGTAGTGAACAGAACAAGAAAATGTGGACTTTGAGCCGCCGTCATTTTCTGTTGGGCAAGGCAGAAGAATAAGAAGAAAGAGCGAAAATTTACTTTCTCTGGAGCCTCTCCAATTTCCATGCTATCTCTTGAAAAGACTCTGGAATCTGAAAACCTTGTATCAAAGAGGGCTCAATCGAAAATTCATCATAATTCTTATCATTTCAGGCCTGACTTCCTGCCGGACCCGCCAAGCGTCATCCAGGACTGCTACTTCACCCCGAAAAAGGAGCAAAGTTCAAGCTCTCTGTCAGGATCAACGAAGAAGAGAGACCCCCGACAACCTCAGAAAGTGCTTTATGAGCCGGATTCGCCGGAAGGACGCCTCGAAGCCTTGCCGGACCCGTGTATCTACGAGAGCAGTGGCAGCAAATGCAGTTCCGACATGTTCGACGTGGACAGCGGCGAGAAGAAACCGCCTCCGAACCTCGACAAGGAGGCCTACGTCGACGAGGAAACCGTCCAGAAGGTCAAGTCGAAATCGGCCAGAAGGGAGCTCTACGTCCATCCCAAGGCCGTCGGCTCGAGAATGTCGGAGAGAAAGAGCGCTCCGCTGCTCTCCCCGGACAACAGCATCGACATCGAATCGTCGCAACCCCGACGCACGTCTTCCGCCTCGCCGATTCCTGGCTCGAAGCCAAAGTCGGCGTCGATGCCCGACACGTGTCTCGAGACGCCTTCTGATGAACAGGCCAAGGAGTCCCGCTTCTCCAAGGCCAAGAGTGTCGCCAAGAGATGTTTGTTTTTGGAATGAAGTGGACACTATAGGGACTTGAGAGATACAAGCTGCAGAACTGAATATCTGGGAAGAATTTGGCCACGTCAGTGATCACTTAGGCGTCAATCAGATGAGAAAATTTGATCTCATCTTTGCTAGCTTTGCTTAATGAGTGATTTCTATTAAGTTTTCGGTAAAAACCCCCTGAAGGGATTAGCAAGCACTTAAGTGATTACTAAAGGGTCCAGTCAAGCTCTATTAAAATGAACGAGATCATCTCAAAAAGCCCCCTAAGAGATTACTTATAAGTCGAACTTACTCTGTCAAAGCTTTTCAGATGTTATTAGGTGGCCATTCCAAATATTGTCGAAACTCTTTAAGTGATCCCTCCAGAGATTTTCCTAAAGAAATCCTCTCTGAAACTGACTTCTTTCAGTCTTCCCATCATCGTCACAAAAGAAGTCGAAAGAGGAACGTGAGGAGATCAAAGAGACCCAGAAGAGGGAGAAGAAGCTGTCGAAGAAGGAGAAGAAGGCCAAAAAACGCGCTTCTGATGCGACGTCGGTCATCAGCCCCGTCTTGCCCTTTGAGGACCTTGAGGTCGAGATTGGGGAAACTATCAGCAAAGCGTTGCGGTTGCACCGCGTTTGAAATGAACTTCTTCTCTCCAATACTGCAGGGTGCAGTCGTGCGCAAGTAGTTTTTAGTCGGACGCGCGTTTCGAGTTGTTGAAAACAAAGATTACTTCATTTGCGGCGGTTATGGTCGCATTTCGAATGGCCCAGCGCGTCGCGGTCACTTAAGGATATTTACTTATCTTGTAGCTGCACTAGACCACATGGTTCTTCTTTTACTCCCATCTTACCGCTTACAAGATGCCTCCATGCGAAATTAGTTTGTATTCGGAGGCGCTTTGAGACATTCCCAATGCGACCAGAGCAGTTTTAGTTTTTTTGACAAAGGCCGCCTCATTTTCAATGACTTTACCGTTTTTGCTCACGTTTATAATGACTCAGCGCGTTGCGGTCGCGCTGCGGTTTTGGTTAAGATGAGCCATTCTCAATATCTTTAAGAATAAATTGAAGCATATTTTATTTGTATTTTCTTCTAATTTTGAAGATCTTCGAGGCGCCTGGAATCGATGCCCACTGCCCGGAGGAGAGCGTCCAGCGGATCTACAAGGACCAGAATCGATACCCGTACGTTATTGGGTTCAAGAAATGTTGATTGATAGCCTTTTATAGACCCCGATTCGCGATCAATCGAATGTTGTCGGAGGCTCATGAGTACGGCATCGTCGAGGACACCTACAACGATCGGCTGAGAAGCGCTTCCATTGGTGAATTTCAGAGGAATTCCTAGAAGAAGGATGTATAACGGAGCCTATCTTGATTCCTTCTCAATTTGAAATTTTTTGACAAGAAAAAATTCCGATAAGACTGAAAATTTGACAACCCCGGTTTACTCAAAAAAATTTTAAAAATGGCGAAATTTGTTCAAAATTCATGTCTTATAGTCTGCTCAGATTTTGAATTTCAAGTCGTCGCCCAAGCTCCGCCCCTAATTACGTGATAAACCAGTCAGAGAGTAAACCATCCAAGGAACGTTTTCGAATGACGTCATCGCACAAGCTCCGCCCTAATGGCGCGTTGAACCAATCAGAGATTGTCATCCAAAGAGATTTTTTCAATGACGGCATTGTACTTGAAATTAAAAACCTGGACAGACTATACTGACTGTATTAATTTAAGGCCAAGAAATCAGTTTCATAGGTCGATTTTCAGGTGATGAACCTGTTCAATGTGCCCCAGTCGGACGTCCGACCGCCAGTGGACCCAACAGGATCGAACGTCAACCCAACGAGCACGTCTGCGTCTTCCCGCTGGTCGAGGTCGACCGGGCCTGCAAGAACTCGGAAATGCCCAAGGGCTTCAAGGTGCTGCAGCTCCCAAAAGTCCCGAAAACTTATCGTTTCCTTCAGTTGATCGTCGTCACTCGCTGCGTCGAGCCGAAGATGGCCCGCCATGCCGAGGCCTTCACCAACATCACCTACGAAAAGCAGCAGAAGGTCAACGAGGAGAGCTTTGCCAAGGTGAGAAATAGGAAAGAAAATGATTATAAGTATAGAAAATAAGTAAAATTGATACTTTCACGGCTTAAAAAAATGGATGTTTTAAGGTCAAACTGAGAATTGAAGAACTTAGGAATGATTTTTAAAGCAGATTCTTGAATTTTATTCGTTACCTTTATTTAGTACAGGATGATATAGGAAAAGACATGAAGAACACAAAAAATATTCAATCAATCACGGAATATGCGCCAACACGCACCACCCTGGCGCAAACTTTTGCGAAAACATTTTTGGACCACCCTGTAAATTCAGCTTGCCGAGCCTTGACTTTTTTTTGAGTAATCTTTCTTTCTGGCCTCTTAAGATTGCTAGCATAAAAAAGCGTGGACAGCCACTCAGAGATATAGTTCAATAGAGCGAACTTTCACGGCTTGAAAAAATTTCATCCTAATGCATTTTCTTCAGTTTGAAAAAGGCCGCTTGCATGAAAAATTTTTATTTGATGAGAAGTCAGGATCAACTGAATAGTGGGCAAAAAGAGAGGTTTAGACGTCTCAGAAAAATTTTCTACAGAATGAACTTTGAATAGAGTATGATCACAGCTTACCTAACTTCTCAGCTCCACCCGATAAAATGAAGCTAATTTTGTCGCGCGCTGCAAGTTCCATTCAAGGCCAGGGCTGTTATAGCTAATTGAGCCATCAAAAATGGGTCCTGACACGATAAGAAAAAAAAAAACAGTGCCTGGTTGGGGTAGAGCGCGGACAGGCTAGCCTTTTTACATCCCAAGCTAACCGTGGATCGACTATAAGTCTTCTTAAGTGACTACTTCAACTTAGTTCGTAATTTCTCAACATAGTTTTGAACGCACCGTTCTTTCAGACCCAGCGAGGTAAGCCGCATCTGGAAGTCCTGACGGACAAGTCGCGCGACGAGTACGGTGCCGGAAAATCGTGGCCGCCGGTGATTCAGTACGGATGCGGCGAGTCGCCGACCCTCAGCGACCACGCCTTCTTCGACGACGCTCGCGCCCGCGACAACCGCTACTGTCGCTTCTTCCACAAGCAGCGACGCGACTCGCTCAGCAAGTATCCCTCGACGAGCCATGAGTGGGTCTTGACACGATTGTAACAAGAGCAACATACAGAAAAAGTTCTTATTAAGGTTTTGTAGTCTTGGTAGAAAGGTTAAAGGAGCATGAGACATGGCGAATAGTTTTTTGGACTGTATGCGCCTTTAAACAGACATTCAAAGACGCATAAGGTTCCAAAAAACGATCTTAGTAACTGACAGGATAATAAACGTTTTGAAGTGGAGACAAGAAAATTACATACGAAAATGTGTTGATTTTTCAAGCTTGCCAGAAAGTTTGAAGGAGCATAGGCTAAGATTTTTTGGACCTTATGCGCCTTTAAACACTCCAGAACACTTTTTTGAACTAATTGGTATTTAAAAACCCGTTTTAAAGTAGCGAGAGAAAATTACAGACAAAAGTTTGTTTGATTTTAAGCTTACCAAAAAGTTTAAAGAGCATGGGCTGAGAGTTTTTTAAACCTTATGCGCCTTTAAACACATTTTTGAGAAGGATACGGGAATGGCAAGAAAAAAAATACAGACAAAAGTTAAAGTAAAAAGTTCCATGTTCAATTTGAAACTTTAAACTTTTGAGAAGGAGCAAAATAATTTCAAAACTTTTTTCAGTCACAGCTAAAATCGACTAGGCGGTGAGGCGTTTTTCAAAGCTTTTTCATCGGCTTTTACTAAAAAACCGCTACTAAAAATAACTGAGCTTTTGCGCATTTTCTTATTTCTCACTCGATTTCTCACGACTTGAAATTGTCGGAGAAAGTTCCAGTTTTTGGCTATTCGAGTATATAAAATGAAAATTTACGAAAAAAAAAGGGAAATTTTCAGCTGCACTCTTTCTGGTAAGCCCTCACAAGGGGAGGCTGTTTCGAAGGCTGAGGAGGAGAAAAAAGAGGAGCAGCGGGCCTGTGTCGCCTCTCCATTGGTGGGTTTCGTTGGATTTTTTGGAAAATTCATGTTTTCCCTCGAGTGGTTTAGAGGGCCCTCTAATGAACACTCAGACTGTGATAATCTGAGTATATTCAAAGTAATTTAGGAGAAAGGATATCTTATTTTGATTTGGGAATTTTTGAAGTTTGACTATATTACTATTTGAGGGACCAGAGGAAGATCCTGAAAGTCCCAACCTTTAGAAGTCCCAAGCTTTCATGAAAAACTATTAAAACCGTCAGCAAAGGCCATTTTCCGGCTTTGAGCCCTTTTTTCTAGAGGTTTAGGAATGTTTTCAGGTTAAGACTTTTTTCTGATAATTCAAGGCCATTTCTGGCCAATTTTCCCCCAAATTAAAATGACACATCTTTTTAAAAGAAGATTTACGGCTGGCTTGGGACTTTAACAAACGTGTCTGCGCTCTCCACCGACCGGACACTATCTCTTTTCATATCGTGTCGAGACCCTTTTTTGACCTCAAGCCAGCCGTGAATCAGCCACAGTACCGTAAAAATGAAAAATTGTCACATTTTTCAGAACCTCGGACAGATGCTTGAAGATTCGCAGCTTCTGGAGGACCGTATCGATAGATTTGACGACGCTGTCGATATGGAAGTCCGAAGTTATCATCCGGACGCCGTCAATTGGGAGAACAGCAACAGCAGTCGATCCTCGAGCAGTGTACGCCCTTTGGATTTATCCTGACGATTTTTTTTCCTTTTCCGGGAAAGTCGAAACTGCACTAGGATATATAAACCCCGCCCAAGCCTTTTGCGCGCGAAAGAAAAAAATGTTTGAAAATTACTGAAAGTGGTCGCATTTTTTGAATTTATTGGTCCACCCCAAGTATGCTTTAGAATGACAACTTGGGACTTGTTCTAGTAGTCACTCTAGGGACTAGATCCTAAAATATGTTTTCTATTGACTAGATAATTAATTAGCTATGTTTGAACCTTGCGGCTACAGTAACCTATTCGCTTCGAAATTTTCTCGAAAAACATTTTTTCAGAACTTTTAAATGTCGTCTGGTTTCAATTTTCGATTTTTTGCGAGAAAAAGACATAACTGTAGCTTTAGAGTTCTGAAGCGAAAGGGATACTGTAGCACTTTTTGTTCTTTTTCGAATTTTTAATGCCTCTTAAGACTCGAGGAACTAACTGTTGAGTTTGAGAAGAAAATCCGACTTTTAGCGATTCTAAGAACTACTGTTCATTTTTTAACCTTTAATCAGAACTTTTTTTAATTGTTAGAACCTCCAAACTAATTTAATTAAATGAAGAAACGTTATTTTCAAGAAGTTCGGTAGGAATTTGCGATTATGAAATGATTTTTTTTGGCGATTTGAGGGACTTTTTCTGATTATGCAGCTTAGTTAGGTTATTATTAAGCTCAGTGGCCAAATTTTAAGACTTTAGGAACAAATTGACGAATTTTAATATCTCAAAACTAAAGTGTCCCTTGTTTAGAGCGAAGAAAATCCGCTGGCGCCATCCGAAGCGGACATCGCCAACGACTGTCTGCAGTACAAGCAGCTGGTCAACGGCGAGAATGGCTCGAAACCCGAGGCGACTGGTCCTTGAACTCAATTTCCTGTTTTTCATCAAATTAATCTCACTCTCACCCAACTATACTCACAATTGTAGTGAATTTCCAACTTTTCCATCCCAAAAATGCTAGTCCATTTTCCATATTGTTGTTGCAATTTGAATGGGTTTTCCTGTGTTAATTTAGACAGTTTTATGTGTACAATTATTATTCTTCGTTTTCTGGAGAAAACATTGACCTTTCTAGATCTATTATATATGTATTTTTCAACTTTTCCTTTTTGTTCGAAATTCAGGTGCACTCATGAGCTTCCCATCTAATCTTCTTTTCGTACCCTACTATTTTAGTCTTCATTTTTTCATATTGGTTAGAAATTCCTTGGTGGTAGAACCTGGAATAATCTTAGAAAAATGTAGTTTTTGATCCCCGACGACTTGGAGTCATCTGGTCGCATTCGGAATGGCTCGGCGCGTTCCGGCTAAGAAAGTTTCAAATGAGCCATTCCAAATGCGGCCAATGGTTTTCGAGTCGCGGTTAATCAAGTTCATACTCCATTCGCCAAGTCTCGGAGGTCGCATTTTGAATGGCTCGACGAATCGCAGTTTAAAAAATTTAAATAATCAGCCATTCCAAATGCGACCAATGGGAGAGCGAATCGACCTATATGTATTAATAGTAGTTATTTTTTTATTAGAAAAAAATTGAGAAAAAAATCCCCGTGAGTATATTCCCCCACGCGTACGGTTGTATTATAAATTTGTAACATTACATTTATTATGTGATTTCTTTTTTCCAAAACAAGTCACTAGGTTTTGAATTTTTATTGATCAATTTCGGAGCCCTGGGAGGTCATTTTGTGATGATATATCTCTTGTTAGGCCACGATTTGAAATTTGCGGCCGCATTTGGAATGGCTTTCCGACCTTTTTTTCGAATCGTGGCCTTCTTTGTTGTTGTAAATCCAATTTTGAATATTTTAATGGGCTTTTCCGCATATCTCCGCCCCAATTATACATATTAACTGAGATGATTGCGATTCTACTGATGATTTTAATCTATTTAACATCATTATTGATTGATTCGATTCTAGTTATGAAATGTCAAGAGTTGTGGTCACCTCCAAGTACCCTAATCCCGTGTAGCCCTTAATGTTGACCCTATTTAGTACGATAATTCAATTGTTTGTAATTTTATAAGAGAACAAAAAGATAAATGATAATGTACAAATTCAAGCAAGTTCACGAATACCGGTAGGTTTTTAGGAAAATTAAAGAAAAGAAAATTATGCATCAAACTGATAATAATAGATAACAAAATAAGGCAAAAGTGTAAAAATAGAAAGTGCACTTTTTTTCATCGGTATGTAGGAGAATAAGTTAGAGAATTGAATAAACGGAAAAAATGAGCCGCCATGAATATTATTGTCCGGAGAGCACATCTTCTGAATTTCTAAGCTATTTTTTTGCGGCTAAAATTGCTTATTGTTGAAAATAGTGTCCATAGAGACAAGCTGTCGAAATTAATAGCTATTTTTCGCGGCTCAAGTTTTTCAGATAAAAGTTAGTGACCGGAAAGCACTACTGTTGAATATTTGAGCGGCTAGACCTTTTTTTTTAGATCGAGTCATAACTTAAATTACAACTATGGAAAAGTATCGGAATTAGTACTAGAAAAAGTTAATAAAGACCACACAAACGAAGATTTTCTCTGATAATAATATCCGTGACGGCGTCGAAAAACGAAGCGTATGTTGTTGGTATCAGTGGCGCAGGTGAAATGCGTGTAGATCTCCTGGAAAATTGAATAAATTTTATTGAAATGATGAGAATTCAAAAAAAAAAAGAAATAAGAGTATGTGATTTTGCGTCAAAGTTGTATGCCCCAAATACATCATAACTTGGTTTTTCCGAGAATATTTTTTTAAAATAAACGTGACAAGAAAACACTGAAATTAAAAAAAAAAATTGGTCAAAATTGTAAAAAAAAAAATTGAAAAAAAAGAGAGTATGTGTTTTGCGGCAAAGGTGTATGCACCAAAAACATGATTTCCTTTTTTTGAGAAATTTTTTTTCAAAAAGACCGTGATTGAGAAAAACCGAAATTTTAAAGAAACTGATCAAAAGAAGGAAAAAAAAAATCGAAAAAAAAAATTAGAGTATGCGATTTTGCGTCGGAGGTGTATGCACAACAACAACAAAATATAACTTTTCAAAAAAAAAAAAACCTTTTGGCCTCCGCGTCGTTTATTCAGTGTTTCGAATCTCAATTGGATGTAGGCCGAGGCTTCCTCATAGGTATTTGATCCTGAAAATGACCGGAATTTCTCGAAAAAATAATTCGCGCAAACCTTTATACTCGGGGAAGCAGAAAGAGAGGGGTGATCGGCGAATTTTCTCTTCGAATAAATCTTTCTTGTTCAAAAAGAGAATTATGGAAGTTTCCGTGAACCATCGGTTGTTGCAGATCGAGTCGAACAGCATCATCGACTCGTTCATTCGGTTCTATAAAAAAATTAGAAATTGTTGAAATAATCATTAATTTTTAAAGGAGCATCTGAGAATTTTATAATAGTCTCGGTACGAAAAATTCTCAAATTTTTCGTTCTGATTTCCTTAGAAAATTCAGTCAAATTCGAACTTTTCATTTATTTTTTTCATGGTTCACAGAATAGAAATCAAAGAAAATTGGAATTTTTTTATGAATAATAAAAAAATGTTTTTCGAGCTCATAACTTGTTTATTACGACTTGAAAAAAAGGTCAGAAAAAAATTTATTTTTCTCAAAATCTTGAAAATTTTTAAATCTCAGCGCTCTAAGCTCACAGAAATGAACCTACTATTACTCCGGAAATTTTAATTGAAATAGATCGATTTCTAAAATTTTTTTGATCTTTTTACCATTTCGGCATCCTCAGCCAGGACCATGTCGTACTCGCTCATCGCCACGCAGAAGATGATCGCCGTGACGCCTTCGAAACAGTGCATCCACTTTTTCCTCTCGCTTCTCTGTCCGCCGACGTCAAACATTCTGGATGATGAAAAATCGGTTATTCAAAAAATTTAAAGGAGCATAACTTGACCTACGCCATGTGCCTTTAAATAAACACTTTTGGATAAACTAAAAACTTACTTGAAGAACAAATCCTTGTAGGTAAAATGGGTCTCAACGATTCCTGTGGATTTCACTCGGGACCGGATTATATCATCCTAAATTTTGATTTTTTTCAAAAGTTACAAAAGTTCATAGTACCGTGTACAAAGAAATCCAAAATTATCTCTAACTCTCCAAAAAAATTAGTTATCTTTATCTTTCTCTGACGGTTTTTTTGAACTTGGCGGAATCACTTTGAACCCGGCACAGATTCATTTTCCAAGAAGAAAAGACAAACTTGAGTTGGGATATAATCAACTTGGGAGATCCTATCGATCGCGTTCAAATAATAAGCGGCCGAGTCGTTCAGTTGATATTCTCTCGACCTAAAATTATGAAAAATATTTTTCTGGAAGGGAAAAAATTGTATACAGGTTGAAAACTTGAAGTTTACATTTCTGAAGAAAAATTATGTCAACACTGCCAAAACCGCAAGTGCGGAAAACGGGAGCAAAATGCCCGCTAAAAGGGTTTCGTTTTGCGGCCTTTTTTGAGCCTTTCTTTCTTTGTGGCCTTAAAAGCCTTAAAAAAGGGTGAAAAAAGGAAGAGGCCTAAGCTAAAGACCTCAATAAACAATAATTTTTACTTGGTAAATATAAACAACTCTTATCACTTGATTAAAAAAATCGAAAAAGTGTGTTTTTTTACTATCAACTGATAGGAAACAGGGAAAATCATCAGGTGCGAGGAGAAGGAGGAAAAAGAAAAAAATTAATTGAGAAAATTTTGTAGCTGTATTGAATTTTTTTCGTTTTTTTGGCAAAATAAAAAAATACAGATTCAACGTATAAAACACCTCAAATAACAAGTTTGAACCCCGACGTCGGCCCAGAGTTTTTTCATGGCCAGGGCTAGGTCGGGCGACAGTTCCCCTTCGTCCATTTGATGGATCAATGTGAGGAATTTCCGTCCGTCGGCGACTCGGTTAGGATCATCGAATGTGACTTTCAGGGTGTCCATCGCTCTGACGATCGCGAGTAAACTCTGAAAAATTCCGAGGACGTGGATAGAACAAGCTTCGAGTCAGGAAAAAAAGCCTCAAAGGAAAAAAATACCGAGAAAAAAACAAAAGTAATTTTGAAATCCCCCAAGGTTTTGAAGATACGAAATTTAAGGCAAAAAGTTGAAAAATCGATTTAACCTAGAATATCTCTGAATTTTCGAGTAAAATACCTTTTCTATCCGAAAATTCTTTGAAATGATGCGAGAAAAAACACAAAAATACCTAGGAAAAAATCGCCGAAAATTCTCTAACCGCTAAAAAACGGAGAATGCTTAAAGCTTCATAAAAGATTTTCTAAGGGTCCCAGATATTTTTATTTCGCATCTTTCCGCTCTAATAATATTCCAGGAGATCCAAAGGCTATGTAAAAAGAGCTCAAACGCCTTTTTAAAAGGCACTTTTAGAGGCACTTTTTCACCTCATTTTAAGGGCCCTTAGAAGAACTTTTTTTTCATCTATGATTTGACTTTCATGTGTAGGAATCGAAAAAAAAGCTTAAAATTTTCAATTTTCCCAAGAGAAAAACCACCAACATTAGTGACATTGCTGTACACGACGGGCCGGAAAAGCTTTCTCTCCTCCTCATTATAGCCGGCCTCGTGGATTATCCTCATTTGTTTCACGATCGTGCTTTTTCCGGATTCTCCGGCTCCGAGCAGCAATAATTTAACCTCTCTCGAGGCTCGTTCTCCGTCTTCTTTCAACTGAAATCAGATGTTTTGAGGATTATTTATTTTTGTTATTGAAAAACCTGGTCATCAATCCATTTCGACCGCTGCTTGGCCTCCTTCTTTTCCGAACTGGAAACGCATCCCATTCTCCTAAAAAGCCTGGAAAAACAAATTTCATTTAGAAGTCATTTTGGAACTCAAAAATGATCGTAAAAGCGCAAAAATGCTCGAAATTTGAAAAATAAAAATGGGTTCAGCGGGTGAAGAAAAAGAGTAAAAAAGGCAACAAAAACACCCCAGGAGTGGAGAAATTTCCCACTAATTTAAACTTTAAAGTTTCTGTATTAACCACGTCCCAAAAAAAAAATTTTTAATTTCTCACGCAAATTATATTCCAAAAAAAAAAGCCAGGGTTGAGCTTTTGAGCATTTATTTCCCAGAGAATCACAGTAAAAAGAGAAAATATGCTTTTAGAAAAAAAAAAATGAAAATAGAAAATTTTCTAAAATTAATTTATTTGAGACCGTGTGGTTCCCCCTGCTCTATTCTTGACCAATCCTTCTCGAAAAGAACAATTTAATAATTTGCTCAAAAATATTCGCTGGAATATTTAAACGCGCAGGAGCCTTGACCAGCCGTTTAAAATGGATCCTCGCCTCGAGACATTTTTGCGAGTCTTCAACGCTCCTTTAAACCTTCGAGCAAGGATTTACCAAAACACTTTGACATAAAAGCCGCGAAAAAGCTGTGAGCGAAAAATAAAAACGAAAAAAAGCGCATATGATGTGTTCTTGTGGGGCCGGCCGCCCACATCAAACGAAGCCATTTAAGAGTGTCACATAAAACACGGCCGGGGCTTAGGCTTTTATTGGACAGGTTCCAAGTTTAACAGAGTTGTTGTAACAAATCAATATGGAACAAGTGTCAAAGGGGCTGCTCATTAACGTCGTTTCATAAACAGTAATCACCGCTATTCAAAAAGATTGGCAAAAAATCTCTTTTCCGAGTTCTGGGCTCTATAGTCTGGTCAATAATCCTTGCTGAGATGCTTAAGAAAATTATGAACAAATTTAACAAAGTTATCAAACTTGGACTCTTTTTCTAAATTGTTTTAATTTGCACGAAAGTCCTGCGCCTAAGATAATGTTCGAAAAATTTTTTTATTCAACATTTTTTTCATTTAAAAATTTTTTTACAAGAGTGTAAATTGAAAGATTCAAAAAAACTCCGAAACTCTAGTTTCAATAAAATTAATCGCCTTTCATCCAATAAAACGTGTAAAAAAACCAAAAGAAGTTCAATAAAGAACCAAAATTTTTTTCATAAATTTTTTTAAATTTTCAAAAAAATGGCGGGGAAAAATTTCAATTGCCGTGGGGCGCATTGCACCCCATTTGGTTCTTTTTCAAAAACCTACGTTGACCAAATTTTTGCAAAAATGCACCAAAGAATCCTGCAACTATTTCCAGCTTTTTAAGCAGAAAAATTTTTCGCCGATTGGGAATATAAAAGGAAAAAATCTATAAACAGAGACAAAATCATCTCAGAAGTTCAGTGAAAAATAGTTAATGAAGGTTCCAATCGAGAAAAAAAAAGCCAAATTTTGATGGGTAGACTAGAAAAGTCTTTTCGAACTCTGACACTGAAACCCAAATGAAAAATTCACGACGATGCGTCGCGTCGAAACATAAGAAATTTGACAAGTTTTGACGGAATGGGGCCAATTTCGGCTGTCTTTTAATGAAGCTTTTGCGAAAAATGATGATATCCAAAAATGAGCTTTTTCGCTCAAAGAATGTTATAAGGACTTGAAAAAAATTGAAATTCTATGACAAGGTATTTTCAGAAAACTTTGAAACTTTCTTCGAAAAATTTTTCAACAACGAAATGAATGAAATTCAATATTTATGATGCAAAAAAACAACAATGAAGATTCGAAAAATGAAATCCAAGAGTTTGAAATTCAAAATAACTGATTTCATATCTATTTTCTAAAAAAACGAAATGACAAAAAAATGTATCGCAAACTCTTGGAAAACATCTAAAATCAACAGAAAAACAACAAAATCAACAAAAAAATCTCATAAATTTTAACGTTTTTTTGTACAAACACGGCTTCAATTTCAGTCCAAACGGCCGTTTATTCGTGATTTTCCCGGCTTTTTTGAACTCGAACATTGTGAAATAGTCGCCGAGGCTTTTCTGAACCGCAATTTTCATCATTTTCTATTGAATTTGTATCAAAAACCTGTCCCCCGGTTTTCGCTTCAAATCCCATTTTGGTGATGGCTTCGCAGAAAAGCTTGACCTTCGGTATTCGGCTCGTGACTTCAGCTATTTTCAGAATGCCTCTGGAATTTATAAGTTCAATTTTTATCGAGAAATGTTCAGAATATGACACGGTCACATGGCTCAAAACTATCATTTTTCTGAAAAATAAAAAAAAGTTTCGTTTCGTTACTTTCTTATATCGTTTTCTTATGTACATTCGAAACTACCATTTGATTTTTTTAATATCGAAAATATAGAGTGAAGCTTCTACCAATAATTATTAAATCAAAAAAACGTTAAAGAGAAAAGATAGCCTCTCCAAAAAAAGCTAATGTACGCTCCATGAATAAATTTTGAGAACTCCAATAAAATGACTACAAATGGTCAATAAAGCTGTTAGATGGAAGTAAAAATCTGGAAAAATCGTGGAGAATAAGAAAATAGATGACAACTCAAAAAATCCACTCAAAAATGGCCGCTTTCAGAAGTCTTATTTGCGCCCTATGGATAATTATCCGATATAATCACCCCGTTTTCACGTAATTTTCTGGAAATATAAAAAAATCAAGCTTCTACTAATCATTTTTCAAACAAAACTTTTAAGTGTAAAAATAGCCATGCTAGAAAGCCAATCTACGCTCCATGGATAAGATTTTGATAATTCAAATGAAATGACAATAAATAAAAAATTGAGCTATGTGAGTGAAACGGAAGGCTCAAAAAAAAAATACGACTAAAATCAACAAGAAAATTTTGAAAATCAAAAGATGGCCGCTCTGATAGGATTATATGCGCTCTATGGATAATTACCCGGTTTTCAAGACTCGATAGGCTTCCTTGATGTAGTCCTGAAGGTTGGTGCCCATCAGAGAAAGACAGAAAATGCAGACGTCAGCCGAAGATTCCTCCACGGGCAAATGGGCCATATCACAGGCTTCAACCCGTTCGTTTATGGACAGAAGGTCGAAGGATCGAACCTGGAAAAATGAAGATTTTTAGACATTTTTCAGTGAGGGTCTTGACACGAATATTGGTTCGTTTCGAAATTCGTTTCCCTCGCGTTAAAAAGTTGCATGAATAATCGAGGAAAGCGGAATTTTTTTTGGAAAAAAAAAGAAAAAGATGAAGAGTGAGAGATCAACAGCTCGCAGAAGAGACACCAGACCAGTTAAGATCTCTCACTGTCTGGCGTCTCTTCAGGCCGTCGTTGATCTCTCGCTCAAGCTCATTTTGAGCTTTTTTATCGTTTTTTTTTCGGACTATGTAGAGAGATGTCTATAGAAGTCCAATTTTGACTTTCCATTAAAAAAATTTATTTCATTGCAGAAATTCCCGTTTTCTCCCTTTTTGTTCGTATTCCTCTTAAAAAATGATTTTAACCAATAATCAAACTAGAAAATTGCTTTTTCAACTTCTCTTCGCTAAATATCCCTAAAAACCCAGTTTTTCGGCCAATTTTTCAGCTTTTTTCATTCCAAAATTCATCAATTTTTCCTTTTAATCACCTTGTAACGATGACCAACAGCAGCAGCAATTTTCGCCTCCCCGCAGCCCAAATCCAAAATAACTGAGCCGTCGGAAACGCCGCCGTTCAGCCACCGAATCAACTCTTTTACCGGGTCAATTGGCCATTTTTTTGTCTGAATTTTATTTTATTTTTTCAGTCTTAAGCTTCATTTTCTGAAGAAAACTTGATCAGCAAAGCCTTTGTGATAACATTGGAAAGATTGGGGGTCTTCCTTGAAAAATTCGAGGGCATCCGAACCGGACATCGTGTAGAGCTTTTCGTTGAGAAACCTTTAAAGAATGGGGTTTTTTTTTTCCTTCATATTGATTTCATTCCGATTTTTCTTTCAATTAGCTTTACCTACACCTTATTTTGACAATTTTGCTCATTTCTCTAGCTCATTTTTTATTGCATTTCGATCAAAAATTGCTTATTTATTGATTTTTCGAAACTTTTTTTAAAATGGTCCTTAGTTATTTACTCCAATTCTCCGTTTTTAAATTTTGACCTCAAAGTTTACCTCTCATTCTCGATTTTTATCAATTTAAAACCTAAAGCCTCATTTGAACCTTACTTATCTACTTATTTTTCGAATTTACATTCAATAAAACCTTCAAAAACTTAATTTTTTTTAATTTTTCGTTCAATTTTTACCCAAACAAACTAAATTTTTATATTATTTTTCTCATTCTTCGAAAAAACCTGAATCTGCCGGCCTCGAGACGCTTCTTGCTCTCTGTCAGAACGTCCGTCGGCTCTTCGACTTCCACTTTTTCCGCATTTTCATCGGTTTTCGTCTTCAAAAACTGTTTTTTTCGCCGATGGGCTTTCCGTTTCTTGGCCGCTGCACTTTCCCCGGTTCCTTGCTGGAAAAATGAAATCTCATTGAATATGAAATATTTTTGTGGTTTAACTTGAACTTCATTCTAAAATATCAACCTCAAGATTTTATAAAAATAGTACTTCAAATTTCTCAGGAAAAATTTATGAACAAGTTATTTATTGATAGAAAATTCATAGAATGTAGCGATTCTAAAAAAATTAATTAACAGGTTCTTTGAATTCAACGTTAAATAAATAGAAATTCACTACTTCAAACTTCTAGAAAAAAATGGAATTTTGAAAAAAATCTAATATTTGAAATTTCCAAATTTTTCAAATTACATTGATAAGATAAGGTAAGAAATTCATCAAATTTAGTTGCCTTTTTTTCAAAAAAATTTAGAATTCTGTTTTTTGGGGGTTCAAGTTACAATTTCACTAACTTTTTTTCAAAAAAACAACCGAAAATCGCGAAAATTTCTCACCTTGACCCCAATTTTCGGAACATCTTCCGTTAATACGGCCAAAGCAGCTTTTTTAGCCAATTTTCGAACCTTGTTCCTCCAAGGCCGTTTAACCTGAACAAATTCTCTCAAGATTCAATTTTCCACCTAAAAATTCACCTTTTTCACCTTGTCAGCTTCAACTTTCACAACTTTTGGCTTTTCAAGTGATTCCTTCTTTTTGACCATCTTTCAAATCAAAATATTGGAGAGAAGCTTCGAAACAAATGAATAAAAATACACTTCTGTCATGAACTGTTTCTTTTTTCAATCACCAAATTTTCTAACTTCATCTTTATTAACCAATAACAACAACGATTGACAACAGAACAAAATGGGCGGCCTTTTTTTGGAATCGGAAAAAGTTTGGAAGGAGGGGGGAAAACAACAGAGAAAAACGTAACAAAACAGAACACATATTCTTTTTTCATTTTCACAACAAAATTTACAATTATCTTCGGTCGGTTTTTCCCTGCTTCCGTTTTCCGGAGAATAAATGCTTGGGTTTTAGGTCGAAGACGTGTCTGTCGGCTTCTCCCTTGCGAGCTTCTCGTTTCAGGGATCGGATCGCCTTCTCGCGCATCTTCTTCGCCTTCACACGCTTCTGAAAAGAGAGAAAGTTCATTGAAGGGTGATGAAATATTTCATCGTTTTTTAACTTTTTCGCTTCTTAAATCTCATCGCGTTGTCAGGCAGATTTCTGTCCTTTTTTCAAAGCCAAATTAAAATTTAGTTGTTTCTCATTCTTCACAAGCCATTTACGGAAGCTTATCGAAAAAAAAAAATTGATAAATTCCTGCAGATTTTTTTCTTACGACTAAATTTACCTAAAACTGTAAGGAAATTTTGAAAAAAATCCTTTTTTTGGATTCCACGTTTTGAACCGCACTTGAACTTTTTTTCCGAACTACAAATATCATTTTCTGAGCAATAATTTTTCTCTCAATACAAACTTTTACAATAGGTAATTTAACTAAATTTTTTCCAGAGCAATCGAAAAATAGAAAACTACATACGGCTATTATCCCATAGAAATACCTTGTCCTACATAATTTTTTCAAAAAATCATTCTTTAAATTTATTTTCCCCTAAACAAACCTCGACATCCGGCATGGCCTGTTCATCTCTCGGCGGCGCCTGTTTCGGCTGGTTCTTAAGCGAATGACCAATCTTCATCTGCAAAAATACACTCCTAAAAAATTATATTCATTTTTCCTAGCCTTCTTTCCAATCTGCGGCTTGGCGCACTGTCCTTGCAGGTTCTTCATTCTCTTGACATCAATCTGAACATTTTTTGATTTTACAATGAAAATTATGAAAAATTCAACTTCAACGCCAAGATCGCCCAACTCCTCCTCCAATCGGCTCATGGAACGGTCGCGTTTGCGAGAAATCACACGAGAGCCACTTCTTCCCTTGAAAAAAATACTCGGTTTACTTCATTTTCTTCGTGAATCAAACCGCTTTGCTCTTGGTCAACTGGCTTTCCAAGGTGAGAAGCTTTTCCTTTTCGCGGATCTGCAGGGCCAACTTCATCTTCTCCTTGGTTTCGTCGTCGTCGCTGTCAAGGTCCGATTCGTATTCTCCAGCCTTTTCGAGGAGCTCTTCTTCGTGGAGCAAGGCTTCGAGCTTCTGAAGAAAAACCAATATACTGCTGTCGAAAACTATGTTTCAAAAAGGAAAACTTTTGAAAAAGCCCTTAAAATTCAGATTTTCCATGAATCATCTGAAATTTAGCTTTTTAGAAATACTTAGTGGACTTCTAAAAGCGCAGATTCCTCACATAGACTAAAGTACACGGGAATCAACATTTACGCTACGTAAAAAAATTTTTTTAAAGGAGTAAATTTGAAAATGTCTTCACTAACATGTACATATTGTACGCTGAAGATGTTGAATAAAAATAAAAACCAAAAATTTCCTTTTTTGAAACTCATTTACGTACTTTGAATGTTCGTTCATATGACCTCGGAAAAGTTGGAAATTCGAGTAAACTTTAAAAAACAAATATTTTACCTAAACCATTTTGCTGTAATCTTTGTGAAGGCCAAGGTCCAGAAAAAAGCAAAATTTAAAAAATGAGATCAATCTTGACCCTATTCATCAATTATTTACACAAAAAATGTTTTTTTGAAATCTTAAAATCTAGACCTTCTGGATCTCGGGATCAACGAAATCAGCCAAATTGTGTCCCTCCCAGATCTCGGGGATCACGTCGTATTTCTCCTCGGGATTCTTCAACAGATAGTGTTTCTTCAGGTCCAAGATGTAGTTGTCTTCCAGTTCCAGCTCTATTTCTCGTTCCAATCGACGAGTGTCTGGAAAAATCGTTTTTCTTGTCGTTTTTTTTAAAGATGAAAATATACTTTCATCACGGAAGGCACTGTTGTTGGGAACAGTGGCCTCGTCGTCGTCGACCTCCATATCAGCTCTTTCGGCCTCGGCCATTCGCTTGGCGCGTTTCAAAGCAACTCCCGGCGGGATAAAAGCCGCGCGGACCTTCAAAAGCATAACTAGACTTTTGTTTCCACATATAAACTTGATAAGCTTTGTAAAATGAATGAAGCGCGAGCCTTTAAAATCGTATTTTCCAACTTAACATCTATTTTAACAGTGAAACGGGTTTAACAGACTTTTACCGACTTTGAAAATTCGGTACCCGAGAGGCTATGAATAATGAATCCCTTTTCCAAATTTAAAGTCACATTTTTCCAACTTATCTTAATTTTTCACTGGTGAACTTGAGTTTTACAGATTTTCAACGACTTTGAAAATTTGGTACACGAGAAGCTATGAGTATTGAAAGCCGCGCGGACCTTTAAAATCATCATTTTTCGCAGAAAAACTTGGTTCTACAAATTTTTCAACGATTTTGAAGATTTAAAACTTAAGGCTATAAAAAAAGGTAAATACCGATCGAAGTGTGTCTATTAATAACCGAAAAAAACCGAATTTTTTTCTCAAGCCCTCAACGGAAAAAAACAGTTTTTTTTTAATTTTTGAACAAAAGATAAATTTTTTTTGTGAAATTATATAATTATGGATTTATCATTCAATGCGTTTGTTCTCAAAAATTGGGTGGAATGATTTCGAACTTTCTGATCATTCCTTCAAAATAAATAGTTAACGTTTTTCATTTCCCCCTCACTGTCTCCTACCTTCTCATCTCTTGGAGTTGGGTAAGCGACAAAGACGCGATTCAGAATCGAATCGTCAGAAACGACGATTTTCTTAGCTTGAAGCTTCGCCTCCACACGCTGAGCCAACAGTTCGTCACAGGCCTTGAAAATTATTTATTTGATCCTTCTATTCATTTTTCTGATTACCTTGTCCCTGAGAGCGATCACACCTTCCTTGGTCACAGTGGACGTCTCGACGATTGGAATTCCTTCGCGTTCGAGTTTGGCCAAAAGTTCGGCCTTCTCTTGGGGCAAATCGCCACGGCGCATGATATCAACCTTAAATTTTGGAATTTGCTCAAATTTCTATATTGTTAATCAGATTTGGAAAGAGCAAAAGATTAAAATTATTTAGGTTTTGTTCAAAATAAAGTGTTTTTATCACGAATTCTGTTAAAGAGCACTTTTGGAAAACAGAAATATAGATTTTCCAAAAAATGAACTTTAAAACTTTCGTCAACTTTTTTTTTTCAAATAAAGGACCGCATTTTGAAGTAATCATTCTGCACCTTGTTGAGACCGACGATAACTGGCTTGTTCGCGAAAAGAGGACGGATCGATTCGAAAAGATGGAGCTGTTCCTCAATGGAGCGATCGCACTGCTCGGAAACGTCCATCATGAACAAAATGGCGGCTTTCAAGTGAGCCAGGGCCGTGACGGCCTGCATTTCGATGGTGTTTCGGTCCTCCAGTGGCTGATCCAAGATACCAGGCGTGTCGATCACCTGAAAACAAGAATATTATCATGTTTTTGAAAATTCCTTCCACCTGCCAACGCAGCAATTTGTAGTCCAAGTGACCGACGTATAAGGCTTTCGTTGTGAAAGCATATGGCTGAACTTCGACGTCGGCCCTGGTGACGTTGTTGATGAATGAAGACTTTCCGACGTTCGGGAAACCGCAGAGGATCAAAGTTCTGAAAACGTAAGAAATATGAGTATTTTTAAGGCTTTCAGAGGCATTTAAAATTGTTCTTTTTTTTTCTTTTGAACTTTTTCTTTCCCTTTTTTTTGTACAAACACGCAAGATAATTTCAACAACATAATTTTTTCTACATGATACCTCGTTCCAGGATCGATGCTCGGCAAACGAGAAAGATGCTGGCGAACTTGCTCCAAATAATCGAAGCTGCTCTTGTTTCTCTTCAGAAGCTTGACCATACGACCCAAAGCCGCCCGTTTCAACATTTTGCAACGGTAAAGTGAGTCACCGTACTTCATCAATCTGACATATTCCCTTGCGATTCTAAAAAACATACACCTAAAGTTTTTCTCAATTTCTCCATCTAAAACCCATCGATAAGATGCCTGGAGGTGTTCATCTGACCCAAGGCGATTTTGTAGTGGTCACGATCGTATAGAATGTTCATCAAGTCAGAATAGAACGGGTGAACTTCCTAAAATTGAGAATTTCATAATAATATTTACTTTTGAAATCACCTCCATCTTGGGAAATTCATTGATAATCTGCGTTAGCTTGTCATGAAGCGTCTGTTGAAGGAACTTGATTTTTCGGGCATAAAATGCTCGAATTCGCCCGATAGCGTACTGACGATGAACGACTGTTGGCGTTTTGCGTTGTGTCTTGGAAAGAACCACCTCTTTCAGCTCCTAAAATTGAAAGCTAGTACTGATTTGCCTGAAATATCTTCAAACATAAATCTAAAAAGATGTTTTTTCTTACGAATAAATTCGAAAACAAAAAACTAACCGCAGCGGTGGGAACTACGGTGATTTTCTTGAAATTGTATTGCGACGTCATCGCAATCTACCCAGTGAGATTGAATCTGCAATACAATGTAACTTATCAAAATTAAAAAATATATAAAACAACAAAATAAAAATCAAAAGCAGACGCAATGGAGAAATTTAGGCGTGGGGGAATTTTTTTCGCGAGTGATCATGCAGTTTTGCGTGCACCGACTAAATCTCTTCTTGCTTACAGTACCCTTCCAAAAAAATTTTTAATTTCTTGCATTTCATTTAATGTTTTAATTATAATAACGTTTTATACTCTTATCTTCTATTGTCAATTTATTCAGTAGAATGTCAACAGAAAATGGTGCCGAATCTGAGGTTGACGAAGGAGAGCTTATCAAGAAGAAATACGAGAGGAAAGAAGCCACGGCTCTGGAAAACGCTCGCAAAATCGAGAAGAACTTGAAAAGTAAGTTCTTTGCTTTGAATTTTTGAATTGAATAAGAAAATATTTGTTTTCTGGTATGAAAACTCTCACCATCGATGAAGGAGATCACGGCAACGTATACGAGCCGTACATCCCTCAATCTCAAGCGGTTCGGTTGTCCGAGGAAGAAGCGTCCAGAGTTATGGCGGAACTCAGTTCTATGACTATCACAGAGCTTAGAAAGGCTCTTTCTAATATTGGCATCACTTCACTGTAAGTAGGAACGGATGGTTTTTTCTTATCAAAATTTTTTTTAAGGAAGAACGAAGGATCGAAAAAAGTGCTCCGAAAACGTGTGGCGACCGAGTACGGACGCCGGATAAACAATCAGCAAAGAAAACAGAAGTTTTTCACAAATAAAACGGCTCGACTCTTTGACTACCTAGTGGTTTGGAGAAAATTGACAGATTTAAGGAAAAAGGAATTTCTCAGGTGATGGATTTTGAGTGCACCTGCATTGAGATAATTTACGATTATCCTCACGAAATAATTGAATTTCCGGCCGTTCTCATTGATTTGAAGGAACTTAAAAAGGTCTTTATCTGATTTAAAAGGAAAATTGTTAGTTATGAAATTTAGGTCGATGAATTCCGAACGTATATCCGGCCACGGTTGAACCCAATTCTTGACCCTTTCTGCATCAATTTTACAGGTTTGCTTCATTTTTCTTCAGAAAAACCTCAAATATTTCAGGAATCACTCAAGAAACTGTGGACGCGGCACCTCCTTTCCACGAAGCTCTATTGAATTTTTACGATTGGATGGATAATGCCGGGCTTTTCGATAAGAATGTCCGCTTCGCCTTTGTTACTGACGGGTTTTTTTTTAATCTTAAAACTAAAAATAAAATATTTTTCAAGGCCTCATGATATCTGGAAGTTCCTACAGTTTCAATGCAACTTGGTAATTTTTTTTTTTCAAAATCAAAATGATGAAAAATTTGGTATTAGGACGGAATGAAGCTGCCGCACATTTTTCGGTCCTACATCAACTTGAAGCGAATTTTTGAGACCAAAGTTGCGCCGTTGCAAAAAGGGCAAGGGGTTTCTCAATGGGAAGAATTTGAATGATCAATAATCAAAGTTCAGCAATCGGGGATCCAAAAAATGTTGAATCATTTCGATTTGACGTTCGAAGGAAGCGCCCACAGCGGCCTGGATGATGCGACGAATATTGCCCGGATCGCGATTGAAATGATCAAAAAAGGGATCGAATTGAGGGTTAGTCTTACAAATAGCACTATAAAAATGTTACCTGGAAGTCTTGTTTCACTTTGAAAAAAAAATTAGAAGACCTCAAATTAAGTTATGCATGGCTTAGCAAGAAAAAATTGCTCCGTTCTTTTTCATTCTGCTGGTTGAAAGTTAATAATGGTGTAGTAGTTGCTATTTAATCATAAGTGACGGAATTTCTTAAAACTGTGGTTTTCAAAAGATTGACTTCGTTAATTTTTAAGTAATTTAGAAAATTCATGCTTTTTCATTTTGTAAGTCTCAAAAGTACGAAAAAACAGGGTTTCAAGAAAATGTTTAAAAAATGCTTCAATTACTTGAGTACACTTGTAGCTTTGTCTATTCTCAAAGGTTATCCTTTAAAATTATTCTGGTTATCAGATTCTAAGATTTTTTTAGAATTTTACGTTTTTTTCAGTGAAAACGTAAGCCTATTTTATGCATAGAAAAACGTGTTTTTAAAACTAAATTTTTTTAATAAAATGATTAATTTTTTTCTGAATCTTTCAAATTTTCAGATCAATGAAAGATGCGCCAAGAAGAACTCGGCGGAAGAGGTGAGCATATTTTTTTTCTTGTTTCCTTGGCTCAACTTTGAGACCCAACTTCTGAAAAAGGAGAAAAAACCTTTAAAAAAGTCACAATGATGAATTTAGTCGTTCTTCTTTAAGAGAGAACTGTCGAAAAAGCCCCCAAACGAGGCGCAAAAAATGTCGGACATGCACATTTGGCGAAAAAAACTGCCTCTTCGGTATATCCACGTGACGCGAAAAGAATTCCTCGATGAAGATTTCGCCGATTGCTCGACTTGTGATGATGAGGAGGACGAAATTGAACAGGTTTTTTTCTTGAAAAAATTCATGTAATTAATGAATTTCATGCCGTGTTCAATTTGATTCCGCGAAATGCAAAATACTTGTTTGAGAAAGGAAAAGATCACTAAATTTTGGAGAGTCAGAGATATTTTTGCATTTCGCGTAATCAAATTGAACACGGAATCAAAAAGCCGTTCTAATAAAATTCTGAAGTTAAAATTTCTCCACCTAAAATGGCCAGAATTCGCAATTCCTGTGCGAAGCGGTCGCGATGCGTTTCGGCGCGAATTTGAATTCTTTGACCTTTTTAAGTTATCCTCAGGTTTGCTCCTCAATAAGTTATCATCCAAATTAAAAATTGAAAAAAGTTATTTTAGAATTTCATATCAAATATAGTCTATTTTGGCGGCTTGAGGAATTTCTCTGCGCCCTCCTCGTCTCTCGACCCTCTCATGTTGAGGTGCTATTTTCTTATTTCTCTGGGCTCGCCGGTGAGAGAACAGAGACGCAGACACGCGAAAACTGTCAAAGCGCGCCGGATTCTCTGTAAATGAAGATAGTTTCCATAAAAAAATTAAACTAAAGAGAGAGGATTTGAATTGGCGCCAAAACGCATCGCAGCCGCTCCGCGCGTGAACTGCAAGGTCTCGCCGTTTCAAGCCGAAAATTAACCCTGTGATTTAAAAACCATTTTGTGACTTTTTTCAGTTCCTCAAGTCGGTGAGGGAAGAAAGACAACGAAAACAAGAGGCCGAGTTGAGATCGGCTTCAACGGATGAAACCAGCGAGGATCTTCTGACAAATGTCCGTAAAATAAAGAAAAAATCCTGACAAATCGGCAATTTTAAGACTGATACGGCGACGGTGAGCACTGTTTGGAAAGAAGAGGACGAATTTTTTTCGGCTGAAGAATCGACGTTTTCCGACACCTCGTCGAGTAATTGAAACTTTCTAGTCGCATTTGGAATGGCTCGCGCTGCGGTTTCAGTTAGAATTTCAAAGCGTCGCAGCCGCTCCGCATTGAGCCATTCTCCCTGCGACCAAAATTTGCTCAAGTTTCGACGAGTTCAGTATTGGTTGTTTAAAAAAAGTTACGGGTACATTTCGATAGTCATTTTTATTGTTATTTGTTTTCCCGGGGATAAATGGATATTTTGTTTTTTAATTGAAATATTTGGAGTCAATTCCTTCATTTCACTTCCCATGAATTCGAGTATTGATTTTCGGAGCAAAACATTTTGATCAGCTACAGTTTATAGACAGATTTGAAGAAACTGAACGTTCGGAGGCGCAAAAGTCTAAGCTTTTCGTTTCAAGACTTTTAAAACTTCAGCCCATGCTCCTTTAAAAGCGTCAGAAAGCTTTTATGAATGGAGCAATGATCTTTGTCCGAAAAGAGTAGGAAGTTTCGAAAGAGTTTAAAATAGAGGAGCAGGAAGTTCTTCACGTGAACCTTTCCTCTACGTCACAAAACAGAGCGCAGTGACGTCACGACGCCGCATTTCGTCACCTCGGAGTGTTCTCCGGGTCGGCGAGAGATTGTTTCGGGTCTGACTCAGTCGGAACTTCCAGTTCAAACGGCCTCCAGGGCCTTCCAGACGGCGAGGCCACCGGTCCCGGTCAGAGTCGCAGACAACCACCCGCCCATTCTCGTGTTCGGACTCGCTTTCCGGCTTTTCCATTGTTCTTTCGCCCTTTTCAAAGTCAGTTTCTGATTTTTGAACTATCTGAAACCATAAAATTGATTTTTAAAACATTTAGTAATGTAGTGATTCAAGTGGGAATTTGGTATTCACCTTAATTGATGTGAAAATGAACAAATAATGTTACTTTGGACTTTCATTTTCGGCGTTCTTTAGTCTTTTTCGAAGCCATTTTCTTATATGTTTCCAATTTTAACCTTCAAATTTGATTTGAGAATGTTTTGGATTGAATCGGTTCATGTGAAAAACTTGGATATTTATAAAGATTTTCTTTTTGAAGTTTGTTTTCTTTTTGTCCTTCATTTTTTTAAGTTCTTATTTATACTTTTTGAATAATTACAAACTTCAAAATGGATTCAAAAATCGTTTCAAGTTGTAGTAATTCAAGTAGAAAATCAAATTGGACCTAATTTAACGCAAAAACTTCAAAAGTTCCTCTTTCGGACATTTTTTCCAACTTTTCTACTGTTATTTCCTATTTCTTAAATGAATATTGGATTTTTGAACTTTTAGTATCGCTTAACTTGGTATAATTACGCAATAAGAACGTGTTAATTGGAGCGTAAAGGCGGAATTAACCCAAATTAATACAAAAAAGCTTCCCGTTTGGCTAAATTTTGGCTTTTCTATTGTTTTTTTCTGCATTGTCAAAGTCAGTGTTCTCTTTCTGATTTATTTGAGCTCTCAAAAATAATATCGTGACGCTTTTGAACGTGTTAATCCTGGCGGAAGCTCAAAGTTAAGCTGAAATAAGACGAGGAAAATCGTAAATCCTTCTTTTCCACTTGTGTTTCCGGCTATATCGTTGTTCTTTTGTCTTTCTGGAAGTCCCTTTTTAGGTTTTTAAGCTTCAAGAAATTCCAAAGTTGTTGTAGAAACGCTTTTAAGCGTAAAAGTTCTCATTGAAACACGTAGAAATTCGAAACAAGTCAAAATTAATAATAAATTCTTTTTTTGAACCGTTTTTTTTTTTTTTCCTTTATTTTTTTGAGACCTTTTTGAAACCAATTTCTGTTTTTTGAGTTATTTAAAACCTCAAATTTGATTAAAGCTCGTTCTGGATTGTGTTAATCCACGTGGAAAACTTGTAAATTGAACTTAATTACATCGAATTTTCGAAAATTCCTCTTTTGGACCTTTTTTTATTTTTTTCTATAAATACTTTTTTTGATTCTCCCTTTTTAGAGTCGATTTTTCGTTTTTTTGGTCTTTTTTTCAAAAATTAGAAATAATATTAATGCGCGTAATCGGAGCGGAAAATATACTTCCACCTAAATTTAAAACGAGCAAAAAATCGAAAGCTCAACTTTTAGACTTCCGTTTTCAGCTTTTTTTCTTTTTTTCGTCTTTTTCCCATTAAAATATTGGATTTTTTTCATTCTAAAACGCTAAAAAAATAAAATAATTACTTATTAGAAGAGTGGTTATTGAGGCAGAAACTTGAGAAATACGTTAATTAACACGTAAAATTTTTCTCATTTTCCGCTTGAAAAAATTTTCTTGATGTATTTGTTGCCCTTTTCGGTTACTTTACATGCTGTTGACGTCATTAACAATATTTTCTGTTCTTTTTTTGACTCGATATTTTTTTCCTTGAGAAAGTGGACAATTTTCTCCATGCCATCTTCCGTAGGCGATCTTTTTCTCAATGTTTGCGCTCTTGAGAAGGCTTTTCCCTGGGATTATTTCCTCTTGTTTCTCAATTTTTACTTCTCCATGTTCCAAAGATGGAACTGAACTGATATTATCGAAAATTTTGGTTGAGAGGAATGTTTTTTGAGTTCTTCTACACAAAAATTATCATATCTATTGATGATTGGAGGTTTTTTTTCTGATTTTCCGAAAATTCGAACCCTTAGGTTATCACTTTCATTTTTACCACTTCAGGGGCCACTTGGACTCTCTTCTAAAGCTTTTCTCATCGTTTTTTTTTGTCGAAAAATTGAAAATTAGACTTCCCACAGCAATTTTCGCTTCAATTCGTTCAACTTTCTCTTTGAAGTTTTTCAATTTTTAATAAAACTAGAAGGTTTTTTTCACTTCTCAAAAATCTTTCTAGACTTGTAAAAGATTCAATTTTTTTTTCTAACAAGCAGTTTTTTAAAATGCTGATTCTTAATGTTTTCCCAGAATTCTTATCGTTTTCAACTTCTAAAAAACTCTTTGAAACCCGAAAAAAATGAAGAATTCGTGTAAATTCCATAAAATTCACTCAAAATAGCATTTTTTTGAATCTTCTTAAATAGTTAATGATTCGAACTTTTTTATGGCTTCATTAAGTAACTTAACGTCACTCCTTATCATGCTCTTTCGAAGTGAAAAGCTTATTTCCGTTTCTGTATTCGCACGCGTTTTTTTTTATCAATATATTGCTGTGCAAATAGGGACACGCTCTCAGGAAAGGCAATCGTCGCGCCTTTTTTTCGTCTTTTTTCTAGAAACGTTAGATTTTTGTCTAACTATTCAGGCTTTCATTATAATGACCCTTTGATATAGTCTATTCATCGTTTATTTAGCCTCATGAATACGCTTTTAAGGACTGTTTTTTTCAATTTTCATCTTTATTCTGAGATTTTCAAGGCTTTATCTTATCTTCCAGGCTTACCGTTCATTTCTGTTTTCCTTCCTCTTCAGAAAATTTTTTTCTTGATCTCTTTCAGTGATTTTCTTTGTTCTTCATTTTTTCCCGTCATTTATTGAATTTTTTGAATTTTTTTTTATCACAGAATGGAGATAGATGCGTATGACGTACAAAATGGCAATTTCAATAGTCAATCGAGCAGATCAATCCCAGCCGGCGTCTTTTATCAAGTCATTATCAAGGTGAACTTTCTTTTTTTTTCAATTTTCGAGCAGTTTTATGAAGAGTTTTTTGACTTGATAACCAAAAATTCAAGTTCATTTTGAAGAAAATTGAATAAAAATCGGTCAATATTCATATTTTCCAGGACCCGATCGCCAATGCCCAGAGTATCTTCACGATCCCGAAGAGATATACAAATCTACAATTTTTGAATGCCGGAGCTCAAGGAACCGTCGTGTAAGTCTACACAAAAAAATCTATCCAGTCAAAATTTGAAAAAAACTTTTCAGAAGTCATGGTTAAAGGAAAAGAGCACGTAAAATCGAGAGGTACAGAGAAATCAGACTTGCTGAAGTATAAAAAAATTAATTTTTCTTCATTTCTAACAATAATCTTGATCTCGAAAGGTACCTCAAGTGAACCGACCCAAAACGACTTGCGCTCGACGACACTCAAAAGCATGGAGATCATTTTTAAAGTCGACTTTTAACCGCAACGCTTTCATTAATTCTGAATACGATCAAGTTTTGTACAATTCTCATTTATAATTATCATGATGATGGCTCGAAAGTTGAGAGATAGGCTGAGCCTGAAGAGACGCCAGAGAAATAAAGCGAGTCTATTTTTCTGAGAGAAGAGGCGCAGAGAAATCAGACTTTTTCGAGTTTTAAGAAATTAAGTATAAGTTATGAAAGTTCAAAAGCTTGAAAGTTCGGTATATAAGAAAAATCTTTCCAGGAGCGCCAACGATATGGTGACGGGCCAAAGAGTGGCGATCAAGAAAATGCAACAGCCTTTCGTCATGACCATGAGCGCCAAAAGAGCCTACCGAGAGTTCATCCTTCTCACTACCATCCGACATCCTAACGTTGGCTTTGACTCTTTATTTTTATTGGGACCTTTTTAGAGGGGATTTTTTTCTAAAATTATATTGTATAAATTTTCCGGCGATCCCTGGGAGTAGACCAGCCATAAAATTGATTTTATTTACTATAAACGTTCAATTTCGCTTTTTGCGCGTCGTTTTTCATGCATCGCGTGCACTGCGTACAACACATTTTGTTTTCCGCCGTTATGGTGGGTGTGGCGTCGATTTGGTGTCGCCGTGTTTTTGGCGTAGCTCGGGCCTTGGTAGCGCAAACCAGACGTTAGTGAACATTTCTAGTGACCACTTTAGTGTCGTCAGCAAGGGATTTTCCTTACCGTAGTCCGAAAACATCCATTTTTCCCCCTTGAAGCACATTTTCACTGTGTATTCGAACTGACAACCAACTTTAAATTTCGAAATGGTCGAAAAAATGAGAAATTTTGTTTTTTATCGGCGAAATGAAAAAAATGAAAAAAATGTTCCATTATTCTCCGTGGAGCATATTTTCACTGTTTCATTGATCTTTAAAGCAATAACAGGGTCCTCGGCAACTTAGACACGCCAGAGGGATCCCTTGAGGGGAAACTTAGGAGCACTAAAGCTTGCAGAGTAGCCACTTTAGGGACTCCAGTTTTTGATCGCTTTGAGGTATACTTTTAATTGTTATGATATTTATGAGATAAACCTCTTAAGGGACCACCCAAATTTTATCTCTCTAGGGATCACTATTTCAACCTCTCTAAAAGGTTTTCTCGCTGACCCTTCTAGGGACCACCCTGGCGTTCTCAAGAACAAAGCGTGACGTTTCTAGTAACCACTCAAGAGGATTGAATTCGCTAAAGTGGTCACTAGAGTTCTCAGAAACGAGTGTTTGTATTACCGAGGGCCAAAAACTCCAAAAATGGTGAAAAAGGAGTTGTCAACGGAGCGAATCTTCACTGCATCTTTGAGCCAAAATCCCTTTTTCTTTTCAAGAATTTGAACAAAAATTTTTTCATACTTTTAGTTATATTTTCCAGATCATCAGACTACTAAACGCCTTCACACCCGACAGAAATATCAACGAATTTGGGGAAGTTTATCTCGTGATGGAGTTGATGAACCACAACTTACACGAAGTCGTTCATCGGTTACGGTAAGATACAGTAGTCTGGAATCATACTGTAATTTAAAGGCTCAGATTGGACCATAAGACCCTGTCCTTTTTCGCCTACCAAATGCTCTGCGCCATAAAGCATCTTCACAACTCCGGAATTATTCACAGGGTTCGTTTTTTTAGATGTCGCATTTGGAATGGCTAAGAAACTTCAAGCTTTTCGTTGCAGGACCTGAAACCATCAAATATCGTCGTCAATGACCGTTGCGTCCTGAAAGTCCTCGATTTTGGCTTGGCCAGGAAAAAGAACGTCGACACGGCCATGAGAATGTCTGAATACGTCGTGACGCGATATTACCGTGCCCCAGAAGTCATTTTAGGCCTACCGTATTCCGAAAAAGGTACCTGATAACCTGAAATTTTGAAAAGGACTGAAGTTTCAGTGGACATCTGGTCAGTTGGCTGTATACTCGCCGAGATGGTCAACCATCAAGTTTTGTTCCCAGGAAAGGATAGGTAAGGTCGCACTGGGAAGGGCTCTTAGCAGCTCTTTTTAATGTTTTTCGATGACACCAAGCGCAAGTCGTTTTTGGTCGGGTGCATTTCTAACCTCTAGTTTCATGTGATAATTAATCGCCACAACTTGAGAAAAGTTTCATTTCTTTGGGCCTTCTCGTTTTTGAATGCTCTCTTCGTGCTTCTGTGGTCTTGATGGTTAGGGAAAAAAGAGCGCAGACAGGTTAGACAGCTTCAAGTTGTGGTGAATGACTGAGCAGACAATTTAAACGGAGAATATGCGTAAAATGAGCGTCCAGAAAAACAGCTGCGATAAAAAATAATAAAGGATGAATGTGCACTCTATGGATAATTTTCGAATTTTGTCGTTTTCAAGTCCATTTGTTTGCTTCTAGAGAAAAGTTCTGTATCACGATTTGAAGGCTCGATTTTTGAAAAAATCTAATTACTTTGAACGAATTTTCATATTTTTCAGTAAAAAAATTTTCAGGATAGACCAGTGGACAAAGATCATCAATATAATGGGAACGCCGGACGAGGGTTTCATTTCTCAACTCGGTCAAAGCGCCGCTTTGTACGTTCGGTCGCTGAGAGAAGCCGTTGCTCGGCCTTTGGAAGAAGTTGTACCCAATGAGCATTTCCTCACCGAGACTGAGAACCCCAGGGCCAACTTGACCGGTGAGTTTGAAAAAAAATGACAAAAAATAATGAAAACTTCGAATTTTTATCTCACATTATCAGTAGAGCATACAAGACGCCAAAAATCAGCTCTTTACCTTCAATTTCCTTTACGAAAATTCAGGTTTTATGAAAAAGTTGATAATGAAAAAAACTATGATAACCCTGAGTTTACGGCTTCAAAAATGATATATTCAAAAACTTTGATTTTGAAGCTTCTGTGCTCTATTGAGAACCTGGAATGATTTGAAATATTATTTTTCGGAACAGCAAAGTTTTTGGAGTTTTACTACGACTACTTGGCTTATTTTTCAAAAGTATTTTCAATTTACTTCGAATAAAGCCAGTCTGGTTTCTCTGCGCTCTCTTTTCCCTCAGAAACTTTCTCTTGATGACAGAGAGAGAGAGAGAGAAGAGAGCGCAGAAACGTCAGACAGCTCCAAGTCGTGGAAAATAAGGTATGAATAAAAATTCAAAATTTCACTACTGATTTTTCAGCTCACTATGCCCGTGACCTGATCGCTCGAATGTTGAAAATCAATCATCTTGAGCGTTGTTCTGTTGAAGAAGCTCTAAATCACCCATACGTAAAGCTCTGGTTCAAGGTACCGTAATCCTAACAACTTCGCTTCAAAACCATTTTTAAGGAAGAAGAAGTCAACGCTCCTTCCTCCGAAAATCGATACGATGGAGAGATTGACTTTGCCGAGAAGACTCTACAAGAATGGAAAGGTTTGTTGAAAAATATTGGTCGCATTTGGAATGGCTCGATGCGTCGCGGTCAAGTTTATATATATATAATATTATTTATTTACAGGCAGGACAAAATAACATGTACAGAAAAAGAAAAAAATTTGGCATTAAGCCTGAAATAAATAAATAAAAGGCACTTGAGGCCCTCACGAGCCTCTGAGCCAGTAATAAAAAGAATAAGAGGTGAGGATTGCACAAGGGAAAAAGTAATTAGAAAAAGAAAGCATTATAAGTTATGACACAGTGTAGCAAGTTTAGTTTATCCACCACTGGTAGGGACCGCAAAGCCACGCCCCTTTTCGCGATAGAAAAAGTGGCTTTTTTTTGGTTTTCAACTTTCATTTTGTTGTAGTTGTAAAATATGTGGAACTGGCGAATAAAATTTGACACACATGTACAGAAAAAGCTTCCTCTTTCGTTTAAAAAAATATTTCACGCTTTTTTTGATGCGTTCTCGCGGAATGTCGTACAAAAAAACGTGAATGGAACTAAAAAAATTTTTGTCGTTTTTTTGCTTTTTTTCATGTGTTTTTTTAGGTCGAACGCACTCTTTCTTTTTTTAAATAATGATTTTTGATTCAAGTAACGGTAATTTTAAAACAATAAAATAAAAAATTCGTCTTTGCCAAAAATTTTAGGGAGCGCCGAAAGTCATAATTCAAAATATCGTTAATAAGCGAATATAATCGAGTTTTTGTTTTTTCAAAATTTAGACCATGGTCTTACTTAAATTTTTCTCCACAGCACCTGTGCTTGAAAAAAAGTTGTTTAATACGCAAAAAAATGCTCTTGAAACTAGAGAAAAAAATTAGCGGCGTTTATCACACAGAAAGCGGTCGAACGCAGGTTTTTTTCAAACGATTATATACATTTATTAGTAAAAAAATCTTTCAATTAAAAAGAATAAAATAAAAAAATTCGTCTTTGCCAAAAAAATTTACGGGGCCGTTTTAATGCAGCGATCGTTAAACGAGGCAAAAAAAGCACTAAAAAAACAGTTTTTTTCGAAGTGAATTTCCACGAAACGTTTGAGTAAAGATTTGCGAACATATTCTGATAAAAATAGCTAAATTACTTCAAGTTTTTATTTTTGAAATAGGCAATCTGTGCTATTCAAACGGCTCAAGGGTATGGGGGATGGAAGCTCCCCGCGTTGGACCTAACAGCTTGGCGCAACGCGTGCGCTCCGATTTTACATTTTGAGGTCGCGAGTTCGATGCCCGCAAGCGCCAGTTTTTTGTTTTCTGGAAAATACCGACTTTTTCGGCAAACTAGCTGATTAGCATCATTTCAGCACTCTATTATGATTTGTTACATCATAATAGACCAGTATCAAAACTTGTTCTAGAAGAAAAATCGAGAAAAATGTCAAAAATGGAAATACCAAATTTTCAGTACTAAAAACATGGTGCGCGGCGCGCCACCTTTTCCGTCATAACTTTTTTCATCCTCAATCTTTTTTGAAAAACTAAACGGTTCTGAGTTTTGAATCGAAACAGCTATCGAACCATACAAAGCTCAATGCTGAAAAAATTTTTTTGAAAATTCGTCTGCGGTCCCTAACCACTGGCTTGAGAAAATACAGCGAGTTTAAAGCTGAAATTGCCAATGATTTAAGTATAGCTATTCCAAACGCGAACAACGAGAAATTGAATATACGGTATCCACTTTTTTCTTTCGTTTCAGAACTCATTTACCAAGAAGTGATGCGCTACCAGGCTACTCACGACATTTTCAATGGAGTTTAACAATCATTTTTTCCCTGTTATTCACTTCGTTATTAGATTTTTTAGTAAATTCAGGCTTTCATCTATTTTTTTTTTCTCTATTTCACTTCTGTTTTCCGCCTACTAATTTCAAATATTCAGAGCCTTTTTTTCTTCCTAACGTGTGAATTTTATTCTATATGTACAAATTTTTTTCGCAACCCTCTGCACCCTAGTCTTTTCTATTCTTGTATCATATCTTTTTTTATATGGCTAATGATTTTTTCGCTCTTTGTTCTTTGTTTAATCTCTGTGATTTCTAACCGCCACCCGACACGTGTAGTCAAGCTGAATAATTTTTTCTTTCTTTGTATAATTTGTTAGAAAGTTTGCTGCAAGAAAAAAATAAAAATTTTTTTAAAAAGACTTTAACTTGGGAATTTTTGCCAAAAAAATGTTTACGGTATCCCGCCCTGGTGTAAAAAAATCGGGTCATTGCGGCGCTTGCATTTTTTATAATAAAATTTTTCCTTTTTTTATAAACATTCAATGAAACGTTCTAATGAATGACAAGAAAAGCGAGAGATGTTAATTAATTTCCATTCAAAACTGGAAATTCGAAAAAGCGCAAGCGCACCGGAAATGCGTCACTTTAAAACCAATGGCGTCTTTTTCGGAGCATCCAAAAAAATTTTTCCAAAAATTTTTCTCATTACTGAAGAAAAAAATGTATATATTTATAAAATCGCGGAGATCATTGCGATAATGATCAAATGATATATTTTTCCGTTCTCGCCGGAAGAATGAACAAATGGATAGAAGAAGTCGGAGGGAAGCCGTATGTCGATATAAGGTAAGGAGGCGAAAACTGATGTCGGTTCTGGAAGATAATTTATTTTTTGATATTATTTTTATATCAAAATACCTGGAGTAAGCTCCCGAAATTTAACAGTAACAGGAAGTGTGACGGGATTTCCCGGGAAGAAGTTGATCTGTAATTTTTGAGTTTCAGTTCGAACGGATCGCGAGTTTTTTTTCTCTCAAAGAACGGCCGTCCAATCGAATGATGTAAATGTGCCGTGAGAGGGAGAGGGTGCACATATCGATTTACGGGCCGTAAATGCTGTCGACCGAGCGTAAATTGTTGACAGCCTCGCCGCAAAATTTGTTCCCCACTTACGCCGTAACTGGTTCAGCCCTTTCCTTTCAGTTTTTCGTATATTCCCCATGCGTTTCCTTGTTTTTGGAGTTGTATAGCTTCAAGATTGGTTTTTTCTTTGAGTAGTAGCGAAAAAAATCCTTAAAAAAATAAAACTATCACTTTATGATGTGTTTTTTTGGGTTAGAAGTCTAAAAAATCTTCATTCGAAAAGCATATTTCGGGACCGCAGACGAATTTTTCAAAAAAATTTTTTCAGCATTGATCTTTGTATGGTTTGATAGCTGTTCCGATTCAAAACTCAGAACCGTTTAGTTTTTTTCGAAAAAAAGATTGCGGATGAAAAAAAGTTATGACGAAAAAAATGTGGCGCGCCGCGCACCATTTTTTTAGTACTGAAAATTTTGGTATTATCCATTTTTTTGACATTTTTTTCTCGATTTTTTTCTTCTAGAACAAGTTTTGATACTGGACTATTATGATGTAACAAATCATAATAGAGTGCTAAAATGATGCTCATCAGCTAGTTTGCCGAAAAAGTCGGTATTTTCCAGAAAACAAAAAACTGACGATTGCGGGCATCGAACTCGCGACCTCAAAATGAAAAATCGCAGCGCACGCGCTGCGCCAAGCTGTTAGGTATAGCGAAGGGAGCTTCCATCCGACATAGCCTTGAGCCGTTTGAATAGCACAGATTGCCTATTTCAAAAAGAAAAAAACTTGAAGAAATTTAGCTATTTTTCAGAATATGTTCGCAAATCTTTACTCAAACCTTCCGTGGAAATTCACTTCGAAAAAAACTGTTTTTTTAGTGCTTATTTCCTCGTTTAACGATCGCTGCCTTAAAAACGGCCCCGTATATTTTTTTGGCAAAGACGAATTTTTTTATTTTATTCTTTTTAATTGAAAGATTTTTTTATTAATAAATGTATATAATCGTTTAAAAAAACCTGCGTTCGACCGCTTTCTGTGTGATAAACGCCGCTAATTTTTATTCTCTAGTTTCAAGAGCATTTTTTTGTGTATTAAACAACTTTTTTTCAAGCACATATTCTGTGGAGAAATATTTAAGTAAGCCCATGGTCTAAATTTAAAAACAAAAAAACTCGATTATATTCGCTTATTAACGATATTTTTGAATCATGACTTTCGGCACTCCCTAAAAATTTTTTTGGCAAAGACGAATTTTTTTATTTTATTGTTTTAAAATTACCGTTACTTGAATCAAAATCATTATTTAAAAAAGAAAGAGTGCGTTCGACCTGAAAAACACACGAAAAAAAGCAAAAAAATGACAAAAATTTTTTTAGTTCCATTCACGTTTTTTTGTACGACATTCCGCGAGAACGCATCAAAAAAAGCGTGAAATATTTTTTTAAACGAAAGAGGAAGCTTTTCTGTACATGTGTGTCAAATTTTATCAGCCAGTTCCACATATTTTGCAACTACAACAAAATGAAAGTTGAAAACCAAAAAAAAGCCACTTTTTCTATCGCGAAAAGGGGCGTGGCTTTGCGGTCCCTAAGCATATTCCACTTTTTATTTATATTATTTCAGTTATTGAACTGAAAAAAGAGTATATTGAAATGATATTCAAAAGTTTAAAAACTGCCACGTTCCGGTATTCATTTTCAAAAAATTTTTTTAGTCGAAACTTCAGTGCGCAAAAACTATTCTAAATCATTTGATTGTTGTCTTCTAGACATGCACGCTTAGAAAACTATAAAAGCGGCTCTTCGCTTCAATTCTTTGATTTGAATTTCCCTATACGCTTTCAAAAATGAAAGCGAAGATTTTCAGATTTTTTTCTTTTTGAGCTCGATGTAATTTTTTTTTTCGAATTTTCATACAAAATATCTTGGAACTTAGCAATCCATCAGGATTTCAGAGAATGACATTTGCGAAACGAGAAAAATCGGCGACAATGTCCGAAGAAGCTTCGATGCTTCTCGTTCAACTCTACCTCAGAGACGAGGAAAAGTACAATTCAAAGGTGCTCGGGAAAACGCCGGAAACCGGAAAGACCATAAAACAGCAATGTGTCTGTGATTGGAAAGATGAGCTAGCGGCGATTGGATGCGATCGAACCGAGGAACAGGTACTTTTTTTTCTCATTTTACTGGTTTTTCAAATTTTTCTGATTTTTTCTGATAATTTTTAGGAGAGCAGTCTAAGTGGCTACTTGAGGGTTCATTATAGAGTTTACAGCTCAGAGAGAATTTTTTCTCATTTGAGGCAAGAATACAGAATTGTGTAAGCCGTGTCGTCATGCCCCTTTAGTGACTACTTGGCGGATTGAACGATTCCCTTTGGACTAGCTGAGTGGTCACTTAAGGAGCCAAATCCAATCCGTAACTTGAATGGCTTTTAGATCAATATTAAGTCTTTAAAAGAGTTGATGAATTTTTTGCCGAATTCTTAAAAAGATTCCAAATTTAGGCATTCTCCATTTTTTTTTTCAGATCTACATGAAAATCAAAGGCGACCTCCACTTTGTCCGTACCAGAATCGAACAAGAGAAAGCGGAAATAAATACTTGTGGACTTGGAAATTTTAAAAAGCTGCCCGTTTTGAATGCACCCAGACAAGTTCTCTACGATCATTTGATAGGTCTGCAGTCGGTGCAAGAAATGGTTGGAACTTTTGACGGTGAATTTTGCTTTTTCTGTAAAGGGGATCGAACCTACTGGGCTACAAAAAAATCAAAAATTTTCAGGTCGAGTAAATGGTGAATTAGAAGACGAGGACATGTACGAAGAGCCGCTCCCGCAGTCTTCTATCACTGGTACAGTTCAAATAATTCATTTCTCTAGGATTTTGCTCTGTTAACTTTCTCAATATTTTAAAACCTTGATTTCTTTTTTGATAAAAGAAAATCTGCTTCATACATCGAGTGAATCCCACCCAGCCTTTTGCGCACGAAAAAAAAACTGAAAATGTACTAAAGTACTGGGAAAAGCTGTAGTGGGTCCTATAGGGAGAAAACGAACCCCCTTACGGAGGTACGGACCCACTACAGCTTTTCCCAGTAGGCCGCATTTTTTGGAGGGTGAGCCGCAAAGTGAGGGGGGTTGGCCGGGATGGGATCCAGCTGACTTATGATCAGCTTCTTAAAATACGAACTTTTCTTGGAGAAGAAAATAAACCTAGAAAATGAGTTTTACATCTAAATTTGCTCTACTGGCACGTTCTCCGCTCGTTCCTATATATCCAGACTTGAAAAGAAATCAACCACTACTTTAGGGACCACTAAAATATTAAAATAGTAATTTGTACAGTTTTCAGAAGCCTTGATGGCTTGTTTGAATGAAGTAAAACCGGCCAACGAAGTGGAACCGACTATTCCAGTTATGAGACCACAAAAACGACCAGCCCCTTCAGAAGAAAGGTAAAACGAGTCCATTCTCCACAGCTTAAAAAATTTTGGTCGCACTTGGAATGGCTCAGTGCGTCGCGGTTTGAAATATGACTTCTCGAGAATTTGGCAACTTAAACTTGAGCAGTTTCTGAGCCCAAGCTTAAATTTGTCGTAAAAATAGGGATTCAAAAATTAACCGCTTCACTTCAAGCCATTCCGAGTGCTCTAAAGACCTTCCACTACCGAAAAAAAAAATGAAAAAAGAAATATTTCAGCCCTGAAATCGTGAAAAAACGCGTCCTACTGCTCGACAAAGAAATCGAAAATGCTGATATTCAACGAAAATTGCTTCTAGTGAAACTGGAAACGGCTCAGATTGAACTACAATGCGCCAGAGCTCGAGCCGTCAAGGAATACAGTTCAAAAAAATTGATATATAAATTTTTTTAATGAACTTATTTCAATTAAAATCGTCTGGAATCCAGTGCAAATCTATAATTTTTTTGAAGATTCAAAGCGATTTTTCTGAAAAAAAGGATCTCAAGAATAAAAAGTACCCAAGAAGCTTAGGTTCACGTCATTTTTCACGGCTGATTTTTTTCTGATAAACTATAATTTTTCATTCACATTTTTTTAAGATCTTTCTTCACTTTGAAAACCATCCGAAAAAAAGAAAATTTTCAAGTCCAAGTTCGAAGAGAAATTCTACTGTCGTTCAGTTCATTTCAGTATAAATTGATCGGTTTCAAAAATTTAAGTCATTATTTTCTTTTGAACCTTCAAGACCTTATTTTACCTTAACTTTAAGGTCATCAAAGAAGTTTTCTGAAAAGGATGCCAAGAATAAAATAACCCACGAAGCTTATACCCGCCCACTTTTACGGCTAAATTTATTTTCAAAACCATGATTTACCCCAAAAATCTTTAAAAACCCCTCAAAACGGACATATTCCAATCGTATCACGACGTTGGCAGCGACAATTACCAGCCGGTACTGCTTAGTGGTTCCTTGGCGCGAGAAATGGACCTCCATCGCCGAGGAGACCGGCAAACGGCACGTCGTCTCAGACGGCAACTAGAAGGCTTCAGATGACGTCAATCCTCTCCAGAATCGCTCACCGAATCCCAGGAGACATTGGCTCGATGGACGATGGCCGGATGAGAGTCATCTGAAGGCGCCGAGAGGATTTCCGGCGGGTAGACGTGGCCGTAGAACTGCCGAGCCAAGGACAGGGCTTCCGCGCAGCTTTGGGGTCTGAAAAATCCGAAGTTTTGGGGGAAAATGAGAGCATATTCACTGGCAGATGAGAAGAGAACACTATTTACAAAAATGGGCAAAATTAGAATTTTTATTTCACTTTAGGGACTTCTTGCGATCGCGGTTTTAGCGGGAAATCGAAAAAGCAAGTCATTATTCTTTTTTTGCGGGTACAGTTTTTTTGCAAGCAAATACAATTTTTTTCGCGGTTTTCTAAAGGAAAAAAATTATTTTTCAAGAAAATTATCTAGGAAGGTAAACAAACTTTTTCGAAATTAGTTTAAATTTTTGTGACCTACTCGATTCGTGACATTTTCCTGAAGCTTAAAGGAGCATAACTTATTATTAAAAAGGTCTCAAAACGAAGTTATGTTCAAAATTTAGGACAGAGAAAGAACGATCAGAATGGACGTTAAAAAGTGACGAATTTTTAACATAAAAGATTCAAACATTTTTTTTTTAAAACAAAGGTTTTGCTAGGAGGTGGAAAGGTACAAACAAAACCAACCGAACAGTACAGGAAGTTGAGATGGATCTTCTGAACAATACATCAATATTTTCCGAGTTAAAACAGTCGCCAAGCGCTGGAATCGTTAGGGGAACTGCTACCATCCCTAAAAACCTCTTTTTAAAAATCTTTCTTTTCAAATTTCCCACCATTAACAGCATAGACAATCTCGCCATCGTTATAACCGGCAAAAATCGTTTCATTTGAAGTTTCCTTGATCGGTTGGACGAATAAGACGTTGGTTGTTTGAAGAAAAGACTTCAAATTGGTTTCAGACAGGGTCGCGTAGGTCAAATCAACGTTGGCGAAGATTAAATTCGAAGAGTTGGCGGTGAAAGTTAGAGTTGCCTAGAAAACAAGGCAATAGTAGTGCGTTCGACTCTTTGATAATAGCTAAGTGGTTACTTCAGGGTTGCAAGTAAAGATCTTCACGAAATGATCTGAGCTCAAAGATCTGAGCTCAAAAACGAGCTCGATCTGAGACACGAAAATTTTCGATAATTGAGAGTCCGTAACTTTTCTCACAGACGTATTGGGAAATTTTGAAGCCGGACTTGGAATCAACATGAAAAACTACATCTAGAGAATTTAGTTTCATTAGAAAGTCTCACTGTGAGCTCAGATCATTCCCTAATAGAGAAGAAAATATTAAAGAGCATCATCCAAGGAAAGTTTACTCGAAAGAAATATGGATTTCACTCGATTTTCATCTTTCCTTTTTTAAATCAGGGTTATAGTTCGTTGGAGCTAGCTTCAAAACCAACCGATTTCAAAATGCCATAACAGGCCGAACCGTTCCAAGTCGGTTGCATAAGTTGGACATTTGAAACGATTTCGACACGTTGGGCTTCTGTCGCGTTTTCCGCCCGCTAAAAATTTTTTTTAAATTCCTTCAAGTTTTTTGAGCTTTTAGTGACCTTTATAAGTTTTAGATTTAGTGCTCACTCAAGAGCTTCAGGTGGAGCTTCCTAGGAAAGTAATTTGTCATTATAGAGAGCTAAATAAGGCTCGAATGTTTTATAATTTTCAGTGGTCCCTTGATAAGTTTATTTGGAATTTTTATAACGAAGCTTTTTCTGTCATCTCCAGGACTACTGATTTACAAAAAAGCGACATTTTTCTAATTCTTTAAAAAAACGAACCGAAATGAAAACTTTGTTGAACCGATTCTGAGCATTCAGAAGCTCATTTCCCGTACATTCATCTTGAAATTTTTGTGAAAACTTGGGCGAACAAGTCACACTGACGTTTCTATTCAACTCTGAAAAAAATTTCTTTTTTCCTGACAAGATTCAAAGGAAACCGACCAACGTGTTGATTTCCCGTACAAAATCGGTCAATCGACGAAGCTGGTATTAAAAATGGAATAGTAGATTCCGAATCAGCCGATAGGGTTATCAAATGTTTTCTCTAAAACGAATAATTTACGTTTATTCTGGAAGAGGTATCTGAAACTACCTCTTTTTTAGGTAATTTTCCGTCTTCTTTCTTAAAACCCCGATTTTTCGAATAGGTTTCCCACTGGTCCAAAGTTTGAACAACCTCGACACCTTCATATTCCAGTTCGTCTAAAAAATCGAAAAATTGATTGAAAATGAGAAAAAAGAGCTGCAGGGTTGAAACAGGTGTGCTCCATTGGCAAAAATAATAAAAATTGGTTTTAAACACCTTTTTTCTCCCATACCTTCTAAAAAGTCCAAAAAGAACAGTGGAAACGTGAAAGAGAGAGAAAAAAGCTCTCAAAAATGAAAAGGCTGAAATTGCTTCGCTTTTGCGCTCCATGGACAACTTTAATTTTCGGTAACGCAAACCGGAAGCGCTTTTTAGTAACCACTTTAGAGGTGTCAGAACTCTTAAGTGACCCCTAGAGTTGCTCAGAAGCGTCCTGGGCGCGTCCGATTTGCGCTACCGGGTCCCATAATGATTTCAATTGAATTTTTTTCTCACAAAAAAACAAAAAAATCAAAATCTCAAAGATGAAGCCCTCCTGTTCAACAATCTTCAACTTTAAAATGATATGATATGCAAAATTAATAACAAAAAAGGCACCATTGGTCCTCAAGACGCAGAAAAGTTGAGTAGTTGGGAATATCGAGTCGATTCTGTGACGAATCACCGACGGATAGCAAACCTCTTGAGAAAAAATACATGATATCAGTGATAATAATGATATCAAGAAGAGAAAAAGCTCTGAATTGACCAACATTTCCTTTAAAGGCTCCCGACGAGAAACGTGCATGGGATGTCCCGGTCGCCATGGCAACCTCAGTTTCCACGAAAAATCGTCGGAAATATCGTTCAGGCCTTTTTGGCGCTCTCAATCTGGCACTTTTAAAAAATTTTGAATAATTAGTCTATGACCTATGAAAAAAGCCAAAAAAAATTTCAAATCAACGGTGAATAGACTTATGCTTAAAAAGTTTAAAGACGCAGAACAGACTCGTAAGATCATTCTCTTCGAGACCAGAGTTTCAAAAAAATACTCTACGAAATAATTACCAAAAATACATTATTTTTCTAACAACTTTTATAAGAAAATTTTTCAATTCTTCAATTCCTTCCAAAGATTGTACACTTTTTTTCACGTTCAACAGACTCGAAATATTGAGGAGGAAACATTTTATTTCTTCCCAATAAGGATGTCAAATAAAATTCTACTCAAACTTATAACAACGTAAAACAAGGCAGCGCCTATGCAACTAATTTAAGAATAAAGAAAAAAAATGACCGAGAGAATGAAGATGAGAGGCAAACAATTGAGTGTGGATCAAATATGATAAAGATCTGATTTATTTAACCGCTGACGGGCTTGGCAGACTCGACTTCGATGTACTTGATAAGATCGGCTCGCTCGTCAGCCTTCTTCAGACCGGCGAAGACCATCTTCGTTCCGGGGATGTACTTCTTGGGGTTGAGCAAATATTCGAACAAAGTCTCGCGAGACCAGGTCACACCCTGGAAAATTAAAATTTAGAAAGATAACTTGAAAGAAAAACTAGGATCAATAACATTCAAAGTAATTTTTCTTCATTAAAAAATGTATATGAAGTTGGAATGAAACTTCAGAAATCGCCAGGAAAAGACAAGTCAACATTTTCGAAACACTAGGGACCTTGCTTGTTTGAATTTATTTGAACTTTCTACGAATTCGAAAAAAATTGATAAAATTTCGCAAAAAGTTCAATTTCCCGCCAACAAAACTTCAATACAGCTAAATATTAAAAAAAACTATAAAGATTTCCAAACAGTTTCCTTCAACATTTGTGTTCCGCCTAGATCAGTAGAAACGATCTTTGATGCTTTTCTTCAAAACAAACAAGAAAATTCTCCATTGATTCACTGATCATTCCAACAAACAATAAGTCAAAGGGAATGAAGAACTAAACATGCAAAATGACGTTTTTCTAATTCTGTTTTCAAAAACTTCTACAGAAATAAAGTGGAGACAGGTGAAGCTTGAAAAATTGCAAGTTTACAAAATAAGTCGACTTTTTGTTGAGTAGTAAGTTCTTAAATTTCTTCATTACCCAAAGATTTCAAAAAAATCAAGAAATATAACGAAATCGATGTACACCATCCCACTTCAAGTGGTTTTACGAGCTCAAAATTATGAAATTTTGTCATTCTGCCAATTTTTTTTAGCCAATTCCCTAAAGCTCTAAACTTTATATTTATGAATACCGGTGAAAATAGCTATTTTTTTCTAATGAATGATCGTCGGAATAAAAATTTTCACGATAAAATTTTTTTATAAAATAAAGAAAAAAATTTTTCAAAAAAAGATGAAAGGCAGATTTTTTTAAGCATGGAACATTTATAATTAAAAAAATGAAAAGTAAAAAAATTATTAATTTCGACGATGCATTTCAACATTCTAATTTCTAACTGATCTCTGAAATTACCTTGTTCTTGTTGGCGGCCGAATAGTCGAATCCTTCAACGGTACCGGACTTTCTGCCGATGATACCGTGGAGGGTGGGACCAGTCTTGGTGGCCTTCGAGTCGACGACGTGGCACTGCAAGCATCGCTGCTTGAACACCTTCTTTCCCTTCTCGTAATCTCCTTCTGGGATGTCGGACATGTTGAACCCTGGAAAGAAAAAAAATTAATAAAAATGATAATTTACAAAATTTCATCATCATTTAAATTTAATTAGATTCAATTGAATTCAAAACTAAAACTAACAAAAAAGAAAATTAAACTACTTTAGAAAGCTGAAAATATGGAGCAGAACAGTTGCAGACTGAGATGGGCGGCTGTGATGCAATGAGCGGAACAGAGCAGACAGACACCGTCAGAGACGCAGAAAAAGGCGGAGTCAGTTGAAAAAGAGAGGAAACAAACATTTTTGATCGAGTGTTCTAATGATAACTCTGAAGAGCTTTAACCCTAGTTTATTATTAATTTTTTTTTCTCATTAAGGTCTAAAATGATGTAAAAAGTATTATTAAAATTCAACTTGATATTCATCCGTAAACTCAAACAAGCTTTTTGAGCCGGAGAGCTCGTTTACTTTGAAAGAGTACCATAAGTTATTTCTATTCCACGAAATTTAAGAGCAACAAAACTTGCTTAGAATTGACGAAAAAAGAAATCAGAGTTCAAAATCCACTCCATGACTTTCTGACAAATCAAAGAGATCTCAAGACGAATAAGAACGGGCCACAAGTGATAAAAGTGCAAAATTGTCGGGCTGGATCTCAACTGTGTCAACTCAACGCGAAGAAAGATTTGTTTCTAATCCGACGAAAATAAAAGAATTTTTAATTAATTCCGAATGCTGAAATTCAGAACTATTTCCAGTGCTCACTTGGAAGATTTTTTTTTTGGAAACTACAACAAGCTTATCAAACTTTGCTCGTTTGTAAATGAGAATGCATTTGAAAAAAATATTTACGAAATTTTTCAGAGCTTTCAATCCTTAATATGACAGAAAATAAAAAGAGAAAAGCAATTAACTTCTCAAGTTTCTATAACTTATGAATTATTTTCGCAGGAAACCAATATTTCAAAGCGAATTCACGCAATTTTTCACGATTGAAAATAACGATAAAAAATTGAAAACAGATTTATTTTTAATAACAAATAACAATTGCAGTTTAAGCAAAGTGGGTCTTTGGCCGGACGGTCGTGAAGACGCTGGCGTTTCTTCGCTTGCTGATGCGGTGGGGGAGCGGGAATCGGATCTTGGAGTCGTGGAACATCTTGATTCCGGCGCGCTTGGTCTCGGCGGCCTTGACGGTCTGGACCTTGAGGATGTGGATGCGGTCAGCCTGGGCGCGGTGACGAGCTCCCATGTCACGGTAAGCTTGCGTGACGGCGCCGGCGATGGTGACGTCACGGTACTCACGGTACATGTTGTGGTGGCCAGTACGAGAATCGTACTTGAGCCAGACACCGTAGTTCTTCACGCTGCCGGGCTTCTTCTCGAAAACCTCAAAAAAAAACTTGCATAAAAAAATTAAACTTATTTTATTTATCTTTCCAATAGAAGACATTTCCGTTCCCCTAAATGAAACAAACTCGAATAAGATGTTATTTCCCGATTAAAAAATTTTTTTTTTGATAACTATTCAATAATTTCTAATAAGAATAGAATCATTAGGCAAAATATTTACCTGCTTGACGGAGAGAATCTCGCCGTTGGCCTTCTTGACCTTTCGGAGCATAGAAACGAAGTACCAGAAACGGGACTTGGCGATGATGTGGTTGGAGGCGAAGATTTGCATCTTCCAGATAGGAGTCACCGGCTCCTTCTCGGTCGGGATCTTGCGTCCGACGACGATGTACTCTTTCAAAACTTCTCCCAAAGCCTTGGTCGGCATGTTGAACCCTGAAACTCAATATTTTTACTTATCTCAAATGTTTCAACACAAATAGCGTTTTGTGAGCGTGACTAAAACTGAGAATGAGCCTAACTAAGCTGAATGCATGAATACTATAGTCTGTTCAGACTTTGAATGTCAAGTCGTCGCTCAAGCTCCGACTTTAAAAATATGAACACGCTATAAACGCTTGATAATTCAGTCAAAAATTATATTAGACTCAATGAATTAAAAAACTTGAAGAGCGTTATCATTAACAAAAAAAATTCAATTTGAAGATTCTAAAAAATTTAGAACTTAAAATTAAAAGAAGAAAAACTGAGAAAACCAAGTGCACAAAATTCCCTTCTTACAATGTAGGAAGAAAAAAAATAAAAAATATTTGGTAATAGGTAAACAGGTATTAGCCTTTTTCTTCAGTTAAAACTTTGTTTTTAAAAAAAGTGGCAGTTTGTGAAACAAAAAAATTATAAATATTTCCTCGCAATAACATTTAAAAAAATTAATTTCTGTTGAAAATCGCAAAAATTTTACAGTTACGTCTTCCTTATATCTAATTAAACTATGAAAGTAACAAAAAAATAACGACAGATTTTTTTAAATTGAAAAAAAGAAAAAAAGAAAAACGAAAAAAATGGATTCCTAAAATGAAACGCTAAAAGTGTACGAACAACGATGGTGCGTAGGGCGTCTTTAATTACAGTAACCCGCACACCCTGTGTAGATTTACGGCGCCCCTATAGGCTCCACTTGGATTTTAACAAATTTGTATTTTTTTTTTCCAAAAATATTTTTTACTCGTTGAGTTTCTGTGTTTTCAGATGTCAAAAACATTTTTCTCATTATTCCGCTCGCCATCAGTACAAAAAGGTTGTCGCTTGGCGTCAAATGCGGCTCCAGTGGAAAACCGGCTGGTTCATATTGAAAACCAGTTTGAATCTGTACCTCCACCGAAAAGAGATAAGGATGCTTTCATGGGAGCGATAGGTCAGTATATATTCCTTTTTTCTCTGAAAATTCAATTCAGCAATGTTCAAGGAAAAACGAGGTAGAGGCCACGTCGAATTCATAAATTCTTCTTTGAAGTTCATAAAGGAATATGGCGTTCATAAAGATCTCGACACCTATAAAGCTCTTCTGAACGTTTTTCCGAAAGGAAAAATGATCCCGCAAAACACCTTCCAGGTAGAAAAAGGGTAGAAAATTTCTGAGGGAAAGTAAATATTTTTTCAGAAAATCTTTCTTCACTATCCAATGCAGCAAAACTGTTGCGTGAAAGTTCTAGACGAGATGGAATGGCATGGTGAAACTCTTTCCGAGATCTCTTCGAAACATATTTTTCATTCAGGTGTTCAACCCGACAAAGAAATCCACGATATTGTGGTGAATGCGTTTGGAGAGTGGAATTTCGCGACGAAAAAAATCAAAAGGATGCTCTATTGGATGCCAAAACTAAAATATTCCAACAAATATTTGGATAGAAGGACGGTTGAAGGTAATAATGACTGAGAACCTTTTTAAAGTTTAAGTTTAAGGTAAATCTTTGAGTGATTGCGAATTGGCTGGTGTCGCCTTAAAAATGATGAGTAGGGATCCGGCCACAAACGTTTCACTAGTCAAGGTGAACTTGTTTCAAAAATCATAGGCATTTCAAGATTTTTCCAGTTTAAAAACGACATCATGGCAAACGAGTGGATCGTTTTAGCTCAAAGTCCGAGTCAACAGCGACTTTTGAAGCAATTGAACGCTGGGGATGAGGTAAAAAAATCTCAAATAATTTTTTAAAATTAAGTATTCAGGTTTTTCGTCGATAAGTCACAAGTTTACGTTCAAGACAACTGCGTCAAATTTATTCAGTTAACTACAAGATCTGCAGAGCCATTGCAGGAATTTGTTAAAGAAGAGGTTTGAAAGCGTACTTTTTGCTTTAAAGTTTTTTTGAAGCAACTATGATTTTTTTCAAAATGAACCGGGCAAATTCGGATTTCCGTTTTGCCAGTTTTAATCTTTTTTTGCTTAAAATTTTGATAATTTTTTTCAAAAAAATCTTCAGAAACAACACTTCTGTGCAAAATTTCTCAACCTGAATTTTATTTTGACATCGCTGAATTTTCATAATTTTTAATTGAGTTTAAATTAAACCGTTAATGAAAAATTAATTCGGAAATTATCATTCAGAACAGTTTTTGGTTTCAAAAAAATTCAGAAATTCTATTTGGATCTCTATGAACTTTTTTTCAACTTTATTTTTGAAGCTCTTTAAAGCTGTTAGGAAAGTATTTAATGGAAACTAAAATCTAAAACATTTATATTTATTTTTTTGAATGAAAGAATGAAAGTTTTATGAAGACTTGAAAAAGCTTGAAATTGGTTTGAGTAAAAAAATTCAATTTTTCAAACTTTGATAAATCTTATCCATGCTTTTTTTCAAAAAAATATATAAAGCGTGAGTCAAGAATACATCTCTCTCAAAAAGAAATAAGCTCTTAAGATGGACGAAGATTACACAAACTGGTACGAAGACTGGTTAAAACGAAGAGAATCTTCGAAAAGAACCATTCACGAGCAACAAAATGAGGTCATACTTGCCCTGGGCGCCATTTTTCGGTAATATCCAACTTTCTACCTCATTAACCTGAGATTTTTTGAAGATACGATAACGATACGGCATTCCGATGGGTCGAAGAGCTTCAGAAGACCAACAAAAACCTGGAAAACCTGCGAATTCGTTTGAGAATAGATGGCAAGAGTTTGATTTGATAGAACTTCCTTTTTAGTATGTATTATAGTTAGTCTTTTTAAAAATAACATTACGGGTTTCTTTTTAACAAAAATAAAACTTTTTCTAAAAAAAGTATGACAGGTTTATTATCGAGATTTTGGGTATAACACTATATTCACAAAGAGATCAATTTTGAAATTATGAACAAACGAAAAAAAAGAGTCGATAAATTATTAAATAATCCCATTTAGAGTGTGACACTTCGTTGAGGCTATTGAATAATAAATGAAAAACAACTGAGTTGGCAAAAATAAATCAAAAAGATTCAATGTTATATTCAATATTAAAACAGCGATCTTGATTTTAAAAAAAATACATGAACTGAAAGAGGAGTATCTTGGAGCGGAAGAATGACTCATCAAAACGAAAAAAAAATATTTTAAAGCATAAAAAAGACAGAAATTAATGAATTCAATCGCTATCCTCATCTTCACGATCCCTCGTCCCTCTCTTTTTTGATGGGGGCACAACTTTCATAAAGGGGACGACATAACGTTGGGGAATGTGCATCGGAGGCGAATATCCTGTCGGATAACTGACGTCTTCGAAAACCACTTGGTAGTCTTCTGTAGGCGTCGCCGGTACCTTGTGTACGACTCCTAAATTTATACAATTTAAATTTCATCTTTTAAAACTGAGAAAAAGAACAATAACTGCCTTAAGGAGAACTTTAAAAAAGCAAAAAAAAAAGCTAGATTAAGAATAGAGTAGCGCTCCGGGAGCAAAAAAAGATGAAATTTGTGTTTTCTTCTGCTGAAAACTTGACTGACTCAAAAAAATTAAAAAAATTCTTTTTCCTGGAAGTTCCAATTTTTTTCAAAAAAATTTTTTTGAAAAAAATTCTGCCCAACTTTATAAAGTTTATTGAATTTCGTTTTTTTCGATTTGAAGGCTTTTTTCATACTGAAAATATTTAACGCAACAAATTTCGACTCGAAAAAAATGAATCTTCTGGGGACCTTAAAAAACTATGAGAAGCGATAATGCTTTTTTTGACTTTTTGTATACATTTTTCTAACCCAATAATTCCTATGAAACTAATCAATTAATCATCAATATATCAATATTTATTGGTTGTTTTAGTCAGATGGAATGTAAATCTCAAGAGGGATTCTTTCCAGAAAACGAGTAAAAAATCGAACCTTTATAAAAGCAGGTTGTTTGCGGGTAGAGGGCCAAGACGATGGCGTCAAGTGGAAATAAGGCGTGCGGATCGTGTTGAGGGTCGGCGCGGAATCGCGGCAGGGGAATCAGTCGGTAGCGCGGGAAAATCGCCTTGGCTTTTTTCTGCTGTTCTTCGTCGACATCGCGCACTTCGTATTTTCCACCTGGCAGGTGGCCGATAATCTGGAATCGAAGATTGTAGAAGCTTTTTCTCCTTTTTCTTTTAATACACACAGAATCTGCACGGAAAAGCTCGCTTATTAGGTCTAAAAAAAAAAGCTTTTATCGATATTCTATAGTTCAATCGCGATAACATGAAACAGTCTGATGTGTCTGCGTCTCGTTTCCATCATCAAAAAGGTACATAAAAAAACTGAAAATAAAAAAATTGAACACAGAGATTCTCATCTTTCCGTACAACTTCGCTTTTTTTGTAGAGATCATTCTGGTCTCAAATCCACGGTGATCAAACTACATACAATTTAAAAAATTTTTCGTTCAAAATTATATTGACTTTTACCCGATTTTTTCTGAGGCTGGTTTCATCAGCGAATCAAGTAATATAAAGGCATTTATAAGCAGTTTGAAAAAAAAATTAGAAATTAAAGGTGATATTTCAGAAATTTGCAAATAAAAAGCAGGCCAAAAATTGTAATCATCAAACAATGAGAAAATGAACAAACTTCTCCTAATATCCAGTTCTTATTGGAGAAGGCAGCAACGGCGTCTCCGATTTCCAGCCGTTTATGTTCGGAAATATGGATGGCGCCGACAAAAGGTCCAGGGAAACCTTCATTTCCGTTAACCCACAATGGAAGAGTATTTCCCTGAAAAAAAACCTATGAATTGAACTTTTTCTTCTCAATAAAACCTGCAAATTAATAAGCTGCATGAGAGCTTGCCGCTTAATTTCGTTTTTCATTTTCGACTCGTACTCTTGTTTCCGAATTTTCTCGACGTCTAATAGCAATTTCCTGAAAAATCAGGATAAAAACTAATAGGAATATTTTCTCAGACCTGATATAATCAGACAACGAATCTGAAGACTTTTGCAAGTTCTGGTGAAGCAAGATGCTTTTTTGGCTGTAAAAACACAATTTATTATTATAAATAGTAGTAATAAATAACCTTATGCCTTGGACTGCCAAGAACACTCGTTTCCTTCTCACAAAACTTTTGCAAACTCTCCAGAGCTTCATTGACTTTGTCTTGACGGTTTCTGACATGCACCAACTTTAAAAAATTAGAATTTATTATTAAAATAATAACTTAAAAAACCTTTCTATGGAGATCGCTCAAAGCGGTTTGTCTCTTTCTCTCATCCCGTACTTTTTCTGTTCCCGTCTTTTTAACCATTCCTGAAAATAAAATACATATTTGAATACGCTTTTAAAGAAAAAAAAATTATTAAAAAAAAACTAGCAACACTTTTGTCTTCATTCCGTCGCTTCTAAAAAGAATTTTTTTAAATTATAAACAACCTTCTTTTTTTCATTGAAAAACGTTCACTTTCTTCTTTTTAACACTTCATGAATTAATTAAAATAGTAAAAAAACGCGAAGGAAGAAAAAAGTCGTATTGATCGAATTTTTAGAAAATACGCACGCGTTAGTCGCGCCCTACTGACACTTGCCTGAAAGTGGCCCTTCAAGTGGAATGTCATTTTTTTCGAGGTTTGGAGTTATTTCTTTTTCATTTTAAATTATTAATTCAAATTAAATACATAAAATGACACATATTGATTCAAGTGGTCACTAAAGAGAATATAAAACTATATTTCAACGGGTTTGATTGTGAAAAAAGCCTTGGAGAGCTCCAACACAGAAAGCTTTCATGTCGATTCATACTTTATTAAATAAAAGGCAGAAAAGAGAGAGTTTCGACTAATGCTTCACAGAACGCTTCGACCCGAAATCCTTGTTCTTCCGTTTCGATGCGCTATCCTTTTCCTTTTCCTTGTTTTTCCTTTTCGATGCGCTATCCTTTTCCTTTTCCTTGTTTTTCCTTTTCGAGGCACTGTCTTTCAACGCTTCGGGTGTTTTCAGTACAACGTTTGGCGATTTCATTGAAATGTTCATGTTGTTGTTGTTGTTTTCATGACGGTGCTGAAAATTGAATTTTTTTTTCATGAATCGCTTGAAATTCTCGAAAAATTCTCAGAGCGTCGCGGTCTCTTTGAAACTGTTTCAGAGCGCCTAAAGTCGAAAATACGCGCGACCGCATTATTCATAACTGTAAAAATAGTTCAAATTCGACCGAAATCGGGCAAAGTTATTTTTTTTTGTAAAAACGCGACCGCGACGCACCGAGCGGTTCGGAAAACTTAAAAAAAAAAACCCACATCGCCAACAAACTTTTTCTCGAGGTTAATACCGCCAGGAACATCACCACTACTCGGCTCAAACTCCAACTTCAACGCTTCCTAAAAATATTTTTGAATTGTCTTTAAAAAAAAAACGGACAGCCTCCTCTTCTTCAGTCTGTCTCATTCGACTCTTCTCCCGAGAAGGAATATTGTACTTTTCTTGGACTGGAAAATGAAAAAAAAAAAACTTGATTTAATGAATTTTTGGTATAACCAGAAATTAATTCCGGGATTGTGGTCGGCTGCAACATGCCATAGTCCATCGGGTCCGTGAGTCTTATCCCCGATTCAGTCATCTTTGCGTAGAGCTGAATTGGAAGGATGAAGTGGGGGTTAAGAAAGGAACAATCTTTGGGAAAATCAAAACTTTTGAAGGGCTCTACATGGAAATTTACAAACCGAGAGAATGATTCCATCAAAAATCTGTAAGTTGGAAAATCTATTTTTTAACTGATTTTCTGGGTCTTTTAGGGGGACGAAAGTGAAACATGGCCTAGGCTTTCCGACTATTTAGAAAATGTTAGAGTTTCTTGTTTTAAAACAGAATTTTGAAAATGAAAATTACCGAAAAATAAAAAATTTACTTCAAAAAGCTATGCAATTTGTACCGAATAGACTAAAAATTGGACTTGAAAATGACTTCTTTGATTTTTGAAAATTAGGCCGTGCCAATTTGAACATCCTTTCAAGTTTTTTTAAATGAAATTCACCAAATTTCAGCCATTTTCTAAGTAAATTTCATCAAATATTTTTCTGTTTATTCAATCAACATGTTGAAAAATCACTATAATTGGATAAAATCTACTCATTTTCAGCCATTTTCCAGGTCAACTTCATCAATTTTTTTTTCTTCGCTTCTACAACAAACCAGTTCATATATCATCTTATAGTTGGGCCGGTCCGGATAGGTCAGCGATTGAAGATGGGTCAGAACCGGCTGGAACACCTTATTCACACTGAAAAATGAAAATTTTCTACAAAAATCCAGTCGAGACCAACGGATCCTTGCTGATGACGTTGTTGATGAGCATGGTTTTCAAAACTTCGACTTTTTCCGGATGCGACGAGTTGCGCCAGGGCAGAGGGCACCGGAGTTCGAGCATCATGTAGAGCCAGGACCAGAGGTCGTCCCCGCGGCCCTCAAAATGGATGAAATATGATTTTTTGCTTCTTAAGATCAATATTGTGAAAGAAGAAATCTTCCGGAGTCATAGAAAAACGAAAAATGTCAAAAAAAAAACAAACGAGCTCAATCCGCTTGTGCATGTTTATACTGCAGTAGCGCAGGGTTCCGCGGAAACGACACTGAAATAAAATTCAAAAAAAACTTCGTTCTTAGGTACGTCAAAAGATTATTTTCCACCGAACAACTATGGAAAATTGAAAGAACAGAATACTCGAGAAAGAAGGTTCGGCAACGAATTTAGAGCCAGTGGTAAAAAGGGAACTTCAGAATACCTAAACTGCAAAAAAAATGTTTTTTTGAAGAATAAGCACTTTTGAAAGCTTCTACTAATGAGTTTTTGATCAAAACTGACGAAGAGAAAAAAAGCCCCTCTGAGAGGCGAATGTGCGCCCCATGGATAAGATTTTTTTTTTAAAACTCCTTTTGCCATTTTAGGAGTCTTAATGTTAAAGGTCAAATAGAGTTTCGAAGATTGCCGTGACTTGAAGATTTTAAATCAAAAATTACAAATCCCAACTAAGAATTTGAAACTATCTGAAGTGATGAGAAACAGATTTTGACGTCGTATTTTTAATTAGCAGCAATAAAAACGCCGAAAGTTCTTTGATTTGAGACGTTTTTCGAAAACAACTGATGGTGTTTTAGGAACAAAAAACCTCATAAAATTGAGGAAAAGCTCTCCCAAAACTTACAACTGATCTTCGTTGCCGAATCTGCCACTTTTTCTCAGAATCTTTGAACGCGTATTGTCTGGTCATCCCTTAATTGAAACTATATATTTGAATCAATTTTCAATAATTTTTATAATGAGGTTTTCCCATATCCAATTCACGGCGAGCGTGGCCCGCCTGGACCCTCCACCAAAAAGGCACTCTTTTTTATCGTGTCAGGACCCTTTTTTCGACAAGCCAGCCGTGAATCAGCCATATCAATAGCACAAAGAAAAAGTGAACCAAAGTCAAGGAGATAAATTTGAAAGGATTCCGCATCGCAATGGAGGGCAAAATTGCACGGTTTCAGGTCTCTGTGGATGTAACCAATCTCATGAAGCTGAAAAATCAATAATTCAAAAAGAAAATCGATTTATTTCTCACTCGTTTCAAAGCGATAAGGGTACGAATGGCCAGGCGGATAATCGTCGAATCCGAAAATTTATTGCGCAACTGAAAGGAGAGCTATATATCAATAGTAAATTGATAAAGGGAGCGTTTTCATTGTTAGTCGAATTTGAAACTGTAGTATTCCAGGGCCTCTAGTTTCGAAAAAATAAAAACTTCTCGACTTCTGGGAGGATTCGGGAGGATTTGTGAAGCTTCAAAGTTTACAAACGACGCAAGTTATAGAAAAAGGTGAAATTCGAAGCTTTTGAACTTGCCGATGTACCGAAAATTAGGAAACTTTATATTTTTCCGGAATCAGAATGGAATAAAGTACATTATAGCAAAACTTCATCAAAAAATGAAATTTCAGTTATCCTTCCGGGGAAATACCAGCTTATTAACGATGATACAGAAAAAAAGGAACTACTACAAGCTAAAAACCGAAAAAGAGTTCAGTGGTAACTGCAGGGGGAATTTCAGCCTATTCTCGGTTATATAGAAAAAAGACACCACGTCACTACTGTGGACTCTAAAGCGGCCACTTCAAGCCCTAGAAAACTCAGATTTACCATTAGACCGCTAAAGTGGTCTCTAAAAGTTCTCAGCAGTCCCTTAGGTTCACTTAGCGGAACCACTAGACGCTAAAGTCCTAGAGGGACTACTTAAAAAATCGAAAAAAATAAACTTCTTCGCTGATTCTCGTCAGATCCCAGCCGCATAAGGTCATGAGGATGAATCTGAACAGTTTCATAAATCGCAATTTTTTTCTTTTTTTTAAAAATGATTTTTTCAAGAAAAATGGAATAGGAACTTGTAATTGAGTCTAGCTCCTTCATCGTAAATCTGGACGACGCCTTTATGATTCTTCATCTTTTTCATAACTTCACTCTCGATCTTGAGGCATTTGTCCGGTGACGCAACGTTTTCCATCTTCAATGGTTCATTTTTCTTCATAAGAAAAATAGTCGCTTCTAAGAGTTTTTAGTTTCTTTTTTCAAAAATATTCTGAGCTCTGGAGATTCTATAAGCTTCATTTGAAGTTTCTAAGTTTCAGAAGGCGAAAAAAGAGCAAATGTTCAAAACCGCAGGGCAACCGCGACGCCTCTCGACCCATTCCAAATGCGACCATTCCACAGGATGAACTCTACCTTGAGCGCCGCTTCACGGCCGTCCTTAATGTTGCACATATGATAAACTTTGCCGAAATTCCCGCGGCCGAGCAAACGAACTGTGGCCCAGACATCCTTGACCAGCTTGAAAAGCAACATTTTCAACTTTCTTCCAATTTATCCACCTCGTCAGGAGCCAGACAAACGTCTTCCAGAACGTTATCGACGCCGTCCGAGTCGTCGCCCATTGGCAGCGGTTGTAGAAGAAATATCAAGACTTGGATCTCATTCCACGCCATTTTTTATATTATTCTGAAGTTTATCAGGAATGTCTAATTTAAAAATTCTCATCGGAAAGGAAAATCACGCAGAGTTCCAGTAAAAGTCTTTAATTTGAACATTTTCTCCAATATTTGTGAGCAAATCTCCAAATTACTTCAAGGTGCTCTGATACTAACAAGGAGGTAATGTTACTTTGCGATTGGGAATTTCGTGAATAGGGTGAACCTATATATATGACGCGTACGGTACTCCTTTCCGTTGAAGTCATACTTTGAAACTTTGAAACTTTTTTGAAACTTTTATTCAGTCTTCAGAGTAGGTTCTCTGCTGAATCATGGAATAATTGAAGAGTTTTTTTGTCGGTTCGAGAAACTGTCGTTGATCAAGCGTAGAGCATCTCGCCTCTCTTGTGCTAGTAGTAGACGATTTTCGAACGTTTCCGACGATCACTGCTTATCCATGTAGGAACAGTACGGCGCCCAGCTTGTCCAGGGCTGACGGGCGTCGGATTGAATCTCGGACGAGAGCGGAAATAAAGACCGACCACTCGGGTGGTAGAAATGAAGGCATAGGGGAAGTAAAAAACGATGTTTCAGTTCAAATCAGCACTTTGTAGAGATTTTCATTGCGAATCGAACGGTGATCTTGGAAATGTACCAAATTTCCTAGTTTTGGAGAAAAAATAATTCAAAGTCGGAGAGAGGAAAGCTTGAGTTCCCGCCAAAAGGGCGCTTTGCAGTAAAGTTGCTCTATGGACAACAGGCTTCGCCATTTTCGGATTTTCGCTTTTTTCTTCTTTTTTTTTTAATTCTCAATCTTTTCTGTTGTCGCCAAAGCTCTTGAATGTTCTGTACGTTTAATGAGCAGACGAATTTGTGAAGTGTGGGTGCGTTTTGTGCAATTTCGCCAGCCTGAAACTCATTTGCGCCTCGATTCGGTTATTCAAATTTCGCGCGCCGTTCCCTTGTTATGTGAACTGGGTTCCGAACGAGGCTTGTTCGTTCATAAATTTATAGCCAGCAACAGATTTCTGTTTCACGAGGAAAGACGAAGTTTTTGGATGAGAATTTTTTATAGAGATATTTCCAAAAAAATGGGTTAGGATTAGAGCACTTTTCCAAAAGGCTAAAGTCTCTTTATTTGTAGCTCCTGTTGTTTTTATGTATCAGAGTGAAATAAATATTCAATATTCAAACTGATTTCTCAAAATATCCCCATAAAACCAAAATCTTGATGGTTTTAGTACTTTTACTCCCAGTTGACTTGAAACTTCAGGGCCGGAAAAACCCGACAAGTCAAAAAAGTGAAATTCGAACCCTGAGCTATTCTGGACCAAAGCCAATATGAAAAAAAAACGCGAAAGGTACGAAAAGTCCATTTTTGTTCATCTAGGGTTTTTCGATCGTTGATCCAAATTTAAATAAATATGATCTCCAAAACCAAACTTCCAAAATTTCAAAATATGATTGTTCGCTCAAATTCCAACAAATTTTCCTCCGATTTCATGCCGAATTTTCAGACAAGACCACAAATCAATCCATCTTCTCGACACCAGGAAAAGTTGCGTCACAATCACCAGAAAACTAGCTGGGCTGACAAATTAACGAAGGCAATGTGGGAGGCGGCTAATTAACGGAATGAGGATGAAAGCGCCGTCTGGATGGCCCCGCTAATGGCGCTCCTCTGATAACAAATCGCGAGGCCCGTCATTGTCAGGATTTATCTCCGGCTTTTTTTCGTTTTATCTATGACCGGAGGCGTTGTTAAGGACTTTGGTGCCTTCCACTTTAAAAGAAAAAAAATTTTTTTTGGGGGAGGGGGGCTGGTCGCAAGAGTTTCTAATTTATGTATCCCCTAACAGTATAAAAAAATTCTTCAAACTCCTCAAGTAGTCACTTAAAAATTTCCATCTAAATCAACCTTCTGAAGTGCGCACAAAACCATTGCGCGAAACTCCGCCTCTTTTCAAGCTAAGCTCCGCCTACCGCCGGTGGGGCCAAGCCGAGATTAGACGGCCTCGCGCGCTTCTTCTTACCGTCCTTGTTGCAAACAAAATATTACTATATAATTATATACTATCAACCTAATTAAATAATTAATTCATGCCGAGCTAACGGCTTAATGAATTCCTATCACTGTATTTTTTTCTGTATTTTTTTCATTACTGGTTAATTTTTGTTCATTATACAGGTGAGATTTTTCTTTATTTAATATGTTCTTTCTCTTCCTTGTTTTTCAATTTCAAATTTTTGTATGACCTCTTCGCGATTTAACGCGACATTTATTGAAATAAAAGGGAACAAATTTTTTTCAACAAAAAAATGCAGCTTTTTGGGGCATTTTGGGCAGAGATCTCTCTAGAGAATGAGTGGAAAAAAATTGATTGAAATTTTTTTGTTTAAAAAAAAGCTGTAAGTTGATTTCTTATCGTTTGTGATGTCTTATTCTTGTTAAAATCAAGGTGGAATACTTTCAGAAACCTAAAAAAGAAAAAAAAAACCAAAATTAGTAGACTCCTTGGGAACTTTTTGTACTAATTCAACTAGCCCAACTCAGTTTTGTTGATTAATTTTTTTGAACTTTGAATTCAACCTGCAAAAATAATTCGCCACAACTTTCTTTTCGTCTTATTATTAACGTATCAAAATCAGGTGAAAAAAACGGCTTCAAACTCTGAAAAAAAGACACGTTTTGGACACAAAATAGCTCTTTTTTTTGTCTATTTGTTTTTCAGTCTTATTTTCATGTCATTTTTTTTTGTTATCACCTTGCATTTAATTAAAAAAATTTCAGAATAGAAACCTTCTCAAAAAAATCTCATTCTCAAAATATAATTTAATTTTTGTAAATCACAAAATTTACAGCCTAAATGCTTAATTTTTCTCTCTCAAATAATCCCAAAACCACTTGACTTTAGTCCTCGTAATAAACGTCCGCAAAAGGGCTCTTTCACCATGAATGTAGTACAAGAAAACAATGGGTAAACATTCGGGTAAATAATGAAAAGAAAAAGACCTTGGACCATTTAAGGAGTACAAAATGTGGGACAAGTAACAACATTTGCATTTGCATTTGAAAAAAAGCCCGTTTGGCAACACGCTGGGTTTATTCTTTTTTTGTATTTAAATAAGAGAGAAAGTAGGTCGTCCCATCGAAGAAGGAAAAAAATTCTCACTAATAAATTTCAAGGAAAACAGACCTAATAAGTGAATATGAAAATTCTCAGCTTCCAACGTTCCAAGAATAGGTTTCTAGACATTTTCTCAAAGAATCTTGCGGAATTGTTTCCTAGGCAAAAAAAATCCAAATATGGAAAAAAAAGAATTATAGAGAAGATTCAATTATAGAAAGTAGCGAAATTTTGGAATGAAAGAAAAAAACCGAAAAATAAAAATGATTTTATTTCGTAATTTTTCAATTTTGGACCCTCTAGGGTTTTCAAAAAGCTTCATTGGCGCGCGGATGATTGAAAAATTCGGAGATTAGAAAAAATTAATTTTCTAATTATTTTCCCCTTTTTCAATTTTTTTTATTCTATATTGTAGTTTATGATTATATTTAAACATTTGTAAAAGTTTGAAAATTCTAGAGGCAAACATGTGCTGTAGAATTTCAGTTGTTATCGATAGTTTTTCTTTTATTTCTTTTCACGATTTAGAAGTTCAATTTTTTTTTTTAAGTATTTGTGCTATTTGCTGCTTTACAGGCCATTGATAGCGTAGATTGTAGACTTGTAATGATGTAAGATTATTGTGAAAATTCATTTGACTTGTTAAAAAAAGTTTTCTCACAATTTTGTTCAATTTCTTTTTTAGAAGCGGGTGGTTTATTAGTGGAGCCATCATTTTTATTGGTAACCGAAGATTGGAGTCTTGACGAACCGTTGCCAATCACAATATGTCCGGCCAATGTCAAGGTGCCCAGCAAAAAAGGAAAGGTTAAAATAATTGTATTTCAGATAATCTCCGGAGATTCTGGCGGTTATTTTTCCGTTGTCAAACTCAACGAAACGTGCTCCACACTTCAGTTGAAGCAGAATCTCGACGCTGACGTCAGTTTATCGTTTTTTGAAATGAAAAGGGAAATGAGTTGAAATAATACAGTAGCCGGAACGGAAAAGCCGCGGCGCACGACCAAAATTGCGCGCGGCTTTTCTTGTCACGAGAAGCTTACGGCTTTTCTTCACCGTGTGGGGGAGAACGGGAACGCGCGAATTGTTTCTCAACAATTCCTGAGGGTGGTCACTGTGTTTTGAGAAAGGTTGAAGGTTGTAGGGACAGGGAAAACTTGAGTTTCGAAGAGAAAATGGCTTTTTTTTTCCTAGCTTCATGAAGTTTTAAGTGAGATTGGTTAGGTTTTCACTTATTGAAAAGTGTTTGATAGTTTTTTTGAATATTTAAAGGCTTTAGAGATTTCGTTCAAGGGTGGTTTTAAAGACTGAGATTTGGAAAAAGCGTGCATTTTTTGTATTTTTCATAGATTTATGATTTTTTTTTAGTTTGGAAACTGTTTTTCCCCTTCCTGAAGTTCAGAAATTTTGGGAGACCTATTATCTGAAGTAGAAGGCAAAATTTAACCTTGTAAATGTATTTTTAGGTTACAACCTTTGAAAGACTCGGCTTTGAAAAGGAACTTTGTAGCGTTATTGATCCATTTTTTTTTCTGCGGAATATTTTATCTTTTCCTTGCTGATGAAAAGCTTAAAACTGTACAGGAAAATTAAGATTTAAAAAAATTCAAAAAGAGTTTTTTTAATTTGACTTTTTCGAACTATATTTTGGGCTTTCAAATTTAATTTCTACTCACTTTTTCTGCATTCTGAGTCCAATAAGACACTCCTAATTGCTCGAAACTTCTTTTTGTGCCGAAAATACGGCGGACACGCTGGCGCGAGTTTGTTGGTGTGGCAATGGTGCGCGAAATCCGCCTCTGACCCATCGCTTCTCCTTCTTCTTTTAGCCAAATTGTCAACAAATCCAAAAACTTAGTTGCTTCTGGCAGATTTTTGATGGTTTGAGTAGAAGTCATGGAACATTTAAGGCAGGGTAAAAATCACAGGTTAAAAAAACTGGAAATCTAAAAAGTTTTTGTGAAAGGAATCTTCATTTTTTTGTAAATTTTTTTCACAAAGTTTCTTCATTTTTTTAAGGTTTCTTTTTTGAATTTTTTTAAAGTTTTATCTAAAATTGGACTTGATTCTGACCCATTTCTTCTCCTTATTATTTTTTTAAAATTGTGAAAACCAAAGATTTATCTACTTTTTGGAGATATTTATCATCTGAGCAGAAGTAATGAAGTAAAATTCTTCAATTTTTTTCTTATATATAAGAATCTTTTTGAGTTACCCTGAGGCTTAAAAATGAAATCATAATTCGAACAATTTGAGCTAAACTTGAAGGAAAGGCCCTTCTCTATACAGAATTTATTATATTGTTTATTTCTTCATTTTCAGAATTTTTTTCCATTGAAAAGTCAAGAGTTTTTTTCCAGCCCAAACTGAAAAAAAGGCTTGATTTACTGTGTAGTGAGTATCAGTGAATTATTAAATAAAAAAAGTGAATAGTTTAATTTTTCGACTAATAGTTATAGAGCACATGTCCATGTCGCAATTGTATACACTTGGAGAAAATTGAGAGATGATCTCATTATAAATAAACCAAGAAACGTGGGGTCTGGCCAGGGGAAATGATATTCTTAAGAGAAAATGGAGCTTTAAAAAGTTGGAATTTTTTCAAAAGTAAGATAAGGAGGGAAATTATTTCTTTTAAGGAACCTATTTGATTGATTTTTTTGGACTAAATTCGCCAAATTGACATTTTAATGGCTATGATAGTTTGGTAGTTACAGGAACTCCAATGAGACCCTAGAAATCCCAAAACTTAATGATTCATTCAAATATATAGAGTAAGTCAATTAATATAGGATTTTTGTCAGTTTTCAAGGCCTTTTCAGTAGATTTTTATCACTTCTGAATGAAAATGAATCTACTAAAGTAGTAACTAGAACCCCTTAATACTTTTCCTAGCGAGTTTCTCGAAGTAAGCATGAAAATACACGCGTTTCGGCTATATTTATTCTCTATGACCGTCCGAATGTTGTCTGCAAGGCTAGAAAACGGCCGAGAGAGCGTGCTGAATTGAGAGACGCAGAGTGTTGACCTCCGGAATTAGAAGGTGTGCTCCGACGCTGACCGTCGGCTCGCACAAACGCTGGCTTCAACTCTTTCGTAACTTTTTTTTTGTCGTTTTTCGGAGTTTTCGGGGTTTGGAGAAGATAGTTTTCATTGATGAATTAAATTTAGAGTATTTGGAAAGGTCATTTTGGGTAGATTGTACTACTGATAAGAGCTGAAAGAGTAAAAAAATTGGAAACTGGAAACTGGATTGATGACCGCATTTAGAATGGCTAATGCGTTTCGGAATCAGAACTTTGATCTTTTCATGTCTCCAAAAACTCAAAATGAAAAAAAAATCATCTCATTTTTAAGAGTAGAGTTTTGAACGTCGTGGTCGCATTTGGAATGGTTTACTGCCCTCAAAAGCTGTTTTTTTTTTGCTTCAGAAGTCCCTTCCAAGCCCCTCGAAAGCTACTTCTCAACGCTTCTCCCACATCTTTTTTTTTGCCATTCCGAAACCGTTACAAAATTATCCAACACTTGGCTGATCAATATGCTTGCGCGAAATGGCTGTTACGATGGAAACGGGAAGGCAAGGAAGGAATCGTTGATGAGAAAAGGGACACTTTAACGGTGACAGAATACAAATTGGGCAACCAGCCGGAAGATCTCGGTATAACGCTTTTGGGTGACAGAGAGGGGTACTTATGCCCCGCGGCCTCCTTTTGCATACGAGATTATCGCGAGGTTCATTACCCTCCCACTTGGATAATTTACTCTGAACTGAGAGCTTGGGTAATTTGACCTGTCATGTTGCATACTCGAGGCTTTAGATCGAACTTCTCAAGAGGCTTTCAGTGGGATTCTGGTTTGGACTAGGACCTCTGGATGCCCTTTTTCAGCTTGATCTGGATCTGAGCTCAATAAGTTCGGAAAGTTAAATAATTAAGAGTTTGGAGAGTGATTGCGGCTGTTCGGTATAGCTTTTAAAGTCCTTGTTCATCGCCTAGTCGATTATATCTGACTAAAAGAACAAAATAAATAATCCGATTGATTTGATTGATGATTTGATTATCTACTTTGTGAGAAAGATTGAAGAAACGTAGAAAAATATTTCTCAAAACATTTCAAGTCTACTCTCAAGTATCACTCATTTTTTCATGATCCAAAAAATTTCTGAAACAGTTTTTTTCCAAACTTTTTCTTCAAAAAAGAGTTTCAAATGGCCGTGACCGCACTTGAAATGGATCTATGCGTCGCGGTTGCGCTGCGCCGTGATTTTTTAAAATTCAACTATGATTTTTCGTTTTGAAAAAGGATTATTCGAACTTTTTATCACATCTGGGATCGCTAAATTCCTAGATTTGGATCCGGAAGCCAGGGAGACAAAAAAAGGTCGTTAAGCCATTCTAGGTCCAATTATCTCCTCGATCCCTTTTCATTTGAAAATTTTACTGAAAGCTTGATTTTAAATAATTTTTCTCAATATTAGGAGTAGAATCTAGATTTATAGTTTTTTTTCCATCAAAAAAAAGTTTCGTGTTCAAAAACTCGAGGCACAGCTAACGAGATAATCAGCCGTGGTCCGACCAAGGACACGCCCACTTTTTTCGGCTGCACCCCATATAATTCCGCCTGTCAATTGCGCGCCTGTAAGCGTTTTCTCAAGGTTGGAACGCTGGACAAGGAAGAAAAGAAGGGAGAAGAGAGGACAAAAAAAAACAACGGACAGAAGGGGTTTCAATGGTGTTTCCGATGGCTTTTGGTCAATTGAAGTGGTTGGAACAGTGGAAAAAAATGGCTTGGTGTTTTGTAGTTTCAATGGAGAGATGGTTTTTAAAAGGATAAGGGGTTTGATTTTTTTTAAATAGGAAACTTTGAGCAAGCATTTTTTTTTGAGATTGAGTTCATTGAAAAGGACTAATAGCACAGCTTCTTGAAAAGGCATAGTTGTATATTTCGCGCCAGGACCATTTTTAGGTTTCTCAATGCATCTTTCAACGCCTCAGTGGTCTGTAGTTGTTAAGATAGTCAGATACACAATTGCTCCTACTTGGAATTGAAGCTTGGAATCTCTAAATTGACCCGCGACGCGACCGCAACGCTTTGAGCCTTTCTACAAGAGACCAAAAGATTTTTTCAACTGCACAGAGTATAGCTTTTGCCATTTTCCTTCAAGAAAACTTTCCAAACTTCAGAAAAAATGAATATTAACGATAATTGAGAACGGAAGGACATCTGTTGGCCCCATAATTGACCATGATTTCGTGCGATCCGTCAAACGTACCCCCCATCTCATCTCATTTGAATTTCCGAGAGGCCTTCTCCTCTGCCACTCGAAACTCGTTCGAAGCTTCTTGTCGTTCGGCTTTTTCCAGCCTTCCTTTTGGGAATCTACAAGTTTTTTCGAATGTTTTAACAGCTGGAGGATGGGGTTCGTAATTGAGTTATCATTACACTTTTCGGTGGGAATCGGGAGGAGATTGGAGGGTTGGAGTTCGGGAAAAACGTTTCTTCCTTCGTTTCTCCAGAGGTCCTGACTTTTGTTTTAGAAGAAAAATAAGGGAATATTGGTATTTTAAAAAACGGTGAATCGACATTAGAGTGCTTAAAAAGTGAAACTTTGAGCTTTCTCGGGAAAAATAAGTTTTTGGAAAAATTCTCAAATTTTTCAGTCGGGAAGCTGTCACTAAAAAGTTATTTTGAAAATTGAAGTATTCTAAAGTTTCCATTATTTTTTTATTGACTCGATTTTAAAATAAGTTTAAAAAAATGAAAATTTAAGTATAAAATCAGTTCTTGGTTTTTCCTCAAAGTAAAAAAATAAGAAAAAAATGTCTTCATTACCTTTTTATAGGGCCTGAAATATTGGGATTGAGATAGAAAAAAATATTGAAAAAGGGAAATTTAATACGAATTATTGAGAAAAAAATCTCTTGAAGACTCTCTATCAGTTCTTTTATCACCATTCAGTTATAAAAAAGGGACAATTTTCCATTCCAGAAAGAAAGCAGCGATGGCCCACGTGGACAGTCCTTCTCGTTGGTTTTGGCTGGACCCAGGAAGTCCAGAGCCGCTTTGGAGATTCAGGTGGAAAATCATGAAAATTTTGTTGAGCTTTAGGACCAGGATAAGGATGTTATTCATGAATCTATTGGTATAAGGAACAGAGAAAATCAGAAATAAAAATGAAATTAATCAGAAAACTGAGGAATTTTTTCTTCCGACTTTCTCATAAAACCTTGCAATTGAAATTCTTATTTTTCAAACATCTCGAATGAAAATCTGGAAAAAGTGCTATTCGATTTCAAAAAAATCTTGGATAATAATGCTAATTTATTTATTGGTATCAGATACATGGTATGTTTGAGAATAACAGAAAATTCAGGGAATTAAAAATTTTTTTCATTAAATCGTTTGATTCCAAGTGTTCATCAAAAATCTGAAAAAATAGACGAAATTTCATTCAAACTCGAAAAACTGGAACTTTTCCATGTGCAGGTGGTCGACGTCAACGACAACCCGCCGCAATTTTTCAACACGCCATCGACGGCAACACTTTCTGAGGTCTTGAAATGATCATTTCGAAATGAAATGCGGATAATTTAGAACTCTGAAATTGGAAAAGAAGTGCAGAAAATTCGAACCCGCGACCCGGACACCGGCATTTCTGGCGTTGCTCGTTTTTCTGTTGATGTTGGTCATTGAATATCCTTTTTTGTTGGATGGCCGCATTTGGAATGGCTCAAGGCGTTGCGGTCGCTGAGTCATTCTCTGTGTCTCAAATAGAGTTGCCTTGACTATTTTTGGAAGTTTTGCTATTTTTAAGAGAAAAGGAAGGTTTTGAAATTTGATAAATAGCTGGGTGAATTTCAAGAAAAAAATACCAGTTTTGGCTAAAAGTCTACATGTCTGAACGGTGCTACGACAAGGGCGAGTTTTCCATTTGCGAGGAGTACTGTATCCGGCAAAGCGCATTGCGTGCATGCACTCTGCGTGTTTACACTTTTTGTGGCGTGACGTCATCGCGCCGTACATCTGCGGGTTTTTTTGCTTGCGGGTTTTTCGATTTTTTTCCGGATTTTTATTCTTCGAATTTTTTTTTCCGGTTTGATTTTTGATTGTGCGAACATTTTCGAAATAAAAAGAAAACTTGTTTTTATTGATGAAAAGTCTGTTTGTCAAGGGGGCAACTTAGGAAAATTTTGCTTTATAGATGGTTTTTTGTACAATGCCGGTGTTAAGGGTGGAGGAGCAGGGACACCTTTTTCCGCAAAAACTTCCAATTTTCGTAAAATTTCTGACAAGTCCCTTCAAATCTCTCAATGTACATTTAAAAACTCTTGCAGATTTTGTGGGAAAATGACTTTTGTTTGATATGATGTTTCTGTAAAAATTGTTATTTTCTTATTTTCTTATTTTTTGATATAACTTAACTTTGAATTTTTTGATTTGAATTTGAATTATTTCAATTACTGGTATTTGTTATGATGCAATTGTTTGATATCTTCCTCTTTGAAATATCAATATTAGCTTACTTCTTTTTTTTTCTATATTTGTTAAGTTGACCTATCTATAAAGCAAAATTTTCCTAAGCTGCCCCCTTGACAAACAGACTTTTCATCAATAAAAACAAGTTTTCTTTTTATTTCGAAAATGTTCGCACAATCAAAATCAAACCGGAAAAAAAAATTCGAAGAATAAAATCCGGAAAAAAAATCGAAGAAAAAAACCCGCAAGCAAAAAACCCGCAGATGTACGGCGCGATGACGTCACGCCACAAAAGTGTAAACACGCAGAGTGCATGCACGCAATGCGCTTTGCCGGATACAGTACTCCTCGCAAATGGAAAACTCGCTCTTGTCGTAGCACCGTCTGAACCTCTAATTATTGCACACTATTTTGCTCAAGCTAGTTTAGAATGAACTAACCTGGTAAGAAAAATTTCGAAGGGATTCAAGATGAACCTTGAAAGTCTTGTAATATGAAATTTTTTTTTTCTTTTTTTAGAACGACAACTTTTCTTTGGACAAGCGAAAATGCGGCAACGGCGTCTGCTCAACGACCCTGAGACTGGCTAAAAAGCTGGATTTTGAAAAGTAAGACAATTTTGACCAAGGAAGTTTCAAATCATTTATTTTGTTGTTTTAGTCTGATGTAATCGACTAGGCGGTGATCAAGAACTTTTTGAGCTATAACGAACAACCGCCTTTGGCGAGCTAGAAGTCCAAAAGTGTAGTCGAAAGAGTTGAAAGCATGGTCTTACGGTCCTTCGCCTCGTCCTTCTGCGCGTAGTCCATCCAGTTGCGCCTTGACGAGCTCAGAATGTAGCGGATGTTGTGCTGGAGCCCGGAGACCGTGCTCTAGGTGGAAGCCTCAGAATGAGAGCGACCACTTCGAGTGAACATTTTACACGGAATTTCAGTTCAAGTTCAGAAAATAGTGTTTTTATTGGCTATTATTTTCACTTTGTTTCGGCACCGGCTTTTTTTTCAAAAGCCGAGCTCTGTAATTTCCTAAAATTCGAAAATTATCCAGGTTTTTAGGCCCTCTCATTAAGCCAGTTCTGTTAATTCTGATTGAAGGGAGGCTCTCATCCATTGATACATTTTTGACCAAAAAACTAATTCTTGTTTCAAGCCTTTCATAATTTTTTTTCCTTGTTTAAGATCAACCCTTAGGGCTACTGAAAGACTTTCATTCCTGTAGGATCAATTTTCTAGCCATATATATCTTTTTTGTGAGAAAGATTTTTCACAGACAAAAGACGGAGCAAGTGGTGATAACGGCGAAAGACGGCGACCCTCATTCCAACAGAACCAACGAAGTTTCTCACACCGTCGTCATTCACGTCACCGATGAGCCTGAGTTCGTGGATTTATTTCTGGAAAAGACGGACAGTTTTAAAGCTTTGATATTTTCTAGAACCTTTTTGGTTCTCTCAAAAAAAAAAGAGAGTAGACTTACGGCTTTTCTAAGAGACCTTCCAGCTTCAATTTCTGGCTTTTTCAGTATTTTCGGGTCGAAAAACGCTCCATTTATGGCGTTAAATCATTAAAAAAATACCACAAATATCCAAAAAAAGTTTTTTTGGCTTCTACTGACAGATTATTTTTTTCTTACTATTGGAATTTAACTTCTTTTTTTGATCAATTTCGAGAAGCCGTAAATTTTTTTGAAGCTTTTTAAGAATATTTTCTGTAAGTTCAAAGCTGGAAGGAGCATCGGAAATCTGTCATAATAATCCTACTTTTCGTTTTCTGAAACTGTTTGAAAAGGCCGATTCATCAGTTTTTAGTGAATCTCTAGTTTTCAAAACGAATTTTTGAACTTTCTAAACACTTTCTGGTCCAAAATCTCTTATTTGGGGCTCGAAACAACGAATAAAAGAAAAATGTCGGACTGGAAAAGGTGGTATTTAAGTGACTGACTACTTCAAACAGGCTACAAACTGAATTTATTTTTTTCTTTTCAGAAACTTTGATTCGCTTTAATTTTTTTCAAATAAGTTTCAGCGAGTTTTTTAGTATATAAATGAAATTAGAGCGACAATCTGCTTCTAATGATTTTTAAACTCATATTTCTAAACTGTTATGAAAAGCCATTTCATTGATTTTCAGTGAACCTCCAGTCTTCAAGACGGATTTTTCAACTCCTGTTCTAATCGATGCTGAAAAAAAGCCCGGCGACGTTTTGATGAGTGTTCTGGCGGTGGATGGAGACGAATCTAAGAAAAATGAGATCAAGTTTGTCTTGAATCAAGAAAAATGCGATTGAAGAGTCGGTTCAAGGTATTCTATCGATAAGAACGACTACGTGGACATCAACGCCAATAATGGAAATATTTTTCTGAAAAAATCGCCTCCAACTGGAGAACAGTTCACCGCCACTGTCACTGTGAGTATTGATTTTTTTCTTGGGATCAGGGTTTTTTTCGAAAAAAATTGGAGTAATAATTTTTCACCATTTTTTTGGAGCATTTTAGTCTTCTGATTTTTACATATTCATTAATTTTTATTTCGAATAAGTTAAAATTATGAAAATGATAGAAAAAAATAAAGATCATCATCGAGGCTTACCAGTAAGATTTTTGCATGGGAAAAAAAGTCTGGATCTCGAAAAATATTAAAAAAATCGTACCATTGTGTTATTCATACGTTTCGAACTTGGAAAATTCGAAGTTTTTAATAATTCTTTCTCTTTTTTTTTCTTTTTCAAGTCGGTTTTGAGGCCACCGAGGTCGATTCCGTTGGAATGAGCTCATCGGCAGTCATCCAATTTAAATCTTCCACAGTGAAAGAAGCCGAAAAACAGGTTTTTTTTTAAAATCTCCACCGATTTTTCATTTTTCTTTTTTTGAAGGTTCAAAAAGATCTTTGCGAGTTTCCGATCTACGAAGCGAGGCTGATCAAAGGAAGTGGAAAATTGGAAAAGGACGTTTTTATTCGACTTGTAGATGGAATGGTGGGTTCAAGGGAAGAAGGAAAATTTAGAAAGGCAATTTATCAGAAAAGTAGAGAAGAATTAAAAATTTCAAATCAGGAATCGTGAAATTTATATGCGAAAAAAAGGAAATCATCTACCTGCCAATTTCAAAAAATTCTGTAAAAATGAGAAAATTTCAAGAAAAATTGTATAAAGCCTGACTGGATACTATTAAAAAGTGAGAAAACATAATGAGAAACAAGAAAAATTTTACTGAAGTCCAAGAATATATAAACTCCTTCTCGAATTATTATCATTATTATGAGTTTTTAAAATTTGTACTTTATATTTTCTGTTGAGGTAAGTGGGATGAGCCATGACTGCCAATCCCCCCATGCTAAGAAAAATTTGAAAAAGTTGAACTTTCAAAATGAATATTTCTTTTTTTCATACATGAATTTTTTTCATAAATTCGGACTAGCGCTGTCCAGCGCGCACCTTGAAAACTTTTTTACGGTTTTTTTTTTCGATATTATCCCATGTAAGCTGTCAAATATAATAATTTTTTTGATTAAGGCTATTTGAACAACGATTTTTTTTCCGTTTATCAGAAAATAATTCGGTCCTGAGACTCATTTTTCCTTAGAACTTTTTTGAATAAATTGATTTTTAAGGATAAGTCGGAACTTTTTTTTTCCGAATGCTGGAAAAGTAGTAAATAATGAGTCAAATAGGCGTTTTGGCTACGAAATCCTTTATTTCCAAAAGTTTAGACCCAGCCAGAAGACGTGAAACTCATCGGAGGCCTCGAGTCGTTCCAACTATTGCCCAAGTCTGAAAATCTCTTAGAAGTCGTCATTTCGGATCCGGAACGGGTCGCGACTCAGGATTTCGACAATGTTCAGCTTCTGGTCCGTTAGAACACCAATATTCAGTCCTATTTGGGAAAATATTCAGGTAAAATCGTCCAAGAAAGGACAATGTCGAGTTCTGCTGAAAACCATCGAAGCTCCGTTGGAATCTTCGAAACCGAAATTCGAAAGCGACTCTTTTCTGTTCTACGTCACCGAGAATCATCGGCCGACCGTTTTGGGCAATATTAATGTTCGCATTTTACAGATTCTGTTGCCTATTTTGAGTCATTTCAGATCATTGGGGATGAAAATGTTACCTACAGCATCCTGGGCATTGGAGCAGAGAAGTTTGAAGTTTCGGAGACTGGAGAATTCCGATCTTTGGTCCCCATCGATCGCGAGAAGTTCGACAAGTTCGAGCTCACTATACGAGCTGTTTCGGATAATGGTGATTGTTGAAGTTTACCTATTTGGATTCAAGAAAAATATTAGGATAAAAAGTTCTAAGCAATCATAAATTTAAGGGGAAAGAAGAAAAAAAAACTTTCAAAAAAGTTTTAGTTCTTGGAAGAGTGATTTCTCTGTCTTTTGGAGTTAACAGTATTGTTCAGGCGAGACAACAGACGCCCCATGTACGATTGTTGTCCGAGACATCAACGATAATTCCCCAACTTTTGAAAAAGAAATCTATGTGGTGACGGTGGATGAGGGCAAAAGCGTCAAGCAGAAAATTACGGTAGGGAAAATAAGAGCTTCAAAAGTTGTGCAAGTGCGCCCTAGCGAACTGGGAGAATAATGTCTTTTTGGTTTTGGCGCTAAATCCCCCTCGAAAAATTCAGGTTTTGGCAAAACTTATGCTGTTTTGAGGTTGGCTCAATGCTTTTTCACAACTTTGAAAGTTCACTTTTTAAAGATGATTACTTGAAATGCTCAGGAACGTCCGGGCTCGTCCGGTTTGCGTTACAGAGATCTGACCAATCCTAACCATAGTTAGTTCGCTGGAGCGTACTTGTATTGTCGTTAGATTTTTCAATGAACTATTTTAAACTTGGGATATTTAGGCAACTGACCCCGACCTTGGACCAAACGGAGAAATCGAATATTCTATCGATGAGCCTCTCGATTCCCTTCCTGTTGATGTTACTAATGGAATCGTTTTTATCGGAGCTTTGGATAGGGTTTTGAAATTCAAACACTTCAACAAGTCTCTCTGATTCTTTCAGGACACTATGGAAAAAGGAGAAGTCAACCTGACCCTCCGGGCGACTGATAAGGGCGATCCGCCGAGAAGTTCCACCACGAAACTCATCGTCAAAGTCAAAGATGTCAATGATAACTGGCCCGTCTTCTCAAATTCGCGTTATTCCCTCGTCCTCGATGCAAATATCAGCCCTGGCGGGGTTGGTTTCGAGAATCAAAACTTAAAAAAACCACTTTGAAAGCACTAGAATGAGTGATAGGGTTTGAAAATGAGAGAGCGTAGGAAAAGAAGAGAAGCTAGAGATCGAAAGGCGTGCGTCTCTTCAGCTTTTTATGATATCTTATTCTGAAGATGTAACAAAGAAAGCACTGAAATGAGTGGTACCCTTTGAGAAAAGAGAGAGTGTGGGAACTGAAGAGACTCCAGAGATCGAAAGACCTGCTTCTCTTTAGCTTTTTATTCTATCTAAAAGAAAGCATTAGAATGAGTTTTATGCTTTGAAAAGTGCAAAATCTAAGAGACACTTAGAAGAGCGTTTATGTTATCTTCATCTGAAACTTTTTTGGAGTAAGTGCTGGAATGAAAATGAGAGAGAATATGAACGGGAGAGACGACAGCGTTCAAAAGACCTGGGTCTCTTTAGCTACTTCTATCTGAATGTTATTCAAAAAAAAGCACTGGAAAGATTTGTAGGATCTGAAAAGCAAAAGAGTGTTGTAATCTAAGAGACGGCATAGATCGAGAGGTCTGCGTCTCAGCAACTCTCCATACTGTCTCGCTTTTCGTTTTTCTCAAGAAGAAGTCTGAAAAAAGTGGAGGTGCAAGCTTCCAGTGAATGAGCTGTAGTTTTCCAAACTGAGATAGTGTAGGATCTGAAGAGCTTTGAGAAACCTGGATTTGTGCGTGTCTTTAACCTTTTTTTTAATGATCAGGAGAGGTTTGTTATTAACTTGATGCTACCAAATAGCCTAGAATATTTTCTCACTGCAAGTTAAGTGCGCTCTATTGAGAAAGAATTGAATTTTTCCAGGTGGTTGGTTCAGTCCATGCCGAAGACGCCGACGCCACCTCTCCAAACAATTATATTCACTATATTTCCCAAGATCCGAAATTCAAGATCACCGACAATGGCGAATTGATTTTCACGGGGCCTGGAGTACTCAGCAAAGTAATCAACCGCAAAAATTTACCTGAACTAGAAGTGTTCCCAGGACTCTTTTGTCGAATTCACCGTGACAGCCACGGATGGAGGCGTTCCTCCTCATAACAGTACGGCCGTTGTGGCGATTAACGAGCACAAATCTTCGCTCCAGAGCGAACTTACCACACAGGTCAACAGCAATGATACGGAGAAGAGGTGATTTTGAGAGAATTGTGTGGGAAAAATGAACAAATCGTGTATGATTTTAATGGAAAGGAGTACAATGCGCGTCATAATTATGGACTCATTGCAATTTTTTTCATTAAATAGGTAAATTTTTTTAAAATTGTTCTCGTGAAAAAAACTCCATATAGAGAAAATTGGAGAAATTTACAAGAGAAGCTTCACTGGAAGGTTTTTCGAAAGGAAAAACTGAAAATCTGGTTTTTTACAACGTTAAATCTATGGTTGTTTTTTTTGGCTGATTATTCTATATTCTGCTACTTTTCGTTTTTCGAAATTTCCATGGATCTTTATAGTACTTGATACTTGATGTGAACCGAAATTTTAAAATTTTGAGCCCAACAAGTCTGAAATTTCATCAACTTTTGGCAAAAAAAGCTCCCGGTTCATTTTATCCTTCGTGAATTATTTAGCCTTGAAATCTTCGAAAATTCAGATTTATTCATAAATTCTTAGAACCGAAATCAAGTGGGACAACGCTGGAATGGCCGGCTACAAGTATGAGATCTTAAGAGCTACCGCCCCTGGTTTTCCGGTAAAATAAAACAAAATACCTTTTTTTGAAATGCAGTTTCTCTTAGGACTCTGAGGTCAGAAAATGGATCAGCTTGGACGAGAACACGGGCCGAATCGAATGCATCAGTCGACTGGATCCGGATGCCGTCAAACAGATCCGACTTCATATAAGCATGACCAAGGGCAAAAGGGAGATTCCAGGTGATCTTGGCTTCTACAGATTCAATCAATAAATCGATATTCACTCTGTGTTCTCTGTCATGAAAACGTGAACAAAACTTTCAAATTTATGAAGTAGCTCTTTTGATGCTTCAGAGAGCATCTAGAGCTTTTTCCAGCTTTTAGATTGTTTTAAATATTCTCAATTATTCAGTGGAGCTGATAATCAACGTCGTCGACACAGACGACGTCACTCCCGTCTTCACAGAAACCACCTTCACGACGACGACTTCTGAAGCGACAACCGTCGGGACGACGATCACGACGATCACCGCCGCCGGAGTCACACCAGAGGATGGAGTCAAGTGAGTACAAAACTTCCCAGGGATGTCACTTTAGGGAATTTTTCTGTGAATTTTCTTGAAACCTCATTTAGATTAGGCTCCCTCAAAGTCTTTTGATGCGCAAACTTTTTTTTTTGAGGCGTGGACTTTAGTATTGACAAAAATAAAAATAAGTCTTCAGATCAGGAGGTAGAACTGACTTCAGCTCTTGAGAACTTGGGAGGAGGGGTCGGCGGCCCCTTGAAAAATGGTCATTTCTTGTATGAGCATAAGTGAAAAAGTTAGATCTGATTAAGCCTGGGAGAAGAGATTTACTTACCAAAATTCCGAGAAGTAAGGGATAAGGTGAAATTCCAACCCAGATAGTGTTGACGAATGGAACTTGGATTTTAACCTTAGGAGATAGTTCTGAGCTCAATTGGGAAGATTTGGGGGTGGTGATAACCTTTTTTCATAACTATAGATTTTATATTTTCAAAATGAATTTTTGCGCTGACTCTGCGGAATCCTAATCAAGACCTTCAGATAATGGCTGAGAAAATTTCAGACTTTACCCTTAAATGACCTCTTTTTCAACTAATCTACACCGACTCTGCCTGCACCCTACTAATCCACAGATACGCGATAAATGTCACCAACGGACCGAAAGACAAGCTGAAAGTCGTAGAAAATGGCCGAATCGTACTGCTGAAGGCGTTGGACTTTGAGAAGGACCGCAGAATCGACGGGAAGATTTTCGCGACGGTCGACGGGAAATCAGCCGAAGCACGCTTTTCAGTTATCATCACCGATGAGAATGATAACAGGTCACTAACATTACTAACTGATTTTGGATCGAAATTGAGAAAATTGGCTTAAATCCAGGCCAACGTAAGGCTCTTTAGTTTTTTGAAATTGGAAAATTTAAGAACATCCCTCTATGCTTAAAATTTCGTGTTTTTGCAGTTTTTCTGGTTTTTCCTTAAAAATTTTGCTGGAAAAAAGCTTACTTCCACTTATGAACTTTATTTTAACAAGCTAACATTGATAGGAGAGCTCGTTTTTTTGAACACCATGGTTGCATTTGGAATGGATGGTTAGGTAAAGCTCATGACTCCAAAAAAATTATCCAATCCGCAACGCGACCGCGGCGCTTCTAGCCATTCCATGTCCGACCAAAAATCTTTAAGCCAGAGCTAATGAAAAATATGATTTTTTTTTTTCTGACGGTTTTTGTCACATTTTTTGTAATGCTTCCAATAATCCGCAAAGCGACCGCAACGCTTCTAGCCATTCCAAGTGCGACCAATGATTTGCGAGCCAGAGCTGATGAAGCGTTTTCTGATTGATTTTATCAGATTTTGCTGGAAAATCTTCAACAGTTGGTTTTCTTTCAACAAACTAAAATTGTTGCGAGTATCTTCCTCGATTCAAAGAACACGGTCGCATTTGGAATGGCTGCAGGAGCAACCGACCTAAAACAGATTGCGCAAGGAGTTATAACAGTAGAGCAAGTTGACTGTTTATGGATTCTAAACGCAACGTGACCGCGACGCTTTCATTCATTCCAAATGCAACCGAGCCTCTTGAAGCCTGAGCAAAAAATTTTTATGACTACTTTTTTCCAGACCGATCTTCAAGAACAACTCGGCGTTCTCGACCAACATTGAAGAGTCCTCAGTACTGGGTACCGTACTAGACCTACCGTATCCCCTGGCGACCGATGCGGACACTGGAAAATACGCCCAGTTGAAATATTTCATGACCGGCGATGAAGGATTCTTCAAGATTGATCCAGCGTAAATGATACTCTCTGGAAAGAAGAAAGGAAGAAAAGATTTAGAAATTCAACGATCCGACTTGTGACGAAACTCGATTTCGAAACTCAGAGGACTCATTCTTTGACCATTCGCTGCGTTGATAATGACGGCAGGAAGCCGCATCATGAAGTTTTTTCGACGGTGAGAAATTGAAGAAACAGCCTTGAACAAAAATTGAATGTGTGATCTATTGAGAAAAACGTCAATTTTTGGACTTCGTGTGACTTTTTCATTTTTCTATTGGAAAATGGCTTATAGTTCATTTATGACAGCTTTTTGGGATGGTTTGTTGTCATTGACTGAGTATTCAACTTTGTGTTCTTTTTTCATAATTTTCTGCGTTTTTTTTGTCGGAGACCTGTCTAGCTTCATCCTTGGTTCCTCCAAGAAATTAACATCTTTCACGCTCTTTTCAAGTGATCATCACAATTTGTTCAAATTCCCAAGTTCGATTCTTGGAATCCTTCTAGAAACTCGCACCTTTCAGGTGACGGTCCACGTCATCGACGTCAATGACAACGACCCGGTCATCCACAACGGCGACTTGACGCATCTGAGTGTCGGAGAAGACGCGCCGGTCGGAAGTGTCGTCACTTCCTTGACCGTCACCGACGCCGACGAGACCAACAAGCAAAACGTCGAAATCGACGGCAATCACACTTTGTTCCGTGTGGACGACGAGAAGAAGCTCGTCGTGGCGGAGAAACTTCATGGATACGCCGGCCAGAGGGTCATTCTTTTGATAACTTGCTTGGAAAAAAAACGTTCCCGAAGGGAGAGTGTTTAGATAAAGTTTTTCGTGCCTAGACTCTAGAAGGAATTTCGAAATTTGTCAAAATTCAGTGCTTTTGAATTAAGAACATTTGTCTTAATGGAATGAGCTGTTTTTAGCAGTTTCGATTTTTAGTGTTTTAAGACATTTTCGCTCATTTGAAGATTGGAAGCCTCCATTGTATTAAATACACTTTTGATTTGACGTTGAAGAACTTTAGAAAAAAACTATGGGATTCGAAGAAGTGGTCCCTTGAGGGAACTTAAAAAAAAAACAAAGCACGCTAAAGTTTCAATCATTGCTCCTAACTTGACGAGAATAAATACCAACGAAAATTCCTCAAAAAATCTTCGAAATCTGTGAGTAGAACGGACCTGACAGAGTAAAGAAGATCTGAAGAGACGCCAGAGAAACTAAAATTCTCTGTCGTCTCTTTGGATCGCTTGATCTCACTTTCCTCTGCCATTTTTTTGATTTTTTTTTCGATCTTACTGTCGTTTAATAAACCAGACTTCTTTTAGATATGTTCAAGGCTTACGGCCACCGATTCTGGGAAGCCGCCAAGATCCACCGGCGTCCCTTATTGTGTCACGGTTTATCCGGCCAAGAACAACCATCACAATCCGTTGATTGGTTTGAAACCGTTGAAAAAAAGAAAACGGATTGGTGAATTCTAGTCTCTCCGAAGCAGAACTCGATCCACTACTTTGACGAGAACATTGTCTACGAAGAGCTTCTGCAGGTCAAGGTTCTCGAGGAGAACGATCCGGAGCCCGTTACTTACAAGCTTGATGAGGGTTTCAAGAAGGTTCAATTGTGTTATGTTGGAAAAATGATTCCAAGGAGCTATCTAGTGATATGCTTCAAATTGCACAAACTTTGGTAATTTTGGAAGAAAATCGGCTCCTGATCATACTTCGGCTGGATCCCACCCCAGGGTGCGGCCTACCCTCCTCAAACTTCTCCCCCTTCAAAGTGCGGCCTACCCCCGAAAAAGCGCGGCCTGTTTTTTTCAGTACATTTTCAAGTTTTTTTGCGCGCAAAAGGCTGTGGAATCCAGCTGACATGCTCCTAATGCAAAATTCTCTTTAGAAAAAACGAAAAATGTTCTTGAACTTTTCTTCATCTCATTTTTTTAAGTTTACTCATTTTTTTATGAGGAAATTGTAGAAATGGACCCATTTGGAAGAGAATTTGAACCTATACTGGAAATTCCATGTAGTCTGAAGTATGTTAATCAAAAAAAGAAGGTTTCCTGTGACCGAGCAGTCCTGAGCCATTCCAAATGCGACCAGAAGAGTCCGAAACTTGAAAGTTTCCCTTCTGTCAAATAACAAGTAGAAACGAGAGAAGGAGGGAGAGAGTGAAGAATCCCAGATAAATTAAATAAAAAAAAACAAATCGATCCCCCCTGATTTTTTGCGTTCAGGATTGGCAAATGTTCACAATCAACGCGAATGGAAGTCTCAAGGCGAAATCGGCCTTCGATTTCGAGAAAAAGACGGTTCATGAGATCAAAGTGCAGGCCTGTCGGGCCACCAACTGCTCTTCTCTCCACCTTTTCATTTCCGTCAATGACCGGAATGATAACTGCCCTATGTTCCCCAAGCAGGTCTTCCTTGAAATAAAACTGAAATTGGATAAATTTCCGTTTTAGGATGTGAAATTGACAGTCGTGGAGAACGAAAAAGGTCAACGGCAGGTTGGTCGAATTCCGGCCGCCTTGGACGCCGATTTCCATTCGGATAATACAAAGGTGAACTAGAGGAAATTTTTTCGGAAAACTATAGTCGATTCATGACTAGCTTGGGACGCTAAGGGAGGTGGCCTGTCTGCGCTCTCTACTAATCAGGCACTCTCTCTTTATTTGAATCTCGTCAGGACCCTTTTTTTGATGAATAAAGCGGCTCAGTCGTGAATCAGCTATTAAGATCTCAAAAAAGTTCCATTTTTTTTTCTCAGTTTCAAAGCTCTTCCGAACCTAGAAAAATTCACTCGAAAATGTTAGAGATCTCAAGTTTTCTATCTAACCTATTGATTCGGCTTTCAAGGAAATTGAAAGATCTTTTCAAAAGTTGAAAATAGTGTTTCATCAGCTTATGACGAGGTCTATCTCCTTGAAAACCTCGAGAATGGATATCTGGAATGAGCCCCATGAAATCCCAAATTTTGTGTATCCGAACTTTTAATTTGCATATTTTTGTCATTGCTTTTTCGACCGAATTCATACAATCAATCGATCCAGGTTTGTTACACTACGGAATCTCCACTGTTCTACTTTGTCGACCCAACTCTTCCTGTCCTCTACACCAACAGCAGTTTTGACCGGGAGCAGAAAAAGCAGCACGAAATCATGGTTCAATCTAAGAAATCGGGACTTTTTCCTGAAGTTGGACTTTTCTCAGATCACAGCCTATGATTGTCATTCTTCCTGCCGAGACCCTCATAAGCAAACCAATGGGACTATCACTGGAGTCGTTGATGTCATCGACGTCAACGACAATTTCCCGAGATTTACCCAAAAAACCTTCCAGACGACTGTTATTCAAGTAAGTTCATGAGGGACAGGGAGAATTGAAGTTTGAGGTTTCATGAGGAAAGTATAGAGTGAACGGGGTTTAAGGATTTTTATTTTGAGTGCAAAATCTAGAAAACAAACGAGAAAGACGACTAGAGTGCAAATTTCAACATAGTTCATCATTAGCCCGTTCAGAATATTATATGGAGCCGAAGCTCTCGTTTTTCCAGACCTTAAAGTTCAAATAATTTCTCAAATATCCTTTTAAGGGCCAAGCAACAGCTGGAAGTCACTTGCTGACCATTACGGCGACGGATCCCGACGAAGAACCCGAAGGACTGAAATACTCGATCAAGGGACCTGTTAGAAGCCTGAAACATGTCCATTAGCCTCTTTGTTCTGACTTCGAATATATGGCTCGTCTGCGCTCTCTTCTCTCTTTCAAGCGAAATCTTAGAAAGTTGAAAATAGGACTTGAAAAAAAAAAAGATATTTGAAGAGAGGAGTTGGACAGAAAAAGAGAGCGTCGCCTAGAGAACAGAGCGCGCAGAGAAATCAGACCATCTCAAGTCATTGCAAATGAATGATGTATTTGAAGGTCGGCTATTTTTAGGCCTATACACAATCGGAATCGCCAATCGCACTGGATCCAAAAACGGGAGATGTTTCGGCAAATGAGCAACTTCGAGACTCTTCCCTCACGTTCACTGTTTCTGTGTCTGATGGCGCCAAACATGAGGACACGGCTACTGTTGTGGTGAGCTTCAGATAAGAAAAAAATTTGGGAAATCCTTTCGAAATCTAAATAAATTTTTCTAAAAGTTAAGAAAAAAAGAATTTTTATCTTTTACTACTTCTACGCAGGACTTACCTTCAAAAACGCAAAAAAAATAAATTTTTTTGCATTTATAGCCTTGCTTTTGGGCCTTGGAATTGCCATGTTTCGCAGATCATAAAAAGAACCGTGTTTTTTTGTCTCTAAACAGCCTAGAAAGGCATTTCAAAAAAACACTTTTATTTAAAAAAAGACTATTTTTCGGTTTTTTTCAAATCTATCAAAGTCTAATAACGATTTTTTTCGGAAGTTAGAGAACTTTTGAAGATCATTGGAAAATCATGTGTTTTTTATTTTTGAGGCACTTGCTTCAAAATAACCCATAAAGGATTCTCAAACAGGCCTTTTAGCAACGCCGGTAACGTCATGAACGCCTCGACATATATTTTTTTCTGATTTTTTTAATAAGGCCATTTTTTTGGTTTTTCCTGGACTATCAATGGCAAAAATAGGAGCCTAGCAGTGAACTTTCGAAAGTTAGAGAGTTTTCGAAAATGAGAGGGCAGGTGCCTTTTTTTCTCTAAACGCGCTCTGGCTTACCAATACTCTTTAGCTTTTGAAGAATGTAGACTCGAGAAGTGAGTTTTCAGAGAGAGAAAATACATATTTTCTTGACTTTATTCCGTTTTTTAGATCTCCGTTGTGACCTACGCTCAGCAGACGGAACTCGTTTTCGATGCTCCATTTGATAAAGTGATCAAAAACGAGAAGATCATCGTCGAGTCAGTTTTTCACTGAAAAAATTGGAAGTTTATTTATATTTTTTCAGAAAGCTGTCCAATGCAACGGCCCTGCAAGCCGTCATGGACCGGTGTCGCCAGAATTCGAATTTCACCTTGATGCTGGTCCATTTCGTGGATCGCGATGGGTCCTTTGTCAATGTCGACAGAGCTGTACAGTTAGTTTCTCTCAGGCTTGAAGAAAGTCTGAAATTCGGAAATAATAGAATGAAAGGGGGAGAGAGAGCGTGGGATAAAAAGAGGGTCTAGAGAAAGAGGGAGTTCTGCGTCTCGATGGTCCCCATGCTCTCTGGTTTCTGGATTCAGGAGACAACTGTTTTCAAAAACGTAAAGAAAATGCAAGGAAGCGTGAAATCTGAATAGGGATTAGAGAGAGAGAGGTCTGCGTTTCGATGGTCCCCATACTCTCTTGCTTCTGAAATAAGGAGACAACTGTTCTCAAAAAAAAAGAAATGCAAGGATAGGAGCGTTGAAGCAGAAGAGGTATTAGAGAAAAAGAGAAGTCTGCGTCACTGCGGCTCCAACGATCTCTCGCTCTCATATTTTATCTCTTCTCTGTTTTTCTCTCTTTTCAAAAAGTTAAAAAAATCGTTTTAAGAAGAACTTCAATTATCTGGGAACTCTTTTTAAATCTTAGTTTTTTGAAAGTTTGTTCAGTGATGAAATCAGTAGAAATTTTCAAAAAAGAGTCATGATTTTAAAAACTCGTCTCAGAATCGCTTTTTCATGATTATAACGTTGATGTCTAGGTCAACAAGAAAAATTTCAAATTGCAGCCTTCTGATGACGTCAAACACGGAATCTCGACGTGAACTTCGGAAGGAGTTCGGCCTTCGAGAAGCGTTCCCGCCCGTTCCATTGCCCTCCAAAATGCCTCAAATTTTGATGGTGAATATTTCTGAGATACTTGAAACTTCATTCTATTCGACAGCCTTTCTGATTGGCTAAAAATGTCTTTTCGAAGATTTTTCAGAGGGAAATAGCTAATAAGAGACGTCTTACATTTATACATTTGTTAAAAGTTTTTACTCCAAAGCTTTGAGATAGGCAAGAAGTTTTCTATCCTTCTGATTTCGGCTCCAAAAACTTGTTGCTTCACTGATTATGTGCCTTCAATCAAGATGCATTATTGAATCGTTTTTCTTTATTTCATTTTTTATTAACTTTTATTGACTTTCAGCTCGCCGCCCTTGGTCTTCTTGTGATTGTGATCCTGACGACGTGCATCTGGTGCCGACAGAGGAACAGTTATGAGGAAAAGCTGAGGCATATCTCGGCACAAGCGACCGCCGTCCATACGGTCACGCTTGGACGACCCAATCCAGCAAAGTTTGATCTTTTTCGGGAATGAAAGCGAAAAATAAGATAACGGATGCGCCTTCAAAGGAACATGGCAAGTGTGAGAAGATTGTGAGAGCAATTTAACTCATTCCAGCCAACTTAGGAATTCTAGAGTGGTCCCTATAGGGGCCACTGGAGGGTATCCTCTAGGGACCACTCTACCAAACCCTATAGGGACCACTAAAGCTTGGAAAGGGGTTTTAGTTAGTGTTCCCTTTAGGGCACATGCTGTTCATCAATTGTTATAAACTATATGCGAAGAAGCATTTCTATGAGAAAAACTTGATAATTAAGCGGTTTTTGAATAAAATTGAAGGACCCCTATAGGGACCACTTTCGGAATAATCCCCTAAACCCATACAGGGAACTCTTTTTCAGCGCCTATAATTTTCAAAAAATGCATTTTCCAGGAAAAACCCGACGTACGGCGAAATCCCAGCGCCGCAGACGTTGGTGGCCAATCGCCTCTATGCAACGGCCCACCCTGGCCAGCAAAATTCCACATTACAATCGACAGAGTTGTGATCTTCCTTATTAGGAGCTTTAAAAAGAAACAGAGCGAAATTAACTCATTCAAGAGATTCCTTCAATGGCTCACCTTCCTATTTTTCTATAGATTTCTAACAGAAAATTGGCTCAGCTTTATCCGCCCTAATTTTCAAAACCAAAACTATGGTGCTTTCATTCTACTGTCTTTTTTCACTTAAAATGTGTTAAAATCTAGTCTTTCCGTTATTTTCTTTCATTTTTTTTTTTCGCTTGCTCAAATACTGGTGCTCTAAAAAAAATGTACATTTTCAGAGAAATATGCAGAAAAAAATAAACGAAATATTCATACAGGCACAAAGAGTACACGTTAAGATATATAAGGAATATCGACAGGAATGAGTAAAATGAACAAAAAAATAACTGAATTATTAGGACTTTTATAGGAATCTTGATTTTCTCGGTGTTTTGACGTGACGTGGAGAGTCGAGCATGGGCCATTCGGATCGGGCTTTCGAGCCGATTCTGGAAATTTTATTCATTTTCACTTCTTAAAGGAATTTCAAAACCTCTCAAGTTTGTCGACGAAAAAATCAACCATTGGATATTTCTGTAGGGTTTCTTTTGGTACGGTTGAAATCGCCAAGAATAAGTCGTTATCCACCTGGAATAATTATAAATTTTGTAAAAATAGAGTTATAAACACAGGATTTTTTTAAAAGGAAGTTTGAATTTGAGAAACCTTGGAAGATTTGAAACATTCAAAGATCAAAGAAGAAAGTAAAAAGAAGGAGAGGAACATGAAACTTAAAAAAAAGCTTAATCAAAAAGCTATATATAAATAAATAAAAAAATGGTTTCATCAAAAAAATTTCATCAAAAAAACTGAAGAGTCTTCTGAAAAAAACTTCGCAACACCTTAGTCGGAAGGATATCAGCGACATAAGTTGCGGGCGGAGACGAAGGCGGCGTTTCGAAGATCCACAGGTCTTCAGAACTCACGACGTCTTCATCACTTCAAGAAAAAGGTGAGAAATTCAGAAAGGTGAGTTCATAGGGCCCATGAATCAAGATTTAAAAATTAATTTTTACCCGGATAATGAAATCTTGTTTGCTACAAATTGACTGGAAATCAAAATTTTGAAGTTTTCTGTTTTTTCGCTGAATTGTAGGCCGTAAATCTTCATTCAGACGCAGTTGAAAGGTAAATGGGCAGTAGAAAAACGAATTTGAGGTGAAATCTGCATTCTATAGAGCTAACCTACTAAACAGTCTACCTTAAAAAAAATCAGAGGTATAAGAACTTTTGAAGGAAAACGCTGCATATTTATCTCAAGCGCTATTCTCACTAGTCAGTTACATTTCTAAAGGCCCAGATGTCTTCAAAAATTACTAACACTTCATTTTCCGGTATCCCTCTCCTAACCGGCGACGACAAACTCATCGAGGCGAACCGATCTCCAAGACTGGCCAGGGAATCGTTCAAGAAGTTGTCGATGTACTCGTTGACGTCTTCAGCGTCGTAGAACGTCTCCTCCTCTTCTTCGACTTCTGGAGAAGTCAGAAATTATTGATTTGATTGAAAAAAGTTAATTTGCTTCTTTTTCTAACAGGTTAACTTCAACTTTCTAAGTTTTAAAACTCATTCTCTTCAGATTAAAAGCCCGTGAGACGCATCCGACCAAAAACGACTTTCGCGTGGTGGCATTGGGAATCATTAAAGCTAATCACAGCGAGCAATTCCAAATTTCGAGTCAAATGAAAATGAATGATTAGTCATTGCAATTTCAAGAAAAATTATGAAAAATTTCGATTATTTCCAAAAACGTTTTCCTATAATCAAACCCGACCCTAAGCGACTTGCGCCTTGGAGAAAAATCCCTTTACCTTCATCAAAAAGAAGTTTCCTTCTGACCGGATCATTAGAAGGCGTCAAATGATCTCCGGCGCCTTTATTTGGAGATCTTCTTCTTTTCGACTCTTTGATGAAATATTCGTTGATCTTGGCCAAACCGCTATCCGAAGCCGCGTCGAACGGGCCAACTTCGGGCAAAAAACTCCAGGTTTCCGCCCAATTCAGTCGGAAATTTGTCGAGTTTTGCAACTCACGACCGACGCGCTCGTAGCCCTAAAGTGTATGAGGTTTTATTTCATTTTTTTTCAGTTTCCAAATTTTTAGGTAATTTTGGACCTTATTAGATTGTTTTTTAGTTTTTCTCAAATGTTTTGACCTCAAGATGTACACTGATAATAATTCAACGCCTGAAGAAATCACAAAAAAACCCGCGCCCGACTAGATACGGCTCACGCGCCATGGCATTTTAAGTATTAAGATCAAACTCGGACCGCAGCGCGACCGCGACGCAATGAGCCATTCTGAATGCGACCAAGGCGTTTTAAGCTACAAAAAAAATATTTTTTTCTACTTTTTTTATAATCATTTTTTTCAGAACTTTCTTTGATGAAATTTATTCGCGCTTTCAATGACATTCAATACGCCTTTGGGACTTAAAAAAATTGATTTTTGGTTTTTTTCTTCCTTAAATTAGATGTTATATTCTACCTTATCTGGATCGGATCTCTTGATTTCCCGTCCAGACGCCAGCCATTTTCTCTGAAAATCCTCAGCCGACGCTAAAGATGGAAAAAGTCCGATATAAGCGCTCAGACGGAATTCTGAAGAACGATTCGGTGACGCTGCGATTAGCTAAAAATTAAATTTGATGTAATTTTCACAGTAATTTCCCACCTTAGCACCCAGAATAAGCTCGGGAAAACTCTGAGAAACGACAATTTTCGGCATTTGCTCTTCGACTTTGTACAGAGCCACGTAGTAGCCCTGGAAAAATTTGGTAATTTTGTAGTTTTGTTTCAAGAAACCTGAAGCAGAAGCTCAATTTTCTTCTTGACTTCCGACTTATCAGCCTCGTTGTAACGGGCCGCTGCCACTTGTACTGGAGTCACACCTTCCCTAGAAAAAAATTCCGATTTGAAGAACTTGCAAGAGAAAAAAATAAAGGGATTTTTTTCTAAATAAGTGAAAAATTTAAGGTCAAAATCCTTTCAGTAGGTATAATTTTTCGAAATTTTGGCGCTGGAAAATATTTTATTCACTTCTAACATCCTTTATTTCGGCTTTTTAGTGGAAATTTTGGCGTAATATCACTGATAAAATGGGGAAATTTTTATTTCTGTAGTAAAATTTTTGACTTGACTTTCAAGACCTTAGATGGAAATTCCAATTTTTCCTTTAAATTTGTCATGACTTTCTAACTTCTAACTTCTGCCTCACATATCTTCAATTAAAACATCAAAAAAGTCAAATCTAAGATTTTTAAAAACCAACTTATTCATCACATTTCTGTCCAAAAGCTTCTCGGCGCACAAAACTTCAACAACGTCGACTTTTCCGAATTTCGAAGCCAAATGCAGTGGAGTGTCGCAATTTCCCTAGAATATTCCATTATTTTCCCCCTCAAAAAAAGAAAAACCTTGTCAGGTGTGTTTAAATACGAATCAATGATATTTCTTTGCCGGAAAACGACGTCTTCCTCATTGGTAGCGTATAGAGAGGTGAGATAGTGAAGATCGTGTAAATGTTCGAGTAAAGACCGGATAATTTCGACTTGGCCGGCTTTCGCGGCAATGTGCAACGCGTTGTATCGGAAACCCTCCTAAAACTAAAAACTCGTTTCAAAAAATAATTCAAAACCAACCATAACAATCGAGGCAACGTCTCCACTCGAATTGACAATATAACGAGGATTTGATTCAACCAAAGTACTGAAATTCAAAAATAATTATCATTTTCAGTTTTTCAACACCAACTTGAAAACTTCTAGATTCCCTTTATCGATCGCCCTTTTCAAATCGTTCATTTGAATCCGAGTCAATGATGGGAACGGAATTACTGGTTCTGATTAAGACTATCAGTTATTTTTTTCTATCTTTTTAATAACCGGAAGGTGTTGCCGGCGCATCTGTGACCCTTCTTGGAGACACAAGAGCATCGCCAGCCGCTAGAAACCTCAGAGCGTCTTGTGGGGTTCCGAAACGTTTAAAACGAGCGCCTTGAAATATTATTTGAGTTTACTTTCTAGCTAAGAAAAAAGCTTACCATTTGTCTTTCCCTCTGGTGAAGTGACAAACTTTGTCGCATCTTTTAGAGTCCTGAAGCAATATTTTTTCTTTTTTCAATGAGTTTTTTTTACCTGTAAACTTCTCGAGGAGAGTTTGAGAAGTTTTCAGGATAATAGGCGACGAAGACCGGAGTTGAAGGCTCAGGAGTCTTTGTGCTGCTCGCTTCTGATGTCATCCACTTAACTTCATCATTTAAAACAATATCTATAATGAAAAATATGTAAATCAAAGTTGTTGAAAAATACGAAAAAATAAATTTTTGAAAAAGTTTCTCGTCGTGTATTCACAACTTTGCACTTGAACGCGATACAGTACGCAATTATTTTTTTTCGAAATTGAAATTTTTCGTGTATTTCTTCTGTTTTATCATTTTTCCAGCATTACTTCAATCTAATATTGATAGTTTAAGGTAATTGAAGATGGATCTCAACATCAAGCAGAGTGGGATCCATTCCTGCATCCTTCAGAACAACTATTTTTCAAACCGATCTGGGAAAGTTTATAAGGTGAATTTTTTTGCTTTGAATGAATTTTTTGTTCCAGAAATGTACTGAACGTTATTTGAGAAGCGATATATCTTGCGGGTTAAGCAAATGCATCGCCTGCGCCGACTATGGAAAGAATCCAGTTATTTGAACTTCAATTTTTGATTTGACGACCAATTTTCAGATTTTCAAAGCGCCCAGCCTTGTCAGTCATAACAAATACAACGAGAACAGTGTTTTGATTGTCGATGCGCCTTCTTTCATTCGATTCTATGATATTTTCAGTTCTCCATTGTTCAGGTTTTGAAAAATAACTCATTTAAAAAATGGTTATTTTCAGCAATGTGATCGTTACTCAAACGGTTTGGGAAAGTGTGAGGGCCAAGTCGATACCGGCTTATAAGAAGATGAACAGTTTGTGTTACGATGAAGCCACGGATCGATTTCACGTTTTTATGAACGAGTTTCATCATGAGACTTTCTCGGAAACGACAAAAATTGAAGGGCTCAGCAGGTTTTGTTTTGATTTCTTGTTGCAAGGGAACTTTTTCAATCTATTAGTTGACATTTTGGAGGAATTTTATTGTTAGGAGTTTTTCTCTTGGTTTGGAGATCCTAAACTACGCTTTCCTCGGAAAGTTCAACAGGGAGAAGAAACAGTTCTTTTTTTTCAAGGTGTTAAAATTTTGAGAAATGTTTCATTTTGAATTTTTAAGAGGCGAAGAACTTCTGGCGGTCGTGGCCACTTATTTGAAAGAGCACTGGGCCAAGTATAACGTTAAACCAGTGATCGCCTGTTCTGAGGAAACTTCGGCCCAAAGACTTTCTCAACACTATGAATTCGTTACGGACCTTCGTTCTTATGTTCAAGGTTTGTTTTGAATTTTAGAAAATTTCTGCTAAATTTCAATTTTTAGGTATCGATAGCGTAGACCGTCAAGGTATTCTGGATCAAATGGCTGCTTATGAGTCCTCGAGTGCCAATTCCGAAAAGAATATTTACGATGTTGGTGAACGTAAAAGAATATTTCTCGAAAAAAACTTCCAAAATATTCATTTTGAAACCTTAAAAAAAGAAACCTTCTTCAAATATTGGAAGGGATATGGGAGTTTTGAAACATGTTCCGTTTCCCATTGAAAAAACGATACAGAAATTGTCTTTGCCTTTTTTCTAGTTTTTTTTCTGTATATCTAAGTGAAATTTACAGCAAAGTGTGTCGAAACTTAGAAATTGATAGTTTTGCGCCGAGATTTTTGAAAAGTCGTTTCGAAAACATTTTTGAAGCCTCATGCTTTGTGGAAAGAAAATTATTCTCATATTTTTCAGGAGTATCTTTCGCACGAGAAAAATTATGGAAGGAATCGGCAAGGGAACCATCAAGAAAGGATCCTTCAGTGTCAGTGGATGTCTTTTTTATTCACAACATTTTTTTGTTCATTTTTTCAAAGGGTCATGGGCAAAAATTGAAAACTGGAGACACAGAAGGTTGTACTGAAAGTTCGTGGAAGATTTAAAAAAAAACTGGAAAGATTCCTCTAGAAAATTCGTTTACCTTTCGTTGAGGTGCTGAATAATGGGATTTTCATTTTTCATTTATCTTTCGTCTAACCAGGGAATGGTCTCCAGTCGCCGTGGGAATTCTGCATGAGATCAGATTTTCAAGTTTTTCACGCTGATTTTGAATCCGGTCTCAAAAACTGCCGACGAGATCTGTAAAAAATGTTAGGGGCTCTCAAAAGTCGAAATTTTCCGATTCAGCTCATTTTTAGAAGGTGGAAATTTTCTCCTCTTCTCGTAAGCTTTCATTAACCGATTTTTTAGTGACAACTTTTCCTTGTGGATCCAAAGGTCGCCATATTTGGTTTTTCCAGGTTTCAAGGGAAAACTACAGAGAAGCGTCGGTGATCATCGACGAACAGTTGACGTCGTGGTTCATCACCGGCATGAACTGCAACAGGGCCGTGAATGGCGATATTGTGGCTGTTCAGCTGTTGCCCGAGTCTCAGTGGACTGCGCCAGAAAAGGTGTTGGGAAATGAAAATAGTTGAATGATCATAGATAAATTCTAGGGAATTGATTGAAAGTTACTAGGAGATCTGAAGCCATATTTTTTTCAGAAATTTTTGTGGAAACTTGAGAGAAATCCAAAAAAATCCGAAGGAAACTTTTTCTTCTTCAATATTTTTACTTGCAGAAAAAAACTTTTCTAAATTTGACTAACATAACGAAAATTTTTTTCTTATGCTACTTTTTAAAGTAGAAATCCCAAAAAATTTTCATGATTTTCATGAAGTTCAAGTTTTTTCACTTTTTAAGAAAAATTAATTAGTTTTTCAAAATATTATTGATGGCTTATTTTGTAAAAATACCTACTTATGTACGCTCAGAACAAGTTTTCTGAACTTTCAACGAAAAAAACGGCCATTCAATTTATATGAACTTACTCCTGTTTGTTACTCTAACAATTCCTATAAGATCTTTTTTTGAATTTCGTTTTTTCTGCTGCTTTCACAGAATTCTTGAAACTTGTGATTCAGAAAATCCGATTACGTGACGTTGAAGAATATGTGAGTACTGCTGACGACATGGCGGCCGAAGAAGACGAAAATATGGAGGATTTCGACGGCGAACCGAGAAGCAAAAGATCGAAAAGATCCGTTGTACCCACTGCTAAGGTTCTTCTTGATTCTCAATTTTCGTCCGGGAATTCATGTCTTGATTATCTGAGAATCTGATTGTGAGCATATCTCAAAACCACGGCGTTTTTTTCGGTACGTCAGTCGAAACGTTCCGTGAATTACGGTAGTTATGGTGTAGACACACCGGGACGCATTATCGCATACTCCAAAAATGTTTTTTTCAATTTTTAAATTTTTGGGCATGCAGGAAAGTGCGCGCTGTGCGCACTTTCCTGCATGCCCAAAAATGCGCACTCTTTTTTCAAATTTTGTACAGGAAATTGCGCTCTCTTTCTAACAACAGGAAAATGCGCACGGTTATCAAATCCTGTTCTTTCGATTATTTGAAGTTGATATAACTGATTTTTTTCAGAATTCATCTTTTTTTCAATAATAATACCAGGCGGTCACTAGACTGGTCAGACTGATTTACCTTTCACGTGATAATGTGTTTTTTAAATTTTTGGAATGTTATTTTCCGAAGAAAGCCACAGTCGGCGTTTATAGTTTGTTCAGAATTTGAATGTCAAGTCATCGGTCGAACTCCGCCTCTTATGTGTAGATCAAAACCAATCAGAGAACGAGCCACTCACAGGCTTTGTTTGGGGCAGAGATTGCTGCTTGAAACTCAAAACATGGACAAACTATATTATAAAGGGAAATATGTGAAATACAAATCGAAAGGACCTTTTCGAGGTTCAAAAATATTTCTGAAGAAAAATTTACAGGGTGATGAATAATTACTGCGACAAAATGAAGGAGCTGTCAATATGTCAATTGTCAATAGTCAATAAAGACCGGAAACTCACAATTATTTTTTTATAAAGTTTTACAGGGATTTAATCAAAAAAATTAACATGAACTGCCGCTCGAAAATGTAGTGGCACTCCAATTGACTGCGGTACGCAGATGGTCGAAATCAGTTTTTGTTTTTGAGCAGAACGGCCAAAAGTCAGTAGGCAAACTGGTGTGTACTGTTACAAGAGGCACATTGAAGTTTCTCAGAAATTTTGGAGTCAATGGGATAACAGAAAAAGCACAAAACTCCATTCTTCTAACCGGATAAGACCTTTTTCGATAAGGACTCGAAAATTGGTTTTGAGCTGACTAGGGAACTACGCGAACTCGCATTCAAGGATCGAGTTCAAACTTTGGTGGCTTATAGACCCGGGTAAAAAGTACTTGGAAACAAGAGAGATTATCTGCTAAATCCTATAGACTTCTGAGAAAAACTATTTTTTTGAAAATGAACAGTTTAGGCTTGAAAACTATCAAATTTTTTTGCTTTCCTCCTTCTTTTGGCTGGAAAAAAAGTTTTTTTAGTGTTTATCATAGCCGGATCATTCAAGGCGATTTTTATTAAAATATTAAATAAGGTAAAAAAAGCAGTATTCTGAAAAATTTTCAGGTCTAATTTTTCACATTTTCTACTAATTTTTTTCTCAGTTCTCTATTGGGTTTAGCAGATATTCTCACTTGTTTTCAAGTGTTTTTCACTTAGGTCTATAAACCACTAAAGTTTGAACTCGATCCGCGTACCCGAGTCCGAGTAGTTCCCTAGTAAGTAAGGGTACTTAAAAACAGGCAATACTATCTGCTAAACCCCATAAGGTACTGAGAAAAAAGGTACACACCTTTCAAATTATCTTGTTTACTGCTCTCTGAGTTGACCTCATCTCTTACAAAGACTAGCTATATCTGAGCTATCTCGGAGGTACTTTAGAGTCTCCCTCAAGTCTATCTCATTTTGCTCAAAGTCCTCAGAGGTATACTTGGGTTACCATCGATAGGCTTCAGACCCTGCGATATGCCTCAGAGGGTCTCGCGATACCCTTTTTTTCTCTATTTTTTTCGGAAAAACAATTCCTTCAATTTTTGCGACTTCTTTTAATTGCTTACATAGACGTGAATCGTTATCAATTTCGAGAATCGAAACCTTAAAAGTACGTTCAAATTGAGCTTCAGGGCGACCTTATCGAATAATTTCTGAACGTCGCAATAAACTCCCTCTCATACGGCCTTGATGCGTAATGAAGTAACTTTGAGTCAAGATTCCAGTGTTGTACTTGGCTGTAAAAATCACTGAAAAAAATTTTTTTGGTGGTTCGGCCCGGCCCAAAAAAAGCTCAAATTTTTCTTCATTTCGAATTTTTTTAGCTGTTTTAACGAGAAAAGCAGGGGTTTTTTGCTTATTTTTTTCTTCATTGAGTTATTAAAAAAATGTGATTCAACATGTAAAAAAATATTTTTTTCGGTGAAAATGTTTTTTTAATGAAATAAAAAAAGTTTCTTGAATCTCTGGCCCTGAGCCCGCGCTTTTTCGAAATTAAAAATCAAGTCCTAGGGGGCTTTAGGCCTTCATAGCCAAAGCCTGCCTGCCTTGCCATAAACGCCCAAAAAGGCAGAAACGACTTTTCCGAAAGTCAGCGTGGCATCATCATATTATAGAAGAAGGCTTGATGAAGGTAGGAATAATGACTGGAACAAAAATGAGCTCGGGTCGGCGAGAGCAAATGCTAAAAAACTTTTGTCGCAGTAATTATTCCTCCACTCTGTATTGTTTAATGTTATCAGATGGAAAAGATCTGTATATTTTGAGAGCATCTCACTTTTTAGCAGATTTTCGCGGCAGCTTTTGAGACCAAGCTTGGAATCAGCTTGGTCTCAAAAGAGAGCATCTCACTTTTTGCATAACTACACCTGGTCTCGTTCCGAAGTGACCGCAGACCATTCCTGATAAGAAATATTCTCCATAAATTATCAAATAATCAAAAGATGTTCAATTCATCTTTAGCTGAAAGATTTCTTCATGACAAAGAGAAAAGTGAGATGGTTTATGTGGACTTCAATCTAGAAAAAGCGCAATTTGATAACCGTGCGCATTTTCCTGATGTTAGAAAGAGAGCGCAATTTCCTGTACAAAATTTGAAAAAAGAGTGCGCATTTTCCTTACGTGCGCACGAGAAAAGAGTGCGCGCAGCGCGCACTTTCCAGCATGCCTAAATTTTGGAATATTAAGCTAATGGCTTCCGAAAATTATGAAATCTTCTCTATTTGAAGAATATGAAGTTGAAAAAACATCATATAAAATGTATAGCAGCGATCATAAAAGGTAAAAACCCTAAATTGCATATAACGGAAGAAAAACAGAATATATTGTTCTGGTAGGTTGCCTCGCGTCCGAAAATCAATGAAAATATGAAAAAAACTTCAGAATAAACAAAAATTTGAGAAGAGCCTGGTAAAAAGAATAATTTTTTTATACCTTGAAAATTCCGCTTCAGAAAGTCGAATAATAGATAGGAATCAAAATTTTAAAACCTTGGAGGGCGAAAATTTTAATATAGTTCGAAAAACCATCAAAAAACTAGAAAAAATAATGTAATTTGAATTAATTATAAAATAAAACTTTAAACTGCCGTATTCAATTCAATTTGACTCCAAAATACACGAAACCGGTTTTGAACTACTTGAAAGTAACTGGATAATGACCCTACAAAAAACGTCAAAAATTTTATTAATCATTTAAAAAGTTAATTGAAAACGCATTTTTTTTTATGAATCCTTCAGTAAATCTATGGTTAGTGAGTCTGTTCCTAAGAAAACGGGTACTGCACAGAAAAAACTGTATGCGGATATGCGCATTGCGTGCATACACTTTGCCTGTTTACACTTTCGTTGCGTGACGTCACCAGGTCGGACATCCGCGGGGTTTTTTTTGTTTCCGAGTTTTTTTTTTCGAATATTTTTCATTATTTTTTCCTTTTTTTCAAGATTTGCATTTTTTTCTCGATATTTGCACTATAAAAAAAGGTATCAAGAGAAAAAAGTTGAAAAAAATTGGAAAAAAAACAACTCGGAAACAAAACCCCCTGATGTCCGACCCGGAGACGTCACGCAACGAAAGTGTAAACACGCAAAGTGTATTCATGCAATGCGCATATCCGCATACAGTACTCCCCGCAAATGTAAAACTCGCTCTTGTCGTAGCACCAAATTGTGGGCATTTTCGGACCAAATTTGGTTCGAAAGTCTTCGTTTTGAATCAATTTTTTTGCGTTTTCCGAACAAATTTCTTTTTTTTTTACGATGAATACGCTTAAGAAGTATTTTTATTTTCAATATTGTTTTTAAAAAGAAACAAGAAGAATTTAAACTTTTGGTTGAATATAATTCATTTCAGGTTGTTGGAATAATCAAGAGAAACTGGCGACAGTACTGCGGAATTCTGCTGCCCAGTGTGATCAAAGGCGCTCGACGGCACTTGTTCTGCCCCGCTGAAAGATTGATTCCGAGGATTCGAATCGAAACTGAGCAGGTTTGAGCAGGAAATAATGTGAGGAAAATTAGTAAAAGTTCTGGTTTAAAAAATTAATCATAGGAAAAAAATATTTTTTTCGGTAAGAAAAAAAATCAATAAAAACGTTTTATTCAAAGTCGTATGATAGGAAACAAATTTTTGAGCTTGAATCTAAAGAAAATCTTTTTTAAAAAAACTCTGTTTTTTCCGGAACTATTGATAAAAAGTGAAGTCTAGATTTATAAACAAATTTTTTTGTCCGTTAAGAAAGACATCAAAAAAATCCCTCTTTTTCAATGTTTTGTGATAGGAAATCAAGTTGTTGAGCCTAAATCTGAAAAAAATGTTTTCAAACTCTAGCTTTATTCAAGTTATTGATAAATTATTTTACCAGTGTTTTCAAAAACACGAGCTTTTGAGAATATATTGTGGTTTCGAGGTTTTTGGAGAAGTAAATATTTTACGAAAAATAAGTAGAAGCCCAAATTCAGGACTGAAGCTATGATCCGAATTTCGGAAGGTAAAATTTTTAAAATTTTTTTAAGCTTAAGTTTTAAGAAAATCTTCCAGAACTTTTTTCAAACTTTTTCCAACCATTTTTGAAAAATCAGCTTTACATAATTTATAAGGGTTTCAATAAAAAGATCTTGATAGGAAAAAGTGGAAATAGCGGACGAAAAAGAAGAGAAGTTGCAGCGTTTCTGATCAAGCCTTCAGTTTCCTGAATTTAAAAAACTTTGTCCCAAAAATTCATTTTTTCAAAAATTGATCCATTTTTAGGCTGAGGTTCTGGCTCATCAAAGAATAATGGTCTCAATTGATCACTGGCCTCGAGATTCCAAGTATCCCTTGGGACACTATGTCAGAACTATTGGAGAACTTGGTGATTCGGAAACAGAGAATGAAGTTTTGATTTTCGGAAAAAATCAAGAAAATTGGTTTTTTCTAAGGTTCTTCTATTGGAGCATGATATCCCGCATGCGCCGTTCTCGGACGCCGTCATGGCCTGTCTCCCTCAGGAAAATTGGGTTCCGGACTTGCAGAAACCTCGTGTCGATTTGCGACATCTCACCATTTGCTCTGTTCGTGCTTTTGAGACTTTGAAAAGTTGAAATCCTTTCCAAATCGTTTAAATTTAGACTGAAAATAAATTACAGACTTTTTTCTAAATAAGGATAAAGAAAATAAAGTGCAGGAAAACCGATTTTTAGGAGAAAAAAAAATCGCTCAATATCCTTAGGGCTTGAAAATTTTTGAAACAAAGTTTCAGAAGCTGTACAGTTTAGATGAGGAAAAATAAAGTGTAGGAACACCGAAATCTAGAAAAAATCGTCCAAGATTTTTTTAGGATTTAATAATTTTGAAAGAAACTTTTTGGAGTTGTACTTTAGACGTCAATTTCGAGCGAAAATTGAAGATGTTCTCCTATTTTTTTGATATCAGAAGGTTCTAGGAAAAAAAAAACTTCCGCCGAATTTCCCCAAAATTCCACGAGCTACCAAGAAGATTTCCTTTCTCACTTTCATGGCGAGATTTTTAAGATACTTTTTATGGGATCAGATGAAAATTGAACAAGAAGAAAGTTTGGGTTAGGAAAGTAACACGGTTTTTGGGCAGCTGAAGATTTGAAAAGAACTCATTATTGGAATTTTTTTCAAAACTTAGTTGCGATCATATAGCTCAATAACCAAGTCTTAAAACACTCTGACCTGTCTGCGCTCTCATTCTCTCATTTTACTTACCGAAGATATAAAAACTTGAAAAAGCACGTAATATTGAGAGAGCCTTACAACGAAGGCCGTTTTATTTTGTGGTTGGAAACCTTGAAAATAAAAAACCAGAACTTACCTTGTTGAACCAGAGGAAGATCCTGAAAGTCTCCAACTGCACAACTTTCTACTTTACGAGAAGTAAGGCCCTAAAGCCCATTTTAATGGATTTTGAGGTTTTCTTTGACTTAAAGGCCTCTTTTCTCAAAAACAAGGTAGTTGTGCAGGTTGAAACTTTCAGCATCGTCTTCTGGTACGTCCAGGAGCGTTCTGGCCAATTTTCAGAAAAATCCCAACCGCAAAGTTAAATGGCCTCCCTTATCACACTGGCGAATCGAGAGGGTACTATAATGTGTCCACAAAGGTACCTCTCAAAATGAATCGTGAAGACCCCATAATGTGTCCATTGTGAGGCCTCTGGCTAGGGACCGCAAAGCCACGCCCCTTTTCGCGATAGAAAAAGTGGCTTTTTTTTGGTTTTCAACTTTCATTTTGCTGTAGTTGCAAAATATGTGGAACTGGATAATAAACTTTGACACACATGTACAGAAAAGCTTCCTCTTTCGTTTAAAAAATATTTCACGCTTTTTTGATGCGTTCTCGCGGAATGTCGTACAAAAACGTGAATGGAACTAAAAATTTTTGTCGTTTTTTGCTTTTTCATGTGTTTTCAGGTCGAACGCACTCTTTCTTTTTTTATATAATGATTCTGATTCAAGTAACGGTAATTTTAAAACAATAAAATAAAAAAATTCGTCTTTGCCAAAAAAATTTTTAGGGAGTGCCGAAAGTCATAATTCAAAAATATCGTTAATAAGCGAATATAATCGAGTTTTTTTGTTTTTTTCAAAATTTAGACCATGGGCTTACTTAAATTTTTTTCTCCACAGCACCTGTGCTTTGAAAAAGTTGTGTGATACGCAAAAAAATGCTCTTGAAAATAGAGAATAAAAATTAGCGGCGTTTATCACACAGAAAGCGGTCGAACGCAGGTTTTTTTCAAACGATTATATACATTTATTAGTAAAAAAATCTTTCAATTAAAAGAATAAAATAAAAAAATTCGTCTTTGCCGAAAAATATACGGGGCCGTTTTAATGCAGCGATCGTTAAATGAGGCAAAAAGCACTGAAAAAAACAGTTTTTTTCGAAATGATTTTTCCACGAAACGTTTGAGTAAAGATTTGCGAACATATTCTGATAAAAAAATAGCTTAATTACTTCAAGTTTTTTTCTTTTTGAAATAGGCAATCTGTGCTATTTAAACGGCTCAAGGCTAAGGCGGATGGAAGCTCCCCGCGTTAGACCTGACAGCTTGGCGCAGTGCGTGCGCTGCGATTTTTCATTTTGAGGTCGCGAGTTCGATACCCGCAAGCGTCAGTTTTTTTGTTTTTCTGCAAAATACCGACTTTTTCCGGCAAAATAGCTGATTAGCATCATTTTAGCACTCTCTTATAATTTGTTACATCATAATAGACCAGTATCAAAACTTGTTCTAGAAGAAAAATCGAGAAAAATGTCAAAAATGGATAATACCAAAATTTCAGTACTAAAAAAATGGTGCGCGGCGCGCCACATTTTTCGTCATAACTTTTTTCATACTCAATCTTTTTTGAAAAACTAAACGGTTCTGAGTTTTGAATCGAAACAGCTATCAAACCATACATTGCTCAATGCTGAAAAAAATTTTTTGAAAATTCGTCTGCGGTCCCTACCTCTGGCATACCTTTCAGCTACACATAGTCTCCCTTAAGTCCCTCTCATTTCGCTCAAAATCCTCAGAGGTATACTCGAAGTACCATCGTGAGACTTCAGAGCCTACGATATACCTCAGAGGATCTCACGATACCTTTTCTCGATTTGAAGGCGAATGAAAATGAAACTTCTAGGTCGATCCCCTTGGCTGTACAGATATCGACGATGCTTTGCACTGCAAAGCGATCGGAGATGATTTGTATGAGGTAAACGTTTAAAAAGGGTACAAAATAACCCTTTTTCCAATCTTAGGTTGGTGTCCACATTGCCGACGTTACCCATTTCGTGAGGCCTGGCACGGCGATGGACGAAGAAGCTTCCCTCCGCGGCACTACTGTATCCCCATATTTTTCGCCTCGAAATCTCGAAAAAAA